ACGGCAGCTCGTAACACTGTGGCCGGGCCTCGGCCTCCCCCAGCAACTCGAAGAGTTGCGCCGCAGACAGGCACGCTTCACCTGCAGAGAGAGCGGCAGTTGACCCTGGAGGGCAGTTTAAGCATACGCCCTTCAAGTCTTCCTGCCTGCAGCGACATCCTTGCCCTCTTTCTGGGCCACTGCAGCAGCCTGCTGGGCCAAGTCCAAGGCCTCACATTCCAGGACTTTCAGGATTTTCAGGCTGTACAAAGTGCGCAGTTACTGATTTCCATCCTCCTGAAGCCGGCCACGACAAGCAGCATGCTCGCAGAGCTCGGGACAAAGAGACCTCAGCGTGCACAGGATCAAACCTAGCCAAATGTAGCCAAATGCCAACATCAGACAAGAGAGATTCTGCGACGCCTCTACTGGCTGTCACCCAAGAAGCTTCAGGACTATGACTGGACTATGAAAATGGCGGCCTACGCCATGAGCACCACGCAAATATCTAGCAGCGTGTGCAGCCACGGTGCATCTGCTGTCCCAAGATGCATGCTGCCAGTCCAGACATAGTGGTGAGGTTGCTTTCCAGGTCATGAGCCTAGAAAAGCTGCAATCTCCCAGATACTCCCACACTGAACCTTAGCATGAGCCTTGCCCTGTCTTTCTTCTTGCAATCCCTTGCCATATCCCTTTTGCCTCGCGGAGCAGGGCTTCAGCTTTGGACAGCGCGGATCGACTTTGATCACTGTCTCCGGCCACATTGTAGCGCTATGCCTAGGAACCGCTTGCTAAGCCGCCACTTGGTGCCCCACTTCTAGGCATGCTGTGGGCATGGCGCTGGCTTTAGCATGGACTGTGTGAGCCATTGGGGTGGCAGCTTCTGGGTGCCTCCAAGGCACGCGAACTAGGAGCACGGCTGCATCCAGGATGAGGTGTTGCAAGCTTCGCAGTTCCGGGGAAGTCTTCCTTACAGGTAGGCAGTGAGTCATTCTAAGGGCTACAACCTCCGTCCCTTGTGCTGTCTTAATGTCTACTACTAGAATAAAGGTGAAGAGAACATTATTAATGCGGTTTTAAGTGAAGTGAATGAAATGAATGTAGCGCATGAACCGCATGAATAATGTGAACGAAACAGTGAAGAGAACAGTATTAATTGACTTCGACGGAGTGATATGACGCGTGAAGTAAATTAATATGTGAACGAAACGAAGCAAAGACTTTCATGGGCGCTATAATAGAATATAGAATTGAATTCTTGGCGCCTTTCATCTCGTTCACTTGTGCATTTAATTAATTTCATGCATTCACTGCATTCATTTGTAAATCATTCAATACACTTCGTTCTCTTCATAGTATCATTATTGCGGCCTATTAAAGATTCATTAAGGGCCGCACGAATAAAAGACCTAATTTTCCAATTGAATCTCATGCGTCATGCTATTCCTTATAAATTCAACTGAAAATTGCAAGGTATTTTAATATATTATTGCGGGCTTAAAGTAGTATGATTTGTAACCCCTCCAAAAATCCCTAATAAGATATGCAAATTATAAGCTCGCGCATGAATTTACTATACTTTTGGGGGTCTTTTGCCCGAAAATAATACTACAACTATTAGCGTGTGTTTCCTTGCCTTGTAATTATATTATTGTTTTTATTATTATTATTATCATTAGGGCGGTAACAAGAGAGTGTAGCCACAGTTCACGCATTGACCATTGGTAAGGCTTTTATTACGGTTTACCTGGCATGCGATTCCAAGGGTGTGAACGGTTAGACCAAGATATGAGAGCTAGGGTCTCAAGGTGTGATGGGTGAACAAGACTGTGGAACAAGACTGAGAGAGATGAATGGCACGTCCTGAAGGTGAATCATAAGGCAAGAAGTGAATCCTATGGACGTACCGTGAGACAGTAGTAAAGTTAAGGTCACGAGGGATGAATGTTAGACCAAGATATGAGAGTTAGGGTCTCAAGGTGTGACAGGGAGATTCCGGAAGGTTAGACAGGCGGTTGGGGTCTTTTATTATTGCACGAACGAAGCCGCACGAAATAAGAATAATCAAGTAGTGTGCGGCAATAGTATTCTTAACACTACGAAGAGAGAAGAGAGTTCGAGAACGAAATACGGATATGAATGAAGCGAACCGGTTTGAACGCCCGAACGAAGTAAAAGAAAGTAGTGAGTTCACTTCACGCATCTACATTATAAACTTGTGCATGAATTAAATGCGTGAATGAACGGCCAAGTGTCGCGAAATAGGTTAATAGTATTAAAAGCGTGTCCAAAACCCTGTATTTACACTATTATTCACGGGGGTTTTGGCGAGCACAAGAAAAGAAAGAAAAAGAAGTAAAATACCAAGAATTAGATGAAAGACATGTAGTCTGTAAGAAAAAAGAAAAGACAACTACAAAGGCTTCACGTTCCTCCCCCCTCTCCCCTGTGATGGGTTGCGGGTTGAGGCTCGAGCGCTTCACGTTGGGAAAGACTTGGGGAAGACTTGTTGAGGCAAGCCACACTTGTTGCCGATGCCCCCCCCAGAGCGGCCCCCCCCCCAAGAAACGGCCACCATGCCGCCAGCAACATGGGGTTCCCCCCTAACCGCCTAGTACAGGTCAGCATAAGCTGGGTACTAAACGAAAGGCTCCCCTCAAGTTTGAGGGAGCTTCGCAACGAACACCTACATCTACCCGCCGTGTTTCTGCAAAAGATCATACTTATTAAAGCTGAGAGGGAAAGGCCTAGTCTGGGGAATGCACTGACAGGCAACTGGCCAGTGTAAGCCATGTGTGGCGACTCAAGCATGTACCTGTGCCATTTGGGGAAATGGTTTTGAAAGTTCAGAAGCCCGCAAATGAAGCTTGCACAGTTTCAGAAAAAACGTTGGCGACATTTTCAATCGTCAAGTCAGGCTTCTGACTCTGACATGTTTCGAAAGAGTGATGTTCACATACATACACACACACACACGCACCCACACACACACACACACACACACACACACACACACACACACACACACACACACACACACACACACACACACACACACACACACACACACACGCACGCCAGATTGAGTCGAAGAGTCCCCCCTAAACTTCTCCGGGAATGATTCCCTCTTCAACCTTCGATTCAATATGCCATCCAGGTGACCGGCAGAACGGGCATAGCTCATTGACTCCGTACCGGCGTAGCTCAAGCAGGCAGGCCTTGTGCCTCCAGTCGAAAACAGAGACGTTTCGGTAGAGATGGACAATACGCACTCTCCGTATCAAAGCAGCTGAGCACAGGACAGGCAGTGCCCACAGGGCAAGCTGGAAACAGCAGTGCCGAAGCACACGGACTCCAGGCAAATTGCACACTTCGCCATGGCATGGCGCAACCCAGTTCAGGTGAAGTGCAGCATACGTCCAGCCCAGATTATGTGGCCCTTATATGCCCCTATAGAATAGAAACGCACTTGCAATGGCTAACGCTCCGTGGCTGCCCCTTCTCTCTCCGTCATGCTTGCCAGTGCTGCCGTTAGAAGGCCTAATTACCTGCTTACCGAGTTGAGGATCTTCTGACTTGGCGAGGCAAATTGACACGAGGCATGTTGCAAGAGCTTAAGAGCTTGTCAACCGGTACCGGAGTCAGGAATTGCACAAGAAAATAGTGCAAAGCGCCCGGGCTGCGAACCAACCATGGCCGTGAGCAGCGCCACAGCTTTCGTGCGCTCCTCGAGGTCCCCCACCGGAGCCAAGACCTCGGACAGCACTGAAGACGAGGACATCCGCAAGGAAAGTGTTTTTGTACAAGCCTCGCCGGTCAACAGGCTCACCAGTCCACCAGTGCCCACGGATGCGTGGACACCTTTGACCAACTCTGGAGGCTTATACCCAGGAGTCTCAGGAGTCTCAAAGCAGCTAAGCACGATGCATGTTCCAAAGAATGAATAGATAATCGGCGGAAGCATGCAGCCTGACGACGGCTCATCTGCAGTATGCAGGTAAACATCTGCATGCAAATGACAGCTGCTACTGAGAGGCTGTAAGGGCCATTGATCAAATTAACCATACACCTTGGCAGCAACATGCACAGACACGATAGTGTATGCACACCCCTGTCAATGTTCCATCAGCTTAACATTGGCTTGGCAGTTGCAAAAAGCAAGACTGGAAGCAGCCTCACAAAGGGGGTCTCCATTGAGTGCATATAAACTCCGTCGCCATAGCAACAGCCCACGGACTACATCTGACCACTTCAAAGGGCAGCACACTTTCGGGATCGCACATCGACTGAGGCCAGCACAAGTTTGCATGTGCCAATGATTGGCCTGCATGTGTGTGTACCAACTGTACTGCACTGACTTCGAGCTGAAAGACACGACCTTTCAGGCACGTTGTGCCCTCGCCTATGAGAATGCATCCCAGGGTAATCGAACCAGCAAGGTCCGGCTGCAAGTGGTCGAGAGGGTAGCGTGGAAGCCAGTAGAGAATAGGAACATTCTCCTCCAGCGTTTGCCGCCACGATCCTTCGCTGGTGCCAGTGGTGACATTCTGCACTTCACAGCATCTCACAGCATTTTACATCCGTTATCGATTCATTCACTACGTTGAGTCAAGAGTCGTTCTCTTTTTGGTTTCTCTGTTAGGTCTGACCTCTCGCTGCGCAGTAAATCCGAAGTCAGTGACATCGACATCGGGCGAGAGAGCGTCCAAGAAGCAAATGCTGTTTTGATTTCTCCCACAAGCACACAACCAAAACGGACTATGAGTCTCAGAGGCATAGCGGATCATAGCGGCTACTGGGAATCACGTAGAGGAGGCAGACTTGTTCTTGTTGACTCCAGGTGTTTACGTGCCATACGACGTGTCTTCCAAGCCCAAAAGGCTGCGATCAAATTGGACTTGAATCTGCAACTCTGTACACCAGCAAGAGATGTAGAGCTAGAATGCGCAACAACAGCGGTGTTCTTGTACTGGTGAGTGAGATGCATCAACTGCGAGAAAATGCTTCACCCCACGACAGGCCTGCCCAGCGAGCCATGCCCCTTCCACGGCATCTGCCAGGCTATACCTCACCAGAATCCCGCCGAAAAGAAGACTATGTATGTATGTATATATATATATATACGCTAATGACTCCGTAATCATCTCTCACTATTATGACACCAAGGAAACACTTCCCATATCATAACCTCTGCCGGTGCACGCGGGGATCTGGACACAGAAGGGCCCTGCTGAAGGGTGGAGGGTGAGTTGTGCTCTCAAGACCCTAAACCCTAAACGCAAATCATAAACCTCAACCCTAAACCCTAAACCCTGGCCAAGGGCCCTAGGACCCTCGGGCACGCATCGCCAGCCGCCTGGGCCAGTATTGCTGCAACCTGACATGCGGATCGGGGATGTGCAGGAGAGTAATGAAGTGCCTTTGAAGCCCTGGCCTGGTGGTTCCTTGGAGTAGTAGGGGATACCGACCTTGGGCACTTCTTGTGCCACACAAGAATCTCTCAAGCTTCGCCACAAGCTGGAACATGACTGCTGGCAAACCAAAGGAACCAAGGAGCCCTGTCCAGCAGTCTTTGGAAATCGGACATCTCCAAACCTGCCAGGTGTGGCTACCAGTGCTAAGGAAGGTTTCAGAACATGTCTTGCTCTGGCGAGCGGTTTGCACTAACAACTCAAGACAAATGAGTTACTGTGTGGTGGACACAGCATTGCAGCTTCGAGCTTGCAAAACAGCCTCCTCCCCAGCTTGAAGAGTGCGAGAGTCCAACTTTCCAAAAACCTGCGCGCGGCGTGAAATCCCATTTCAACCGGTAGCATGAGGCTCGTCTCGGGCGTTTGAGGCAGTAGGCTGCCCTGCAAAACTGTTGGGCCCCAGGATTCGCTTGACGAATGAGGGCCAAGCTGCAGCCCAACTGTCACCGACGTCTGGGGTGTGCAACTGGTCCATGCTCTTTCCAACAAAAAGCTGTAGTGTCATGACTGCAATAGAACTCCAGCAGTGGTTGGTGATGATCTTTGGCGAGAGACCGACCACCACATTATTGATTTTAAACATAAGCATCTTGCCAGCTATGTGGTGATGATGTAAGCCAAGCTTGTGAGTGATTACCGGCTTCACAGAACCTTCCGCTGCAGGAAAGGGCAAGCAAGTGCCTTCACTGTCAGGATCTCCTTCGCGGCCCATCCTGTACAGATTCATGGGCCATCAGCATCCGGGTGCGTTCAAGTGTCCCCTGAACGTTTGTATTCCTCGCACGCGACCAGAAACCCGTCTTTGTAACTCCTTCCTGATTAATCAAGGTAGTGTCAGGCCCTGGGTGAAACGACTCCTGCGGCACCGCAGGCATGCAGAGCTGATGTAGAAAAAATGCCTTGTCGAGCTGGAAAACCGACTGGGTACTGAATGAGCTGTACACCTAACATCCTGAACATCTCTTGTGCGAAACTCCGCAGCGTGCCCCTCAGCGAGGTGGTGTCGCAGCCTCCTTCCACTTCAGATCCCGCGCGTTCAGGTCAAGATGCGAAGGAACACCACCCTGAGGCCAGGCAGTCTTTGTTGAATACTTAGACTCAGACGTATGGCTGATGTCGACAATCCAATGAGGTCGAGAGGTGTGCTGCGATTATTTAAACATTTATGATTGGAAGTTCAGCAAGCCAAATTCTTTCTGATTGCCTTGTTCATCACGCAAGGTCTGGGTGGAAAATGCTTGCATCCCTATGGTTTCATGCATAAAGCATTCATTCAGCTCACTATGTGAGCAGGTGAACCTGACGAAGCAATAGGGAGGCGACAGGCATCACAACACCTCGGTCAGAGCCAAACGCTGCTGACTTAGCTCACACGCACGGCTGCTGGGCTGACCTGACTTTATGGCAGGTGCCTTGCTACGTTCACCGCTTTAGATCAGCCAATGAGACAGAATATACAGTGCCAGCAAGGCAGAAAACCACTCAGGAACCTGGTAGCTTGCGCTGACCATGGATCCCGAGGGTGCACAAGCATTGCCATTCCAGCAGAATCCGGCCTGACACATACATGCCCCGTTGACGCAAGTACTGTGAGCTATCCAGCATGTTGTTGAGCACGATGTACTCGTGTCGCTGTCACATCCCGACGCTGAAGCTGACCTGAGGGTCTCTTGCTGCGTGAGCACGAGGAAGAGGTCCGGCTTGAATGACATGGTCTTGTTGAAGTTCTCTACTAGATCGGCTTGAGCCCTGGTTGTTGGCGGGCAGATCCCTGTAATGGGATCGACGTCGATGCCCGCACCACTGATGTTCTTGAAAAGGACTTTCAAAGGGGGCCTGAAATCTTTGGGGATGAAGCCTGTGGCGGCTAGGTCATCCCGATTGAAGGACTGCGGGGTCGTGTAGCCACAGCCGGTCGGTGTGCTGCATGACCTTGCCGATGGACAGAAGGAGTAACCTCGGGGGCAACAAAATCAAACGAGGAGAGCAGCTCTATGATCTTTGTGCATTGCTGTACTCTCAGCTCTGGACCGTACAAGTGATGGCACTGCGCGCATTCCATGAAAGCTCCGTTGCGACTTCCTGGAGCTGTCACGATGCAGTAGTCAGGGCTTCTGAAATCGTGCAGACGACGTCTTCGAAAAACCTCATAACCATATGCATCGCCATACATGCTGTTGTAAGCGTACATTGCGCCAGCACCCACAGCAGCACCCGCCAAAGCTCCGCCAACTGCGTACATGGCAACATTTGGCCGCGACTGCGCTGGCACAGCATTGTAACCAGAGTAGCCGTAGCTAGTTTGGTATGGCATCGTGCCTCCATAGTTGTTCATGAGCTGAGGTCTGCTAGCGTAGCCGTATGGAACCGGAGGTGGTGCTGGCACTCCAGTGGTTCCAAAGCGACGTCGGGGACTCGTTGCGTAGCTTTGGCCGTTGATGCTGGTGGTGCGGCGCCGCGTGCTGACAGGAGCTGGAACCGGAGGCGGGGGGGCACGCCTGCGCACGTCCCGCCGCCGCGGTGACACCGGTGCTCGCCGCCGCGGGCTCCAAGCCGAGGGAGCCGAGGGGCCTCGCCTCCTCGGTGATGTCGGCGGTGCTGGCGGGGAGCGCCTGCGCGGGCTCCAGCTGCTGCCACTCCTGCTGCTGCTGCTCCAGCTGCTGCCACCCCTGCGGCGAGCGGACAGCTGGCGCGCAACAGCACCATGCCCCGATCTCATTCCTGGTTCTGCTTCTTCATCAAGCATCGCCAATCGTCGAGCAGCATCACAAGTGTCGTTCACTTCGTTGTACGTGGCAGGTGGGTCATCACCTCAGTGTCAGGTCTTGAAGACAGCTTTCTCACTTCAAAGACCCCCCAGAATCTGCCGAGGCCTCGTACGTGTCTGGATAGCAAGCACCCCACCCCTAATCCCCAAAACCCCGGCACAGATTGCACCCCACTTGTTTGCCTGGAATGGGTACCCGCATAGTTGACAGTTGCCCCGCTCCACCACCCCTAGCCATGCCTCTACCAGGATTTCCTGGCCTCACACATTTGGGGTTTCTTGTGTTGCCACTCCCATACTTGAGCGCCTGCTCTATACACGAGCCTGCGTGTTACAACAGGCTTCACACCCGCGATCTCCGGGTTGGGTTGCCTCGCCCTGGGCAGGCCGAGGCCGAGGCGGGTCGGGTCGCGTTAACGTTAAGATACCACAAGCCATTTACGCAGCCTCGCAATGGAACCGCGCCTCAGAACCAAAAGCGTCGTCAAGCATAATGGAAAAGCCTGTTGTGAAAGGGATTGCCTTCTTCTTCAGCATGACAAGACCGAAGGTTCCAAAATGATAAGTCAGTCCACAGAAAATGACATCAAGAAAGTGATCTCACTGGGACTTCAAAGGCACAAATGAAGTTCATACACTAGGGAATGCAACATCTGTAGGCCGCGCAGCAGGTGATGTCAGAAGTGATCTGACTGATCTGACTGGCAATTATGCTGTCACAGGCTGTCCGAGTTGCATGTCTCGTAGCTGAAGTAATAGCCAATCCCAAGCCAAGACTGCTTCGCAATCGGGCATGCCTCATCAACGTAGCACCAAGCATCGCAGCACCACTCATGGTCCGTGGAAGTGTTCCAGCCACCATGCTCGTTGTGGTACCAAGTAGCCTCGGAGCTGACATGCAGAGTAGACTGTCCCAGACTTCGCCATGGGTTTCTAACTGCACATAGACATTTTCAGCGGAGCCACACCGAAACGGACAAACTGTGGGCGCCGACTCTTGAAACGCGCGGGGGGCCGAACGATATCGGCCTGATGCTAAGCAGTGTTTGCTCTTTGCCTTCCCACACGCCTCCCTTGGAGGTCGAACACACGAATGCTTTGTGGGTCTTTACACTTCCCTGCTCGGTGGTCACTACTCGCTGGTTGTCCCAGGACCACCGGCGAAGCCTCGGTGGGTTTCAGGGCGCCACACACTCGTCACACCATTCCAGAAACCGTCTGATGAGTCGGACATCTTCGCGATCTTGGAGGGCGATTGAAAGACGTCGTTGGCCGTTGGCGAGCCAAAGGCAAAGATGTGATCAGTGCTCTTATCCTTTGCCCCCTTGAGCTTCGAGTCTTCTGGTTCTTACATCCTCGGCCTTTGTACCACTTCGTCTAAATCGAAAAGCACCTGACTTTTCCTGCCGCAACCATCAACAGAAAAGATTCAGCACATCACAGTCAGGTTTGCCCTGTCGGTTGGTTCCAAAGCCTGGAGCTAGATCCATGCCTAGTGTCTAGAGCCCGCCCATGCCAACCCCAAGATTTGATGGTCCTCAAGCAGGACTGGTCGCTGTTGCGACTGTTGTGTTTCCAGCCCCTGCCTTCTGTTGCACTACCGAAGAAAGAACGTCGGATCTGTCAGACGCGCGTTGTTCTGGATATCACGATACATGTCATAAATCAGTGTCCCCAATCATTACCCAGCTCTGACCTTTGAAAAGAATCTCAGATCCCGGCCTTACAGGAGCTGTCATCCCAAGCATTGCAAGAGCTTCCATAGTCCGCGGCAAAGGAGTCGGGAAGCGACGCTGCTGGTAGCTGTCCGCGACATTCACATGCTCGGCTGTACTTGCAACCCGAAACAACATCCGCATTCATGGTGCAATTCTGTGAACTCCAAAAATGACCCGGCCATACTGTGGAGGCCCGAGATGTGGGACAGGTTTCGCTCACCCAACACCATGACATGCAGCACCACATGTCATGGCTTGCCCGGGGGTACGTAATCTCACAGATGGTGGCGTCATGGGGATCACACTGTTCGCCATAGTTGGCATAGCTTGAGTTCAGGCCAGCGCGGGCTAAGTTCGTGGCATCCATGGTGATGCCAAGGCATTCACATGATGTGTCACCTCGGACGTAGTGACACTTGCTCAAACTGCTGTTTCTTGGCTCATTGTTCTTCTACTTCTTCTACCTATTCTTCTTATTCGTCTTCTTCTTCTTCCTCTTCTTCTTCCCCTTCCTCTTCTCTTCTTCGTCTGCATGGCTTGAGGGCGGTTGCCAGTGCCCGCGGGTCTCGTTCGCTGCGAGACTGGAAAGAGCTTCGGGGAAATACGCTGGTGTCTCTGTTGAAAGGCTCCCCGAAGGGGCCCTGCGCAGGATCGGCGGATCCTTGGCGCTGGTCTCGGGAACACGCTTTGGCTGTCTTGCTCTCCATGTCTCTCGCCTTCGCTCTCTCTATCTTCTTCTTCATCACCTTCTTCTCCCGGGGCACAAGGGTTAAGGGATCACCTCCCGATCTCTTTAATCTTTGTGTCTCTTCTACTTCTGATGGGAATGGGAGTGGGGAGATCCCCGCCCCTGCATGCCAGCGCACCTGAGTGTTGACTTCCGGTGAGATTTCTTGGTGTGCCCGGCGTCTTCTCCTTACTGCTACAGTACGTTTACTCACCATCTCCTCCACCCAAGATGCTCGCTCATTCCCTCTTATCTCTTGCTTGAGCAATTCCATGCTTCATGGTCTGGGCTAGCCAAATGCTGGCCGCGCGCGCGCCGACTCATCCGACTCATCCGACTCGGCCACTCACTCTGCATATTTCGACTGAGACCCGCACCATCAGGCACGATTGGCTGCGGTTTGTAAGGGCACTGAATGACCAGAGCCGGATCATCGTCACAGACATTGTCTGACCAAAACAGAATCCCCTCCATGCCTGCATTTAACGACTGCTTGGCGGAAGAGCACTCTTTGTCAACGTAACACCAGCTAGCACAGCACCATGTGTCGACCTGATCTGGGCGATAGTTTGTGGCGCAGTTCTGCATGTCCCACGTGCCACACGTGGAGCCGTAATTAGTGTCGAACTTGGCCTGCATCTCTGTACTGAAGAGGCTACCCGCGTTCTTGCACTTGCACGGATCATTCTGCTCTGCAACTGCAGTCCAGGTGCAGGGCGAAACCGGTGCGAAAGAGTTGCACGCAGCATAGGAGAAAAATTCTCCGGGAAGAGCCTGACTGGAGTAGGCATCCGGGCAGTCACTGGTGGCATAGCACCAGGGCCGACAGCACCAAGAGCCTCAGCAGCAGAAGATTGCCGGATCCAGCACCAGTCTTTTTCCTGTTTATTAATTGTCTTGTTGTGTTTTTTGAGGGCAGAAAACCTGAGCCTAGTGGACATTTGGAGTTTGGAGCCTAGAGGAAGAGGCAAGCAGGATTTGTCGAGTTCTCTGAAGGCCTTGGGGGGGTATCGTCTCCGGGCCCGATAACGCGGTTCTCGGCTCAGGAGGTCCCTGGACACCTTCGGTGCGGGACCAGGGGTGAGTGCGGAGAGCTTCAGATGAAGTCGGCAGATGTTGCGGTTTTGTTTGCTGGCTGGACCTCCACAGGGATTGGCCTCATCGGAGAATGCGCAAAACCGACTTGCGGACGAACAACCACCGCCCCCCACACCCCCCCGCCTCCGGATTCAAACCATGTCACACCTCTGTTTCTTCTATAAACTGATTGGGGATTTCCCTCTTCAGATATAGGTTTTCACTCAACATATGGAGGAAACAGAGGTTTGCCTATTCAACTATTGAGGACATACAGCTTTCCTCTTCAAAATCAACGAATGCAAGAGGATGGTGGGGGCTCTGTTTTTGAAGGGAACGCCTGATGTCTATTCTGGTTGTGCCTCGTTGCGGGAGGGGAGGGCGGGGTGTGGGGGGTGGGGGGGGTGGGGGGGTGGAAGCGAGTGGGGGAAGATGGAGGGGGAGGCGTAGCAAACGACACGAGATGACACGCTCTATTCTCATACAAGCCTCACGTAAACTCAAGATTTCGGGCTTGGGGCTGAGTCGGGCTGAGGGCCTACTTGTAGGGCATCATGCCAGCAAGGCCAAGGAGCCCAAAGACATGTTGCCCCACAACTCATCACACTTGGCATTATCCCAAGCTTGACACTGTGTGCCATAATTCTGACCATAGGTGGCTTCTATCTCCGTGGGAAGGGTCGGCATGGTGCACTTGCAAGTGCTCGGCACCTCATCACTCAACTCCTTCAAGTTGATAGTGGTCTCCGGAACTACCTCTTGCCCATTGCTATCCTCGATACTGAAGGTGATGCTCACAGCCTGTTGGCTCGCGCGGATGAAGCTGACAATATGCGGAGCATCAACTTGCAAAGAGCTGGTGTAGTTGATGCCCAGGTTATACTCAGGAAAGGGCGGCGCATCTGGGTTGCTACTCACCGGTTTCGGACATACCACCTGCGCGATATCCACAAGGTGCCATGTCTCGGCAGCGCTTGCAGTTGCCCAGCACAACAGCAAAACCCTGCCAGAAATCATCGTGGTGCAATCGTGCACAAATACAGCGAGGACTGCGCGCCACTCGCGACACAAGCTATGACACCAAATGTTTCGATCAAGACGTCAATAGACTTCATTAGGCCTACATTATAGGCATTATAGGTTGCTGTCAATTGTATGAATCTTGCTGCATAAAGCTGTCCTGAGCCAGCAGATCATGAAGATCTCATTGGTTCATGGAAAAACATCAACTTGCGTGGTTCACTTCTGTGCATCGTGACGGAGACGGCAAAGGTTTTCAGAGGACATTCACGAGACACGGCCAGGATACAGCTCGACGCGCGAGGGTCAGATCCTTAATTGTCGCCGGCCTTCGGCCAATAGGCACCTGGAACAAACACATCAGGATCTGGCCTCCTTTCCCCCCCCTACCAACCCCAATTGCCCCCCCCCCTCCCTCCCCCCCTCGCTCCAGCCCGCTGAGGGAGCTACAATCCAATGCCGTGGGTGGGGCACACAGGGTGGAGCAACGAAACCATGCTGGGCACACGAGCTCTTTTTGCAACCTTCTGGACATCTTTTGGCCCAGGAGCAGGTATTGCACAGCCTACACCAAGGAAGGCTCCCCAGGATCCTGCAGCAAACCTGGACTCTAGACGTCGTCCCCCAAGCTCATTCGCGCTGCGGATTTAGGGTTTCGGGTTTGCGAGTCGGCTGCTCTCCGGCGTAGTTTTTCCCCGTCTGGAATTTCTGAGATGCACGCTGGGACCGCCGCCGTGAACATCTCGTGGCTTGGGCCAGCCCGGTTGCCGACGGGGCATGCGAAAGCGTTTACAATTCTGGGTTACTCTTGGAGTGCCCGCAGGCTCTTGAAGGATCTTGGAGGACACCAGCAAACACAACCAACTGCATGGAACTTTCGATGGGCAGTTCCTGCCTCCGAGGTCGCCATCTCAAGTGCTGGACCAAGGACGCCAGAGCTGTGAGGGCTTCACTGCTTCACTGAACACTGCGGCAGCGACATGAAACACTGCACGGCCCATCCGCCCAATTCCATGCTGACCCTCGAGCTCTCCCAAAAGCTACTCTGGGCCCACGCCCTCTCAAGAATGCAGGACGAGCTGTGTTGTGGTGCTTGGATTGGGGGGACTCCCGGAGGCCTCCTGCCGAGGAGAGCCGCAGCGCCGGGGCCAGCGCCCCCAGACCTGCACTCCGCCGGTCCCAAGGGCTGAAGATGATCCTGGCAAACCCTGCCACATTACACGATGAGGCCGGCGCGAGCGCACAACACAGCCGAATGCCCATCCGCATTCTTGACAGTAGCATCTGCTCCTTCAGAGATTGGATGCCCAGTGGAATGAGCCAGTCACGTTGACCCAAGATGCAACTGGCTGCCCTTCCAACGAGCGCCTCTCCGGAGGAGGCTGGCTGTGACAGCTTCGTTGGCTTTGGCCGCAGCGACCTGCACAACATTGCGAAGGATACACGTCCTTGCCGTTCCAATGGATGGTGCTGGATTGTGATGGATGTGTACGTGAACCGGAAGAAGTCCGGAAACTGAACCAAAATGGAAACAGCGTTCAAGCTTCCATAGGGACAAACTTCTACGTCCATCAGCACATGCTGGACATGCATTGGACAAGGAATCTGCACAATTCAAAGAAGTTATCTATAAGCAGTCGTCTGGGCGCCGCAGCGTGCAGCGCTGTGTTGCCATGACGATCTGCTCCACTTACGTCTGCTCGACCGGCCAGAAGGTCCTGCTCATTCGCCGACAGGCTTTCGTACAGAGACCAAGCTCAAACAGCAAATGAATAAACAACACTCTACCGAACATCTCAGCACGTGAACGTTAACCGTTTTAAGGGCAAGCCAAGGCCAACCATCCATCCTGAGCCTGGTCTATTGCTAGATCAAGAGGGCAACTAAGCCAAATGGGCTCCATAAGATTGTCTTACCGGATCACTTATGGTGCTCCTCCACCAGCGCATCTTCTCCTGACTGTTTGCATCAAAGCCAAGAGTTCGCCCATGAACAATCATGTACTGATCTCACTACTTCTCTCAAGCCGAAGCCAATTAGGTGTCTGCCCTCAGGCATTTCAGGAGACTTGTGGCCGGAGCCTAGCTGTCACGGGCTGTCGCGGGCTGTCACTGGTCACATGGGCAGGCCTGCGCTGATGGAAGCCATGAGCAGGGTTTCTTCGGAGCATCCAGGGCCTGAAAAGGGTAGGGTGCTCAAAGGCAGGCAGCGCTGTGCCATCCAGGTGCATAAGCTGGCTTCTGCAATGCAGAAATCGTCGGAATCTCTCTCTCTCTCTCTCTCTTTTGAGCTCTCTCGTTCTTCTTCTTCTTCTTCTTCTTCTTCTTCTTCTTCTTCTTCTTCTTCTTCTTCTTCTTCTTCTTCTTCTTTCTTCTTCTTCCTTCTTCTTCTTCTTCTTCTTCTTCTTCTTCTTCTTCTTCTTCTTCTTTCTTCTTCTTCTTCTTCTTCTTCTTCTTCTTCTTCTTCTTCTTCTTCTTCTTCTTCTTCTTCTTCTTCTTCTTCTTCTTCTTCTTCTTCTCTGCTTCTTCTTTTTCTTCTTCTTCCTGTTCTTCTTCTTCTTCTTGTTCTTCTTCTTATTATTATTCTTCTTCTTCTTCTTCTTATTCTTCTTCTTCTTCTTCTTCTTCTTCTTCTTCTGCAGGGCATGGGGGGCCCTAGGACCCCTCGCGCCGAGGCGGGCCCGGTCGCACCTCCATCGTGAAACTGTTGCTCGCTTTCCCCGTTTGTTTGAAAAATTGCCCAGATAGGGTTTGTGCTCGAAAAAACAGCTCCCCCGAACAAACCGCTCTGATCCCAAAAAACAGCTTCCCCCTTTGCTGGGCCCCGTGTTGGGAAATGTGATTCTGACTTCCTCCGGGATGGCGAGGTGGAAACTACTCGAGCAGCTTTGGAATTTCTCCCCTAAACCAACTTACCCCTTACACCAACAACAGGGCTTTATTAGCTGCTCTGTGTCTCTGTCCCCATGTTGTCTACCACGAACTCGGAGCCTGAGCTGCACTCCAACCCACTCCCAACCTTCACGATCAACCTCTCTCTCTCTGTCTCTCTCTTACTCTCTCTCCTTCTTTCAGAGGACTCGTTTCCTTCCTTTTTCTGTTTGCCTTTCTTGGGTCATGGGGGAAGCTTTCCCTGGCACTCCGGCCCGCCCCTGTTTTCGGGGCTGCCGCTTTTGGACCCACTTCCCTCCTCTGCTTGCTTGCTGCACGCATGACCCTCCGAAGAGGGCCCCTCCCTCTCTCCCTCCCAAGGACACTCCAGAAGGCCAGTGGTTTAGGGTTCAGGGTTTAGGGTTCAGGGTTCAGGGTTCAGGGTTTAGGGTTTAGGGTTTAGGGTTTAGGGTTTAGGGTTTAGGGTTTAGGGTTTAGGGTTTAGGGTTTAGGGTTTAGGGTTTAGCTACAAGTGCAAGCTGTCGTCGACTTTGCCTGTGTCCACCAGGTCGACCTCTAAGCCATGCGCCAGCAAAAGCTGAACCTCAGCACATCACCGCTAGGATTCCCACCCGCATGCACAAGAATAAGGTGAAGGCATATGAGAGACAATGTGAACAGTGAGAACTCGAGGGATGAACCACATTGCGGTTCTCTTGCTGATGTCGAAGCCGCGCAAAGAGTGCGTCAGTGAAGCGCGTGTCGCATGTCGTCGCCCCTGCATTGAGGAGGACTTCCAGCGCAGGGCAGGGCTGGTCCAGACGCAGCGCAGCGGCCAGCGGCAAGTCTCCAAAAGAATCAGGCTGATCGGCCTCAGAAATTCAGAGAATCACAACTTAAGAGGCTTCAGCTCACTCAAGAATGCAAGAAGCCACACAGAACGACTTAGGAGGGAACGGCCAACCCCTGCCGTAGCTCTCGCACCAAAAGTTCACGTGCGGCTGTGCCAGAAAGGCCCTCGAGCCGTCTTGCCAGAGAGCCCCGCGGCTGGCTGGCACTGCAACCCATCTCTCATGTCCTCAGTTAATTCATCACAACTCTGAAATCACACCCTACACCGAAAAAACGAACGCTAAACACATCTCCAGCCATGCTTGACTGCAGGTGTTCTCGTCCTTTCGCTTGTGGACTGCTTTCACTTTCTCATTGGTTCACAGACGTGCCCTGTTTCAGGCTGACTAGCTGGGCAGAGCCATAGGAACATCAGAAAACAAGTCGTGCGCGTGCTCCCCTCCCCCCGTGCCATGCACAGGAGAGGAGGGAACCTGGCCGACTGCCTTCTCTAGAGGCAAGCCTTCAATACCTCAGGGCGTTTTATCCTGTCTCCAAAGTCTTGTTTCCTTCCCTTCAGAGAGCGGTCAGCCCTACTCCCCAACTCACAGCTGCTGATCCGCCTTTGGGGTGGATTGCATGCATCGCTATTTGTTGACCTAAACTGCCAATTCTGCCAAGCCTCTCCACACCAAAGAGAATGTGCCAGGACTCCATGGCCGCAGTTCTTGAAGGAACCGAGAGATTCTGCCGCTTGCAGTTGAATGCAAAAACATGGTAGCCTGCCATGGCTTCTACCCCGCTTCTACCCCCAGAATGCCGTGGCCGTGTGGGTCTTCGCTGCTTCGCTGCTACCTTTGCCTTCACTGAGCAAGGAATCGGGTGTGGGGTTTAGGGTTTAGGGTTTAGGGTTTAGGAGTTTCGGACCTCTGGGCCCCCCATGAGTGGTGGGAAACATCACCAAGCACCACAGCCGTAGACGAAGGGTGCAGTGGGCATATGCCTCGGAAACTTCTTTTTGCAAAGTATAAGGAGGCTTCAGGGACTCAGGGCGAAGTCGTCGGCATAGTCGAAGGGGCGTCGCTCCACTGCTTGCAGTCCACCTCAAAAGCTCGTCTTCAAAGACCGTGCCAACCGAGCCCTTTGCTTGGGTGTATAGGCTGAGAACCGGACCCTGAAGCCCGGCTTCATGCAACTGCAGCGCTGCAGCTGCGAGTTCCTGGAGACACACCGCCTCCCCGAATAAACGCCACGACATGCAGGACAGGGAAGGTGCGTGAAGAAAATCTCATTAAGACGAGTCCTCGCGCAGCGTAGGTGTCGCACCCAGAGATGGCGCCTTGAGCTATCACAGTCGGTTTCCCTCATAGGCACATCGAAAATTGGGTCTGATGTTCTATCCACGTGCGCTTCGGAGAGTAGGGGGTGTCTACTGGTAACAACAAAAAGACAACCCTAGATCATGCGGGGCTCACAATATCGGTTTACACACTCTCTTGCATTTACTCGGCATGATTTATTCTTCATTTTTATAATACGCAAACTAAGTCACATGCTTGACACAAACAAAGCAAAGGGGCATCTTGGTGCCAGGAGAAGTGCCATCGCGCAGCAGATGTGTTCCTGCACAGGGTTTGGACGGTGGCGGCTCGGGGTCAGACGGTCTGACATCAGCATGCAAGGCGTTGCAGGCCTAAGTGGAGACGCTGTGGCGTAGGCAGTGTACAGCTCTGGTTCCGAGGCCACACGAATGATGTATTCCACCGCTGCCTTTGACAGTACAGGGTTCTTGCAACAAACAGAAGCACAGAGATCGACAGGTCAGGAAGCTTGCCTCGAAGGAATCAAAGGAATTGACCCAAATCAAGGCATCGGGATTGAACAGTTCGTTCACCTCCGTGTGACATTGCAGCACTAAACATCTGCGGAGCTCACAGAGCTGAGCCGGAGTCACAGATGCGATGACACAAGCAGATCAGCAGCGTGCAAAGTGAGAGCCCCAGTAGATCGGAACAGCCTTTGCCACGAGCAGAAGAAATCAGTGAGACCATTGGCGAAGTGTCTGCGGTTGGCGGCCAAGGACTTGACTCCAGCGAGGAAGGCATTCACAATTTTCTCAGTGACATACCTCACTCTCCGCCAGTGAATGCAAGTGCCAGGTTTTGGTCTCTAACATGTGGAGCTGAATTCCGAGTGCTTGCCTTCCCAAACAGGGCCCTGCCATCCCTGTCGCGCCTTGGCGAGAGCCTGTTCTCAAAGACCAGCGCAAAACGAAATCGTCGGAACAGCCTTGCGGCATCCTGTGGAAAAGAGGCACGGAAGGAAGGGCACCATATGTGGTCAGTTCTCTAAACTATGGCCCCTTTTGGGGTGCTCTGAATATTGGGGGGGCCGCCTTATCATAGCAACCGCAAAAGGGACCATGATCTTGAGAAATGAGCATGTGTTGGATGGAAGCGCGGTTTTCAGGGTATGTCCGTCGAGAATTGAACCCAAAACCCAAACCTTCTTTCCGAACGCAACAAGGCTCTTGCAGAGGCTTCGTAGACAGGACTTAGCTGCCCTGGCACATGCACGGCCCGTATTGCTTTTCAAGGTCGACTGGGTCTGTGGCATCCATGTAGCTGTCAGAATATCTTTGAGACCTGAGCCAGGAGCATCCATGCAGCATCCCGCCGTTTGATGTTCAGGTTGCTAAGTGGCAGCACTTTCGTTCTGCTTCACCAGCATCACCAGCAGTGCCACACCGCGAGAGGGTCTCGCAAGGGTAGTGCGACTCGAACACTTGAGACTTGGGAATTCCAAAATGGAAATCTTGTAGAAGGGTGCCTTACAAAACCTGTGTCACATGGGTTCCTTGGTCTGGCGGCATACCTTTATGGAATCCAGAAAGGTCCTGGAGCTTTGGAATCCTAGCTCGGGGTAGCGTTGCCTGTACCGGGAATCAGGGGTGTAGGACCGGAACTCACAGCCTTTCACGAGAATGCCACACTGGCAGCTACAAGGTCCATTCTTGTCATCCCAACACTTAACGAAGCAAATGTATTTGTTGCGGGGAGTGGGCCGGTGACGACGACAACCGACACGACTTCCACCACAAGGACACGACAACAACGACCAAGACCTCTACGATGATGACGACAGACAATGAGAACGGCGACCGAGGCAACGCTACCACCACAACCTGGACTACCATGACATTTATGACTACTATTTACCACGACCGACGACGGCTGAGAATCCTACTTCCCCTCTTCCTGCAGTGCTGCTGCGCCGCGCAACGCGCAACTACTCAGAATGCCATGCAAAAGAAGCACAAACATGTTGCCAATTACAAACCCGCCCATTCGGCACGGCCAGGCCTCAACAGAGCCCAGACCTGCTTCTCGTCCTCTTGCATCCAGCAGCCTGAAGAATCGTTCTCCTGGGAACACTTCGCGGGGCAGCTTATGCAACTCACGAGCTGAAGACATCGTTGCGCGTATCCAGGAGCCCCAGAGAAGGGCAAAGCGGCTTGAGGTGGAATGCTCAGCAGGAGGCTGTGAGGATAGCAGCGGTACACCAAGTATGCCGCAAAGCCTGGTCGATCCTGCTCGCACAGTGGTGCAGCAGCCTCCATTCCCGCACATTCGCTGTGGATTAAGCACTCAGAAATGCCTCCAGTTGGCCAGCAGATCTTGGCTGCAGCAGATGGCTTGGTGTTGCCTCTTTCCGCGAAGCGAAGGATGTGGACCTCCCCAGCTCAGATACACAGAACGTTCATGCTTCTTCGACACAACGCCGAGGCTGGGGCGCATAGGGTACCGGGAAGAACATGGAGCGGCCGCCCGCAGGCAGAGGACCAACGACCTGGAGCATCGGGTTGCACTGTCGTATGCCCTAAGTTTTGAAGGGTCGTGGTTGTGGTGGTGGTTGTGGTGGTGGTGGTGGTGGTGGTGGTGGTGGTTGTCATTGTTGTGCTGTGTCTTCCTTGAGCTCCACTGTTCTTCTGATTCTCCTGTGGAGTGCATGCAGAGTGTGTACTCTAGCTGTCACGCAGAACACGCCAGCAAGTGGACGCACATGTCAGCACCCAGCCCTCTGCTTTTGCAGGACTTTCGGAAGTGCGTGCCCCGCAATTGAAAAGGCAAGCGCGCTCACGCTAGCTGGGTCTCACTTGGCTCCACGCGATCGACGCCGGGTAAGACTGCAGCAGTGCCTGCTGAAGCCCTCTCTGAAGCTGCTTCGGGTTTAGGGTTTAGGGCTTATCTGTGCCGGGTGTTGGTGTGCTGCTGTGCCTCTTGCAGGGAATCCTCGGGACTGCGCTCGCCATCCACGAAGATGAGGACCCCACCGAAATTTATCGGTACTGACCTCAAACTTCAAAAGAGATGTGATGTGGCGAATGTGGCGAATGTGGCGAATGTGGCGAATGTGGCGATGCATTGCTGATACTGATTTGCAGCAGGCAATCCACCCGAATCTGACTTCTGAAAGGATCTCGGGCAAGCTTGAATCATCTGGGAGTCCTGCTGTGACCCCGAAACTCTAAAATCACACCCACCAACTGAGCCAAGCTCGAGCGGTACACGTAGATGTCGGCACCTGAATGCTGGGCCAGATGGAAGCCGCAGAGCCGATTAAGAATGGATCACCGAGACGCGTTCAGCTCAGCTTTTTGTCTAATCGCCTTCGTGCTTCGGACGTCAGCAATTCATTAGCCGACAGCCGTTGCAGGGGCGCAGAGCGCCGATTTCGTCACGGTGCGCCTTCGGCGCTCCTGGACTATGGCTTGTGAACTCTATACACACCATGGCCGGGCTCAGCTCAGAACCTGCACCAAGAAGAGTCACAGATCTGGCTTTGGTGGAACGCCGGTGACGTCTCCGATTGAGTATGGACAGTTCTTCGCTCCTGCATCCAACGGGAGGCACAGGCCGTGGTGAATGTGCCTGGCACGGAGGGTGCAGCGCACACTATTGTACATGCGTGTATGTGACACCTATAAAACAAATACATAGTAAAAATAAGAAGAATATCAATACGAATAATGCTATTCAGAATAACTTATCTATGTATTCATCTGCGTGTGTCTGTGCATCTCTGGTACGCCCTGGGGATACATCGTTCATGTATCTCGCAAGGCTTCTGAAACCGGACTCCTCCTCATACTTTATCGGTTGGAAGTAGATGCCCGGAGAGTTTCACGGGCGTCTAAAATTCCTGGCCCGGACCGACTGAGCCGCTCAATCGGTCGCGGCTGGGAGTCAAGATGCCTGGGGAACTTTCTCAGGGCACCTACATTCAATCCAGGTCAACCGGCCGTTCCCACATGCTAAGCATATCGAAAGACATTCCCCACTACAGGAAGGCGACTCTGCTGATTTCAGCAAAGCTCTAGTGCAGCATGAGCAACCTAATGGAACTTCTCGGAAACATTTTGGGAAGAGGCTGTATGGAGAAAACACAAGAAGCTTTTTAACGCCCTACAGGACGGATACAGACACTTCCTTGTGTTACACATGTCGGATTTCTAAAACAAAGCTCAGCTTTCTCCCGTAGAGCCCTATTTGTAGGTGACGCTCAGCCAGATACCCACCCCCCCCCCCCCCCGCACCCCCGCCGCAGTCAGTTCGATGTTGTGTGGCATTCCCCGTCGTTTTCCGGACTTCAAATGAGAGCTCCTCTACAAAAGCCGGCAGCACTTTCAAGACGGATGCCCTCTATGGTGGAAACTCTCATCTTCATATGAACGAAGGTTCCTTCATGAACGCTGTCGCAACTTAGACCCACATGCACCCCTTCTCCTCCCTATTCCTTCTCGGTAACATCAGCAAAGCGTTGACATGGCACCTCCATTTCGCACTGAACCCCGAAACCGAAACCCTCAATACTAAGCCTCACTACGCCCTCTTCAAAATCCCACAGGCAAATATACTTGCTTATTTCGTAATTCCTCTCACCATGATCCCGTACTTGCTCACTGCCACTCATGTCCACTTGCGAAGATGGCCAGGTGCCCAATCTTGCCGACACAGTACATCACGTGCGCTTGACAGTAAGCTCGCGGCTCTGAGAAGGCTCCGCGGTTGCCTGCAGGAGCGTGTCGATAAAAGCTCGTCAGATGTCTGGTCGAAAGCAGGCACCTCATGCCGGCTGTCAAAGGTCTTGCGCCGCCACATCGCGACAGCCGCGACAGCGCCGAGCAAGCTGTGCTTGGCCTGAAGGCCGCGTAAGTTGTCGGAAGGTTTGTGCTTTCTGGCTTAGGTCTCCACCTGGGGGGCCGCGTCGTAGATGTCGCCTCACGGCTTGCAGCACAATTCAACGCGAACTTGTTGAACGCATCGTTTGAGTCTTGCGCTGTTGAAGGCCGACTCACTGAAGAGCTTCCTAGCAAGGCAGCAAGTGCTCCACGAAGCTGCAACTGCAACGTCAGGCCGCAGAGGCCTCCTGCATGCTGTGCCGACAAGGCATGAAGAAATGCTTCTGTGGGTGGCATGTAGTTCCTGGCAGGCCTTAGCCAAGCCCCGGAAAGGCCAGCTCAAGCCTACGGAATGCATTCCGCTCCCCCCACACGGCTTAGACCCAGAAGCTCCAAAACGAGAGCATGTAATGAATGTAATAGCGAATCCAGCAGAAGAACCAGGAAATGAGCACTAAAGTCAACAGGCTTCCAGCTGAAGACGATTCGGGTCTAGGTTCGGCGGTGGACGTTCAAGCTGTTGACGGTCATCAGGTGTCCGATTTCAAGCTGCGCCACAGCTGAATTAGCACCCTTCAACTCAGGACCAAATTTCCCAAATTTCCCAAATTTACTAGATGTGTGCCCAGCAAATGGTGGCTCAACCCCTCCAGGCGTGGCTGGCAACCCCTCACGCAGTATGAACTCGGGCTCGCGCGGACTCTCAGCGCACCGTTTTGGCGACACTGGGCACGTGCTACGCCCTGCAGGCTTCCACGATCGAGAACCTTCAGTCTAGGCGAGGGCACTTCTCAAAATGTCTACGGGCCGTTGGGGCACAAGTTTTGCTCCGAGCCACACGTTGCTCGCCCAGACTGTGGTCTTGAGGCTTGGCCTAGGCTCGAGAGAAATAGTGGCCTGGCCTCTCAGCTCAAGCGCTTGAATGGCTCATTTCTCTGCCAGGCTTGCGCTCCACTGGAATGTCTGGTCGGCCATAGATGGCTTCCACCCTGCGCGGAGGGAAGGAAAGCAAAGGTACGAGTCATGGCGCAGCCACGATACATGACACCCGCAGCCCTGCAACCTGCTGAAGTCCGCTGAACGAGTACATGTACAGATGACAGATTAAAAAAAAAAAAAAAAAAAAAAAAAAAAAAAAAAAAAAAAAAAAAAAAAAAAAAAAAAAAAAAAAAAAAAAAAAACGTACTTCCGAATATGAGGCTCATTGCGTTTCGCGAAAGTCACTTCGTTCAAAAGTTATCAGAATCACTCGAAGGCCTGGGCTTGCAGGAAAAAAACGCTTCCTGAAGCTAGCAGAGGCAAAGGTTCACGCAATATTCAGCTTCCAACAGTTTTAGGAGTGGTTCCCCAACTGAGCCGTTCTGTGCCGTTACGCAGAAACTGCAAACTTGGATGGGCTTGGGCGATTCCGGACTGTCAAGCTGGCCTCGGCGTCGTGGACGCGGGCACACCTTCGCCGGCTCTAACTGCTATAATGCCAAGATGTGCCCTTAGACCCTAAACCCTAAACTTGGTCCTCTGCAAGCATTTGCCCTTGAAACCAGACCAACACAAGCTGTCCACTTGTGTCCACCCCACGCAGAATCTTTCTTACCAGGCTGCTGGTGGGTCGGCCATAGGTGTCCATGAGGTTCCTCAGCAAACACGGACGGCTTGCGAAGAGGACTCTGAAGACATCAAGAGTCCACAGCCAGAGCCACTTGAGCCACTTTGGCCAAGCAGCTGGACTCTTGCTGACTCACTGCGGCCTCGGCTAGCGCTTTTGCCATGCTTTGCCGTAGATATCCCTCCTCCTTACAGGTTAATTGAAGCTGCCTAAGGCCCCCTACTAGATGCTTCCACTTTTGGCTCGTAAGCAATAGCAAGATATAGCAAGACCCACAGCAGAAGCCAAGGGGCTGCTGCTGGAGCGCTGTGGGGTTCCACTACTTGTGGCGCTGCGACTGCTTCGTGCTGCCTCTGCCACGAGCGATTGGCTTCAGCTTTTTTCTGGTTTCTATTTGTCCCACCCCTCTGTTACAGCTGCACACCTTTCCGTGGACTCTTGCCACGAACCCTTGTGGTACCTGTTTGTTGCAATTCCTAACCCAAACCCTTGTCGCAAAAGGGCCGCCTGCAGCCTGTTACAGGCCCAATGATATTGTCGGGTTGCAATGGTTGCACTATTGTGTGGCAGACCCAACTCGATTATTCGAAAGGCAATTGTAATTTTACAACATGCGGCTTCTGTGATTCCAAGGCGAAGGCTGCATTAACACCAAAAAACTGCCTCTTTGCTGCCATGGCCAGTCCGAGAGCGGTCTGAGAGGCTGAGCGGCGCAGACAAAGCCTCGAAGATGGAGCGACGGTGCCACTGCAGCATTGCGCTATTTCAACAGTGACGTTGAGCTGATCACACTGCCGACAGGCGAGGGCGACAATCGAAGCGTCAACCTTAGTTCAGTATACAAGCCCACCTGTGCACAAGGTCTCCCGTCTCTGGCACTGCACGTCCACAAGACTGAAGCGTGAGCATGCAAAAGGTGGACGTCCACTGCAGCGGACTTTGCCAGTGCACATCAGGACGGGCGCAGCTCTTGAAAGACTTGCTGTGAACGATTCTCGAAAGCTTTGTGTCTGCGGTTCAGTTTGCTGAATCAAAAAGCACGTGCAATGATTGCATTTCCTCATGCGTCATGAAGCATGCCGAGCCGAAACACAGGATGGTGACAGGGACTTCAGGACCTAGAAGATCTGCAAACAGCAAGAAATCAGACCTGAGCATTGTTTCTTTGGCAAGCAAAGCTCCCATCACATGCTCTTCGATCCCGTCGCCATCACATCTGCCATTTGCCAAGCTCCACGCAATCCACGTCTTCTTCCAGCACGAAGTCTTGGAAGCTAAAAACCTGGAGCATCAATTGACAGATAATGGCTGGGCATCCGCATGCCAGGGTCTAGCACATGTCTTGCGGCACGTCTCATGCCACACTATCTTCCACTTTAGCGGAGCATGTGGACATATGTTGACGGTTGCCCTGTTTGTCAAGTGGCTCCTAAAAGGGAAACAACCGCAACAACAGAGCGCCTCCTCCACAAAGTTCTTCGCCCAGTTCAGACCCCCCAGCTCCGCCTCACGCGTCACACCCGTCACAGCCCATGCCAAATTTTTCCACGCAGCAACTACAAAGAACTGCCAAGAACATAAGGCTATGGCCCCATGGCCCCACTAAGTGCCATGGCGCAGACCGAAAAGCCCTCTGCTCCAACCGCCTCTCGAGATGACCAGGACACCAGGACGCCGGCTGATGAAGGCGAGGACCTGGCAGGCATGCTCTTCATGGTAGGACATTTAAGTGCACACATGGGGTGGTCCTCTGAATTGGGGTCCTTTTTTCATAAGGGTGCCGTATTCTACGGGGGACCCAGAAGGGGACCCCTAGTTTAGAGAACTACCCAGAGGATTGCACACCTTTGCAACTCTTGCCGGTCTCACTTCGGTTGTAGTCGGGCAAGTAGCGACAGGAAGGGCCATCGTGAGCCCGCGAGGGCCTCTCCGACTCAGGCTCAGCAGGTCACTTCGGTCACTTCCCTGAAAACAAGCTGAGCTCCAGTTTAAGGCCTAGGCACTGAAAGCTTCTGCACCTTCACCAAAGCTCTGCAATGCTCCTGCCCGTCTGCTCATGAGGACAGGCGAGGGCTTGCTTCTCGCGCGGGGCTTGCCCAATACTCCTTCCTAAGCTGCCCTTTCGCCCTTTGTGCGCATACGCTAACACCCAACGAGCGGCAAGTCCACAGCTCCGAACACCAGCCAAATCAAGTATCGCTAGGCGTAGCCCCCTTTGGCGACCCTTCCGCCGCCCTTTCGCGCACGATGTTGTGCGCATGACTAAACCCACTTCAAAATCAGAGCATGTGGGCTTCCGCTGCCTCGCTGCGCCTTCTCGATCGCTATATCAACCTGCGGAGTGGGTGTTGCAAGGGCACACTGGAGCAATCTGCCTTAGTGACAAAAAAAAAACAGCTACAGGAATGATGGGCCAGGATGTTGCTTTTTAACTCAAGTCATATACAGCAATTCACGGTGAGTAACAACCAGCCCTTACCCCGAGCACCAGACTAGCTGGTGCATTGTCTGCGAGCTGGGCCGAGTCCTCGGTTCTCCGTGTGGATAACCGGCTTCATGCTACCATCCTTTTGCGTGTTTGTGAGCGCAGCGCCAGTGGCATTGCAAAGCATCAGCCAGCGCTGCATAGACTACCTGGAAACTCTGGCGGCAGCATGCGGAAAGTGTGTGATATGGACGCGTGCTGTCTTTTGAGTCCAGGAGGAGCACGAAAAGACACGAAGAGTGGTTTGCAGAGAGTGATGCGTCTGAAGGGAACATGCGTGACCTGCGCAAGCAGCTGATAGAGCTTCGTGTTTTGTGATCATGCCACAGATTCCCTCTGTCAGGGAGACATGCCATTCCCCAGGTATTGCAGCCCAACCCTCAGACGACACTCTGTCGCAATCGACGGCAAGCTTGCAATCAGAGCGCTGAACAATGCCACTGATCGTCCTCAAGAGCCATGCGAATGAGGCCTGTATTCCCACGCACCCTCAGGTTTGTTATCCTTAACTTGTTTTATGTAGTTGTTGTACCCTATGCTAGTTTGCTCGCAGGTCCCCGCGTTTTCGGGAAACAGGCCTTTCCAGAAGGCTGCCGAACACAGCAATGTTCACTTGAGGTTTGAGTTGGGGATTCCGACAGCAGTTTCCGTGTGCAGCTTCCTACAGCTATTGGCGATTGCCTTCGAGCTGCCGGCAAAGCCGCTGCAACCTTGAGACTAAGGACTGCAACCAGACACCTGACTGGGATATGCCGTGACCGCAACTGCGACTAGCGAAAGTATCTTTACGTCGGTGATCATTGCTCTGAGCAACAACGACAGCTTTTTCATGAGTCACAGTCGTGAAGAATACGGCAAAGCAGCCGACGGGCACATTTCTCGAGCAAGAGGCGCTCGGCCAACAAAGGCAGTCGTGCGGTGTGTGCGGCGGCTTGTCTGGACAGGCATCTTCCACGAGGTGGGGTGATAACACGTGGATACAAAGCAAAGCTGCATTGTGCCATCTTGCCCCAAGTCTTCATAAGGGCTCAGACTCAGGTTCCGGATGTGCTAAGCTGGTTGCTCCCAGAGCTGCGGGGCAAACGCCGGGGTGACGTGGCTGTGCTCTGGCCAAAGCCTAAGTCAGTCTGAGGACGGGAGCAACTGAAGCTTCTCCATTTTGCTCTCAAACAGATCTGTGACTGTGAGTGAACGCTGAGGGCCAGGTCAGTAATGAACTGTTCACCCACCTTATGCAGTGCCAAGAAATACCACCAGATGCCCTCGCAAAAACTCTGCTGTTACAAGCCCCGTCGATACCCTTTCACAAAGGCATGGAGCCACTGACGCTGATTGGGTACATCCTGTCTGAACTGCGTGATGCACCGGGGGGGTGACTGCTGTGTCCGAGTCTGCTTGCACCTGCTGCTGGTTTGGCTCCACGTCTCTTCAGCAATCTGCCATGCATCAGGGACCTCCTCGTGAAGGAAATGCAGAATGTGAGCGATCCGCACGGTTCGGCCTGACAAGCACATCTTTTGCATGCCGTTTGGTCAATGGCTATGCGGCTATTGGATGCTATTGGGAGATTGCCACAGCCTTCGCCGGCGTACAGAGCTGCTAAGTCATGGAACGCCTGGTCAGGGACAAAAAGGCATACGAGGGCCACTTCGGTCGAACTGGCTTCGTCACCGTGACGGCGTCAGCTCGGAAGCACAAGAATGTTGACATAAGGGTGAGCTTCCAAGTCTACATCTACATGATGGTACAGAGTCCACATGATGGTACATAGCCTCACTTTGAAGCGGGTCTACTTGCAGGCAGAGCGATACAGTAACGTCACGCACGAAAACCTAAACCCCGTAAACCCCGAACTTCAGGCCTCTTGCTGCAGACTGCACCTCTCTGAAGGTTCCTGATTCGATGCATGGGTGTAGGGTTTGGGGTGCAGGGCTCATGGTAAAAGAAGCATAAGAAACGCATCGTCTCCTTCCACCCCAGCCGGCGCATGGCCAGCGAACGCGCGGGCTCCTGCCTGAACTCAGTCTCCACCTCCCAGCAGCTCGCTGCGGAGCAAGGACTGGTACGAGCAAGATTCGGGACCATTCATGGTGTTTAGGCATGTAGGCACGGCTCATGCGTGTTGCACATCCAGTAGCCGATCCTGCTCATGTCCAATTCGGGCTTGCCTTCTAAAATATCCGGGGTGGACGCTCAGTTTTCGACACTCTGTGTGCAGGATGCCTTCGAGGTATACATCCAAAAGCCATGCAGTAGATAACTTTATCCATCAAAAATGTACAATACATCTACATGTATATATAAGACATAGTTTATATATGCCCGTCAACCTAGATTGAGACGCAATGGTGAAAGTCACAACATGTCACAACCCCAGCAAAGTGGGGGTTTCCGAAATTAGGGGTACTTATTGGAGATCCTTCTACTTGTGGCTCCGTATTTGGGTTCCCCCTATTTCGTAAACTTCGGAAAAAATCAGGAAAGGGAGCAAAGGCCAGGAACCGAGCCAAGGCAGCCAGCGGGAAGACAGGCCAACCTGGTCGCTGCATTTCAGGTTCCAACTTGGACTTGGTTTTTGGGGCTTGGGGTTTAGGGGTTTAGGACTTAGGGCTTAGGGCTTAGGGTTTCGGGCTCATAACACTGCACTCTTCGGCCGCAAACAAGAAGAGAACAGAAGCAAAGCAAAAGCAATCCAGAGATCTTTTCTAGTCGGCAAAGAAGGACAATCAGTAAACGACAGCATACAGAGGCTCGCAGACAGAAGAGACGACGTGGGTTTTGGTTTCAGCGAAGACACAGCACGATCCAGCGATGACGCATTGAACGAACGATGCGAGAACTTCCCGGCTTGCCTGTGTGCACCAGCATCGACCATGGCCTGGCGCGATTGCAACATGAGGGGAGCACAACCTGCTTGAAACCGACTTCATGGGGGCTGAGGCTTGTTGGATCAGCTGTTAAAAAACGCGGATGCGACATCTTTGCCGCCATGAAATCCGCGATCCCGTCGTCCAACGTCTTTCCCTCAGGGTCCAGGGGAAAGCACATCCACTTCTCAGGTTGGACGTCTCAGTTGTGGGCTGAATCAAGACTATGTGCTCTGGACCAGGCCTCCTGCAGTAGCTGCCGAGCCTCTGCCCGCGGCCTGACGAAACAAAAGCTCAGTGTCGCATGTGTCGCGCCATAGTACCAAAGGGGCCCCCCCCCCTTTCGATGGCATTGTCGAACGTAAGCCTACTAAACAGGTCAAAAAATGTGCAGCACCAACACAACCTCTCTTGACTCAATGGTTCTGCTTGGAGCCCGACTTGAACAAGAGCAAGAAGAACCTCAAGCAGGCCAACTCTTCTGATCACCACACCTTTGTCGATATTCTCATGACACAGCTTGTTATACTAAGATTAGCCCTGACATGTCATTCGAGTCTTCAGCATCAAGTCTGTGCATCACGGGCTGCACAGAAGCGCCTGAGGCAAATCCTCGCCGCTGCTTGCACGTGGGTCTCCGCGTCACTGCAGCAAACCTGAGCAAGCAGGCTCTGGTGAGTCTCGTCGCTCTTGCCATGCCCAATCTGCATCACGCGTGCAATGTGAACAGACCGTAAAAACAAAAACAGTACAGACAAACCCCTGCCTCGTCGAAGTCGCCAAAGTCTTGCAGAAACTTTTTGTACTGGGCCTGAGGAGAAGCTTGTTGAATTAAAATAAGTAGACTGCTTTGCTTTGCAAAGCTGCTCAATGCGGTCTCCCGCATCCCGAGCTCACCCAGCATCAGAGTGAGTGCAGGGCAGTGGTCGCCGCCACTGCATCGGTGATGGCCCTGGGCGAGGCGCGAGGTGATACGTGGGATCTCGGTGTGCGTGTGTGTGTTGGGTTTCTGCTTCGGTGAGCGGCTTGAACTCCCTTCTATGGCTCTAAGTTGTCCAACTTCTCTTTGGTTTCTCTCGTTCCCTATGTCGTCTGTACTTTCTCCCTCGGTTCCTACTGGTAGCAAAAATGACCCTCAAAACTAGACAGCAACTTTCTTTCCGGTGTCTTTCAATTCTCTCTCATGTGATCGAGCTCTTCTCGACAATGTTCCGTCTCTGCATGACCAAAGCATTTGTGGCACGCAGGCAAGCAAGCTCCGATTCTCATCCTGAGAATGCTGCTTGCCGCGTTCTTCGCGACTCTCGGTGACCCTGACACCTTTGCTGGAGGCCTCTTTCAAGAAACACAAGAGTAGAAACCGTCACGATGAGGAGAATGAGGAGCAGCCTACGGAAGCGCCTCAGCGTAGAAGTCCAACCCTTTGCGAGCAACTTCATGCCACCTGAACCGCATTCTGAACATGCATCATCATGCATCATGATGCATCATCATGCATCATCATGCATCATCATGCATCATCATGCATCCTTGACAGCTGCATGACATGCTCATGGCCACTGCTAAGCATGTCATGCGGCACTGCTGATTCTTGAATTCTGCTGGCAAACCCGCTCGGATCGTACTCTTCAAGTCTTTCCCAAAATCAGCTTAAGACCCCTGCAAATTCAGACAACAAGCTGGGGAGGCCACGCATTCCTCAGCCCTTCACACGCCTTCTCGGGACCTGAAGGTCTTCCATGGCCAAGGTATGTCAGAAAAAGGAGCTGCTTCGATATCCGGCGAAATTCACAGGATGAGTGGGAGGCTCTCACTTGCCCTGCCGCACAGCAGGCCTGCAAGCAGTGCCTGCCACATGCATCAGGCTGAAGAGGTCTCAAAAACAAATTGCTGGCTGTCGCATGGCGGCCGAGAAGCAAGGCGCATGGGGCCATCGTGGCCAGGCGGCCGACCGACCCCAAGACATGTCAGAAGCTGGCCCTCGTGTTCAAGGAAGGCATGTGCGGGTCGTTTTCGTTAAGGGAGTCTTCAACAACGGTAGGTGCATGGAACATGTCTGCATCTTTGCTGTCGATCCGTCACAAGAATCGTCGTCTTCAACTTCCAGCATGACGCCATGCGCAAGCGCAGCATTAGACTCAAGACGTATCCAGCCCGACGTTCTGGGTCAGCAGACTTTGTCAAATTTGTCGTGGAGTCTGATTACTGACTTCGCTGCATTCTCGCAGCAACCGCTCAAACCTATACACATTCAGAACGGTCGTGCACGCTACGTGAAACGGGCCAAGACTGGAACGCCCTTTGCCTCGTGCCTTCATGGCTGGCCACTCAACGCCTTCAGCATCGAGACAGTTGTTGGATTCTCCCGTGGCAGTGGATGATCCATGGCTGCATTGGGATCATCTGCAGGCGATCCAGGGTCTTCGCCTTCGCGAAGTTCATCTAAATCGTCCTCTTCATCGGAACCTGGCAGGCCTTGGCTGTTTCATTTGTTGTTTTCGGGGGGAGACTGTCCTAAAAGTTTGCAGACACATTAGTGAGAAAAGGCGCGGCCAACAGAAAAGGCTCGTAACTATCGACTTCCTGCCGGACTGCAGCTCCACCAGTTTCAATAGTAACTTTAGGGCTTGTGCGATGTTCGTCCCCGCTCCCGCTGCGCTACTTCTCTTGCTCGTTTAGTCCATGGCCTGAGCGGCCCCTCCTACAGCTACATCGCTAGTTGCCTTTGTCTGCAATCACAGAACTGCCTTCGCAGGAGAGGATCTCCAAAATCCGCATGTGGCATTCTTTTGCCGTAGGCTCTTGCTTCATCGAGCTTGAAAGCAAGCTTGGCCTGAACCTTGTTCTGTTTCAGGCAACTTTCCCCGCCGTTCGCGCAACTTCAAGCCCGCACTACATACAAGATTTTCCGAGGACAGCACGTTGCCGCCCTTCATGCATCTTGTCGTCAATACTTGAATGTGTGCAGATGTCTGGGACTTCATGATCACTTTTCTGCTGTTGAGCAGATCACACGGGATCTCACACTGGAGGTCTCCAGGTCTTAACCCCCTTTCGAATGCGTCAAGCCGGCCGGATCGGTTTCCGACTGTTCAAGGGAGGGTGGTAGCAACGAGAGACCCTTCAGACTGTGGGGCCAGGGCCAGACTGAACCAATACTGGGCATGGTCCATCATGGTCCCCAGAACCTCACGCATCCGTTGAATGCGCAAGGAGGACCGCCTATTGAATATTGGAGCCCGTGGTCTCGAACAAATACGCGACTCTGTCAGCCTTGCGCATATGCACAATGCACAATTTTAAGGCGGGGGGGGGGTTCTTAAATTTGATGGTTTGAGTGGGCCATCCCAGCCTCTGAAACTTCATGCGAGGGGGGCGGGGGGGGGGGGGACCTGCTCGACATGTTGTAAGAATCGCATAGTGCTCCAAATTCGCACGGCCCAATATTCAACCTTGAGTATTTAATCTGGCCACATGTTCAAGATTGGACCTCGAAGCGTAGACCACTATCTTGTAGGTTCGTTCTGACCCCGCGCCAACTGCATCATGCAGGCGCAGTCGAATACTGCCCCCCCTTCAGCATTTTGAGATCCCGAAGCATAAACGCTTCACTTAAAGCCTGATGTAGTTGCATTCTCTGCTCACACTGAGCACTGAGCCTTGAGTCTCTGCATCCGGCATCGCTTCTGCAGTACCCACGCCGCTGGCTTGGTTCCGTAGCTCTTCTTTGGTGAAACGCATTCTGTCCATTTCTTCCTGAAGGTGCTGGACCTGGCATGGGCACCCTAAGATCCGATTCTCTGGAATAAAAAACCCACCAGAACAGAGGCCTTACAGGTATGGTCCGAACTCTTTTGGGGGCTATTTGGGTCCGTGAAGAGGTGCTTTACGGCCTCCATCTTCAGGGCATGCTGATCATTCATCTTCTTCTGGATTTTTTGCTCCAGCAGCCAGATGTACTTTGCAAGAGTCTGCTGATCGCGCAGCGCCATGACTTCGTGCACTTCCGCTGCATATCTCATCTGCCGGTTTGCCTCATCCATTTCTGCTCTTGTTCTGCTTTCATCCTGATCAACCTTCTTCATGACCACCTGCTTGATGAAGACATCTTCGTTCTTGTAGTGCTGCTTCTTGACAAGCAGATTCTGGAAGTCGCTGACCAGAGATGCTGCCTCCTCCTTCCCCCATTTCATCACACCTAAGAGCCGGTCATCCATGTCGCAGACTTCTCGCAGCGGCTTGCTCAGCGCCATCTGACTTCCGGAGTCTCCATCCAGACCTTTTCGGATGTTGTGGATCACCTTGGCAGTATCGGCGACGCGGCCTGCACGTGAAACTGGCCCATCCTTCTTGGCAGCCTTTGGGTCCCCTTCCATGACGAAGTCGTCGTCCCAGTCGATGCAGCGACAAATCTTCGAGAAGATCGGCTTGAGCTTGCGCTTGAATTTCATGGGTGGGGGATCTGCTGACACGAAGAACCGGTCAAGAATCGCGAAGAAGATGTTGGTGAAGACGCAGTACACAAGGATGAGGTAGGGGAAGAAGAACAAGACCGCCATCACTGGATTTGCCCTGTATAGGCTCCAGAACTCAAACTCGCCGATGATAAACGAGAAGCAGAACAAGAAGGCCGTAAAGATGTCATTGCACTTGATGAAGGAAGGCCCAAACGACACAAATGACAGAAGCGTGCAGGCAAAAAGCACGATGCCAAGAACGATGATGAACCAGAAGATGTCAGTCCTGGCATCCTTTAACGTCTGATTGAGTCTCTGCATGCGAGGGTCGTCGCGAATGAAGCGCAGCGGCCGCACGAAGATAAGCAGCAAGTTCACTGACGAGATGCGATTGTATTCTCTCTCCTGGGCGGTCAGCTCAGATGCAAAGTCTACAATCCCCCCATAACCTTCTTGGAGCTTCAGCGGCAGCTCGCCCTCCTTCACCAACCACAGGATGAAGAGGACAAAGCTCCAGAACGACATGAGAAATGAAAGCGCATCGACCGGCCGAAAAGGGTCTGAGATGAAGAAGGTGTAAATGGTTGTCAGAAATCCTGGAGCTTTTACACCTTCCGAGGAGACTGTTCGGCGAGTGTGCTCGGTTTGCATCTCGCGATAGAGCATGAGTGTGAAGACCATTACCAAGACCATGTAGACCACGCCGGGGAGTAGACGTCCTGTGAAGTAACCCAACTTGTCCACCCCAACATCCCAGCCGAACAGCGCCAGAGAGAAGACTCTTAGATCCTTCTGCACGTCGCCAGCCGGCGTTTGCACAAACCTGATCACGATGTAGCTCATCATGTCTCGGTTTGCATTGTGGGTTACAAGCTCAATCACGAAAGTGGCCGACGCACTCGTGAAATAATCATTCGCCAACATCAGGTCCATCTGTTCCGTGAATGTCGCGGGATTAGAATCCAGCTGACATACAATTCCGCCTGCCTTTTTGTAGCTGCCAGGTGCATTCGCAGACGCCGTGCTGCAAAGGGGAGTTTGCCCGTGGGACAGCTCATACCACGTATTGGCGTCCTCAGCGACATTGCTGGAGGAGTCGGGATCAATCCTTTGGGAGAACCCCGATTCATTCACCAGCATCTGCTGGATCTCTAAGCCGGTAGCATTGTCAACTCCACCGATGAAGCGCTCGTCATCGGGTGTTGAGTCATGGCGAGCTCCGTTGTTCAAGACCCTCATGCTTCTCTTCTGTGTGATTCGCACAATGGCCTGGCTGGAGTTGAATGTACCTGTGACAAAGCAGTTCCAGGACCGCAAGCATCTCACTCCCTGTGCTGCGATTGGATCTGGGCCAGATGTAGCCACGGCCATGCTTTCGGACGAAGTGGAATTGAACACCAGCTGCGGCAGCCCAAGTCGAATCCAAGAAATTGCTTGCGGCCAGGAGTGAATGTCTGCCCATGCCTCTGGAGGAGCTTGCGCAGGGTCGAAAGACATGGATGCAGGCACTTCAATCGAATGCACGGTTTCATTGACCGCAATTCGAACAGCACTCTTCTCCTCGACCATCATGTTCACGTAAAGAAACCAGATGTAGCATCCCACCATGACACAATACGTCAGTGCGGTACAAATTCCATCCTTGGCGCTCTTGTTCGTGTCCCGACCGCGGTATTCCTCAACCTTCTGCCGAACTGCCTCGTCAAGAGCACTTGCATCTGGGACGGCAGCGGCCGCCTGCGCGTTCACCGCAGAAACGGCCTCGACATCCTCCTCCTCAGCAGCTTTGGGCTTCCGCAAGCTCATGAGAATCTGCCAGACACTTCGGCCCTTTTTCTTGCTTTTCAGCTGCTGCTCGTACTGCTCGCGCTGGAACACCACTTTCATGTCCTCTGAGACCCTGTTGTAGGAGTAGTTGATGATTGCATTGAACATCTGCACTGACAAGAAGAAGAAAAAGAACATGAAGAGCCAGATGAACGGCACCCGCAGCGGGGCCTGGAAGCCGTCTACAACACTGAGGTCGCCAAAGAAGAGTGAGAAGGTGCTGACGAAAGTGTGCCAGGGGTCCGTGAAATTTGCCGACAAGGAAGAGAAGTGTGTCAATGCAAATGTGAAAAAGCCAACGAAAATCACGCCAATGTACAGAATGTAAACGACCATGTTCCCTGCGCTGAACATGATGGTCTTCAGGAGCAGTACCACGCGCGAACGGGTGTTCGCTAGAAACTGAAGTACCCTGAGGTAGATCGTGAAGGTTGCAAACGAAGAGGCCACTATGTACAGAGAGAACGTAGCAAATCGACCTTGAAATTCTGCTGGCTCCTCAAACTGCCGCCCGACCCGAAAGTCCCTCAATCTAGGCATGTAGTAATACCAGAGGCCGAAGCAGCTAATACTGCCAATGATGGAGCATGCGTTCACGTAGCACCAGAAGTTCTGTAAATATGTGGGGAAGCCCTTTCCGATTCTGTAGACCAACTCGAAGAAGTAGAGGCATGTCAGGATCAGGTAGGCGTACTCGAAGTACTGAATCCATCCATGAGACACGTCCAACCGAATCGTGTCTGATGTCAGACTGTGCGAAGAGAGCGCACCGGCTGCACTAAACTCAAAGAACACACGAACTCTGGAGAGGCTTTGATAGTTCGCGTTGTAAGACTGAAACTCCACTGTCAGACTTCCCAGCTGCGGATCAAAGAACGGCTCCGCCAGAAACGTGTCCAGGCTCACGGTTGCTGATCGCTGGAGTCTGCGGTCACAATGCTGCAGCGCTTCAGTTGGCTGGGTATCAAAAGTTTGTGAGTTGTCCACCAAGTGGACAAGCGTACCTGCTGCGGTAGACGTGGTCACTGCCAGATATCCTCCAGCATTCTCATATCCTGGGCACCAAGCGTGACATGCACGGTGACATGCAGCTATTCAATGACGCCACCTCATCTGCCCCTACTTGTCTCAAAGCATGCTGCGGGACTGTGCGTTGCAAAAAACAGATGTCTTCTTGCGGACATGTTTCCTGCATTTCCACAAGATGAGCAGGGTGGCGTATGCACCCATGTCACATTGCCAGCCCGGATGTTGGCCGTTGCTTCAGCACTCCCACCATCTTGTCCTGGGGCAATGGTGCTGGCCATCCAGGTGAGTGGATATAGCGGGGAAAACCGTAGAGTGGTGGTGGAAGCACTGTCGGCCGAGAGCTTCACACGTCGGAAGCTCAAGCTCATGGCCGCAGCATCTAAGCACACACCAGCTTTGGGAAGGACTCGGTTGTGCAAGTGCAGCGACGCGGGATTGCCGTAAGACTGCTCACTGCCAGCCTGCTCCAGCGCCTTGCAAAGCCATCTTAGCCACAAGCGCACGTCCCCTTCATCTTTGATGTCATCAAAGGCTTTTGGCGTGGGGGAGTACTCGAAGTAGTGGCTGGTCAAGGCTGTCCTTAACGCCTCGTTCGTTGCTGATAAGTCTCCGACCTGACTTCGTTCCATGATCACGAAGGTTGCAATGCCAGCATACACGGCAAACCGCAACACCTCAGCCATCACAGGGGCATGCTTAAGAACGTTCCTCAGAAAAGGAGGTCAAATCAGGTCATGTCCTGCGGCTTCTATGCATTGGCTCCCGTGGACACGCACGCGCTTGCAAAGAACCGTATGTAAACCCGAGCTAAACCCCACACGTTAAACCCTTTTAGTTTGCCACATGCTTTTTGCCTCGAAGGTGGGAGCTCTGCAAGGGCTCCTCTCTTCTTTGAGGGCATTAAGCACTTTAGAATGAAGTTAGAGGGATGGGCCACTGGGCAAAGGGCCCCTTAAAAAGGGGAATCCGTGCTAAAAAGCATGCCCGCTCCCTTCTGGATATTTTGGGGACAGGTATTTCGAACAACTAACGCTTGACGGTTGGTGGCTCAAGTCCGGCTTGAGAATACTTGGCAAGTGCTGTCGCAAGATACTGTTGAGCTGTGCTCACAATCACGGAAAAGTCAAAACACAACTATAAATAGATAAACAGAAAGGCATGGAAAAGCAATTCTCCGCTCTCATTTTGGTCCAACATGTGTGACGCAAGGATTGTACAAAAGATTGGCACATCTCATTTGGTCCAACATATGTACTCAAGACATTACTACCAGTAAAAGATTATACAAAAGATTGGCGCCTATGCTTTGCACGTTGAGGCGCCATTCGCATGGGCGCCTTGGGCTGGGCTTCGACCTTCGCCGCGAAGATGTCATCACCTGCCAAGCGGTGAAGATAGACGTGCCTTCGCTGGAGTCGCTGGTAGCGCCCATCTTTCTCATCTCCTTGCATTTCCATTGCGCCAGCTATTCCGGCATACTTTTGCTGCTTTCAGCTACTTTGTTTCAGAAACACTCAACGTGAAGCGACGTAATGAGGGTCTGAAAGGGTGCTGACGTGCTCGTGATCAGAGCCGAAACATGCTGCCAGTGCCAGGTAGCAGCTCCACCACCCATGGAGAAATTCGCGGCTGTGCTGTCAGACTGCCGACAAGTCGAGAAAACGTGCCGGTCTTTGGCGCCATCTACGGAGTCTGAAATGGGTATTCTGCTCAGCAGAAGTACAGATTGGAGTATTTACAGTGGTAAAGTTATCCTCCGGGCGCACCGCCGAGCACAATTGTTCTGATCGGCTTTCCAGCCTTGTTGAGGGGCTGACTACTGCTCGCTTCGCTGGCTTCTGGCTGCGTCGGTGGCGGATCAAGCCGATTGACTTCTGGCCTGCACACAGCTCACAGCTGAGCGATCACTTCAGCTCGCCACGAACTCTGTGCTTGAAGAACTCAATGGACGCGCCTATTCGATGTAGCGATGATCCCGATGATCACTGAGAGTACGACGGTGGCACCAGCCACAGACGCAAGACCCAGACCCTCCTCCTGGACTCTGGATCAGTCATGCTACTGAATATGGAGGCGCATCCCCCAAACAGTCCGACAGTCCGTGATCATGACATGTTGACATATTGCTTGAAGCGTGCCTTGCTACTGCAAGAGTTTCCGACCGAGCCCCGGCATGACAGACAATGACCCCCTTCAAAAATCCAAGGGCAGCTTCCATTCCGAGGGTTAAACATGTAAGGGAACAAAAACCGAGCACGTCCTTCTTGTACTTCTCCAGTTTAAACAGAGGAGTCTCCAGCGCAAAGTCTTGCCCGCTGCCAAGATCCGGCATGTCTGCGCAAGATGACAAGCAAGTGCCAGGACCCCAGCGAACCTGAGCACACCTGGCGTGTTGTCACGTGCCTGGCTCGGAGGTCGGCTGGTTTCCAGGTGTCCTGGATGCTGCCCGGGCTACCTGGACATCATATGTGGCTTCTTCACAACGCCCGAAAGCCTTACATTTCCATTTCCGGCCTGTGTCTGCTTGGCAATCCATGGCCTCCCAGGAAACGCTGTAACGGGGATAGTGCTGATTCTTCCAACGGGGGTACGGGCCGGCTTGGGCCTGCCGAAAGCCAGCTGCTGAGCACAACATCCGACTGCGATGAGGCAAGAAGCAAGGGCATAGCCTGCACATCCGGGGAGGACGAGGGACGGGGGACGCGGGGTCTACTAGATTCGGCTCACTAGCACTGTAGCACGAGTGCGGAGGAAAGCATCGCGCACCCTGCAGCAACAGGAACATTAGGCCAACATCGACCCGCCGCTGTAGTATCAAAAGGACCTCAGAGACTGGCCCCAGAACAAGGAGCCGACTACGCAGGTGCTAAAAGTTGCAAGACTATCGGTTCGGCGTAGGATTGTTCGGGCTTTGGCGGCTCCAAAACTAAAGTCTGACGGATCCCGAGAACTGATGTAGAATATGTACTTGTACCATAGTATGTATAGTTCTATTGTCATGTATCATACACCATATGTCATATATGCTGTGGAATGCAGAATTTAAGAGTGGTTTTCAACTTCCGAAGCATCACTTGGCCTCCGATCCTGCGTCGGCGCGGCATGTGGGCCGCGACAGACACTGCAAGGCCTTTAGCCATCCTACCCTGTTCGGGCCAAGACACGCCAGAACCCACACGCCGCAGAACTCCAATTCAAGATTGCCAAGCCAACTGGGGGTTGCCGAAATGAGGGGTACCTTCTTTGGGTCCTTATTATGAGGGAATCCTGGAATCCTAGGATGTGGGATGATGTGGGGTTCTAGAAATGCTGTTCGGAGTGCTACTATCGACCCTTTTCAAGTCGGCGAACACATGCGACGCAGTCGGAGCTCTCAGGACTTGACGATGTTGGAGGCCTGCTTGGCCTTCTTCTGCTGCTGGCCTTTCTTTGCCTGTCGAAGTTTCGAGAATGTGATATGAGATCTGCGGAAGTCTTGAGAGGCAATCGGCCCAAGGGTGCCTGGTGTACAATGCACTCCCCTGGAATGCCAACCTGCACAAGGCATCACAGGTAGAGCGAGATGGATTCTGCATAGTGGGCTTTTGTCTTCATGCTGTGTGGGTTGCGCGCGCGCGCGCGCGCGCGCGCGCGTGCGCGCGCACGCGCGCATGCCTTCAAGTACATGGTATCACTACACCATGCAGTTGAAGCAAGTTGTCCACCATGGTGTATAGCTTTTGACATGACACAGGGCTCAGAGATCCCCAGTTCGCAGATGACCATAGGGACTAGGTCTGACTAGGTGAGTGGCGGGGGATCTGCCATCTGACATCCTTGAAACTCATGACAGCGCTCAGCTCCGAGAGCCTTCACGAGCCAGTCCATCACAGCTGCATCCCAAAAGCCTGCCATTTCGGGTGCTTCTCGGACGGTCTCTGAAGACTGGAAAATGCGCTGCGAGAAGGGCACAACTTGCCTTGGACCATGACACATGCTGCTTGCGAGGGCGATGCCTCTGCCCATACTCAGCAAAGACAACGGCCTATCGTTTTCATGCAAACATGAGCAGTCCTCTTCCACAGCTGCCGCAGATGCCAAAGCCTTCTGTAGCGCGGATGCAAAAGCCTCGTCGAGCAGTCGTGACATTCTCCACTCCACATGCTTACCTGGGGGGGGGGTTCGAAATTAGGGGTACCGTTTTCGGGTCCTTGTAGTAAGGGGATCCTACTATTTGTATATTAGGGGTCCCCTATTTTCGTAAACCCCACATGATTCAAGGCAGATCCAAGCCGTGCAACTTGCCTCCAAGTTGACGCCATAAGCCTGGCGATGCAAGTGGATCTTAGGATGATGACAGTTAACTCAGGAGGCCCCCCCCCTAGCTGGACCAGTAAAACCACAATGAAAACAGAAAGGGCCACAAAGAATACGGGGTAGAACAACAAGGAGAGAGAGAGAGAGAGAGAGAGAGGAGAGAGAGAGGGAGCGAGAGAGAGAGAGAGTGAGAACAACCCGAGAGCACTTCCCTTTTTCACTTCCCTCTTGTTGTTTGCCTTTCTGTTCCTCTCGCGCTCCTCCTTTTTCTCAAAGGCGACTCTTTGGTCTAGCCGTCAGCTGGCCGCGCTTCTCCTGAGGTCTTTGAAGATGCGCTCTTCATCTACATAATTGCTGACTTCGGTTCTCTGAAAAAACCGAGGTGGGCGCCCAGGTCCCTTTTGGGGCTGCAGGGGCAGAGCGCAAAGCTGCCAGGGCCTCGAATGTTCCCTGGGACCTCATCGCAACACATGAAAAGGAGGGACCTGCCTCGGCTGTCGCCATACCGCCCTGCTTGGCATGAGCAAGAAGCGCCATCCGACACCTGAATGGCGGATCTGAAAATCGGAAAGTGTGCTGGCACCCTCATGGATTGTTTTCGTGATGTTCGTGCTTCGTGCTGCAACAGGAAGGACAACACCCAATGATGCCAGCACGTGTGCCTGCTCGCCATTTCCACGACATCCGGACTGCCATACGGCTGATTGACTTCAGTGTCATTGGGCAACTTGCCTCACGATGAGCTCCAACAACTTGGGGGGAAGGCGTAAATTGGCAGTTTGTTGCACTTGAAGTAAGTCGTCTGCCGGTCAAGATGTCGTGCAGGAGTGATGGCAGCGCAGTCTGCCATGCTACGGCAGCATGGGCAGCTGACGCCTGGGGCTCATGCTTTGGCCCTAACGGAGGCCCTAGCGAGTCTCAGATCAGACCATCTCAGAACCCCTGCCTCACAAAGTCCGACCAAGGACTGGGCAACGAAACGAGGCCTGGATGGTCACTGAGGGCGGACATTCTGCTTACATTGCATCGCAGGCCTGTAGTCGACAGGCATGCCGCAGAAGGTCTTTTCTTCCACAGCCTGCACACGACTGAAGTCTGTCCACAATGTGAGGCGAGGACTGCGACTTTGGCACTTTCGCACTCGCACCTGATCGGCTGTGGTTTCAAAGCGCCTTGCGAGCATCCGAACTAGCCTCGGACACTGCTGAAAGTGCAGGTTTGCTTAAGCTGCTGGGTTTTCGCTCCGCCACAGGGATGGAAGGATCCTTTCAGAGTTTCCTCCTCGGGGTTAAGCTAGGAGTTAGGTTTACTGTGCCTGTCTCACTTATATGTGCTGAATCTGCAGCGCTTCCCTAAATCAACCGGTCATAGTGACCAAGAAGTGGGGTTCCGAATGATGGAGAGATCACAATGAATTAGTTACCACAGTTCTTGGCCTTTCCTCACAGTCAGATCTGAATTCCAGTCCAGATTGTAACAAAGGTGTGCTAACTTCGTTCTCACATTTTCTCCTCCTTTCTTCTTCCTCAGTTGTGAAGGGGAAAAGATGTAAGTAAACGAGTGAAGCAATGATGTTGATCTTATAATACCGGGCTGTAAAACTAGTGATTGTAAGAAAAATAAGAGGGATAGGGCCCCTAATTCTTATTTTTAAACGGGGCTCACGCTAATAATAATAACAACAATCATAACAATCTATACTTGCGAGCGAAGCGAATGCATACAATAATATGGAAAAGAGAATGTCATGTAGAAATATACTGTTACAATGTACTTTTTATCTTAATATAACGGGCGTGTAATAAAACCCTTAATGGCGCCCGTAGATTCAAAGCCTTGTTCATGTCGAACTTTAGGATTATTACTGTCTCCAAGCCTTTTAATAACTTCCCCGCTGAGAAGATAAAAGCGACGAGCGAAGTGAGGGAGCGAGTATAAAGAGAGAATAAAGGAGAGAACGCAATGTAATATAGGAAGGGAGAAAAGCCCCCATCATGAGTCTATTTCTTCGGCTTTTCTCACACACACACACAACTTTCCTTAGTTCGTTCCATCACTTCTTTGTTCGCGAGCACACAACATTAAGAACATTAGTGCGGTTAACTTACAATACAGAGCCTCCCTGGATAACCGAAGCCCGAATGCGCGACCACATTGCACAAGTTGCAGCCGAAAGGCTCAGGAACTGCTCTCAAAGGCACAGATGCAACGGTATCTTTGCCGGCAGTGCTGAGGAATGCCAGGCCTCCATACGCTACTTCTTGCTTGCCACGCGAAACCTCGAAGTGCCTGACGCAGCCACTTCCGGGCCTATTGATGCAATCAGGTCGAGCCGCACCTCACAGGTCTGACGCAACGCAGCGCAACGAAACATGAGGCAACTCCAACCTGCCCAGCTCTCGATCTCCAGGATGGCTTCGTAAACAGCGCCAGCGTCGCTACCTTCTACATCGACTTACTGACATGGACCGAACGCGCAACTCTCTCCCTAAAGCCACGCAGTTTGCATGAGACTTCCTGCAACATGGAGGCAGTCGGTGGAAAGCCAAGGTGCCGCTCCCCCTCGCTGGAGGAGACGATGGGTCTCCTGGTGCTGAGCCTCTGCAACACTTGCATGACTTGGGCAACATGCTAAACTCTTAAACCCTGTAAACCTCCTTAACCCTATAAGCCCTAGAAGCCCTACAAGCCTTATAAACCCTATAAAACCCTATAAAACCCTATAAAAACCCTTGAACCGCACAAAACCCGACAAACCCTGCAAGCCGTACAAACCCCAAATGTCGGTGCTCTGAAACTGGGTCCCGGCACCAGGCGGATCAAGGCCGCCAGAGCCCAGGCCAGCATCCACAGGTCCTCACTGACGTTTGGGCAAAATCACACAGCACTTTTTGGGTCCTTTCAGTTTAGGGTGTTTTTTCAGGGCTTAGGGTTAAGGCGGTTAAGGGCTTCGGGTTCAGGACTTCCCTACTTCTACTTGCAACGCTTTGCGACACACTTTGCAGGCCGCTTGCACGTATGGCTAGCTGCTGCCATCTGCCCACGTCCTTCTGGCGGTGCAGGGCACCACACAATGCGGGCAGGACCTGCACTGCAAGTGCAGAAACTCAGATACTTCTGAGGTGAAGATGGGAATCGACCTACTCTGAGGGTCCCAACATATTTGCAGACAGATGCTGCCGCTTGTGGATTAATCGAGATGGACCGGACCTGGGAAGCCCACACTGGATGCCACTCTGGATGCCGCTGGAGTCCAACTCAGGGGCCCACGATTGCTGCGGCGTGCATTGCCTGCTCATCGCCCAGGCGCATTGTCACACGGCAAAGTCTGTTGAACCTGCCTCTGGGCCCGGACTGACAAGAGCTGAGGAAACATCTCGAAGTATCTCCAAGTCTGTTGCCGCCTTGAACAAAGCTTGGCAAGCTCAAACCGAAGCTCGGGAACTGCGCGAGGAAGAAACTAAGGTGAGAGAGTGAGTGGAGCAAACGTACTTGGAAACAATTTCAAAACGAAATGGACAAAGTTCGCAGAAGGTGGCAGGTGGCCTCCAACTCAGCGTGAGAGTGGAGCCAAGTGGAGCCAAGTGGAGCCAAGTGGAGCCAAGTGGGGCCAAGTGGGGCCAAGTGGGGCCAAGTGGGGCCAAGTTTCCAAGAAAGCCCCACCAAAGACAAGAGCTGCGCATACAAAACCTGTAGCACACAACATGAAGTCGGTCTTGGGTCCGTCATTGCAGTCCCGCCTTGAGCTTCAGCTTGTCTGCATAGGTGCCTCTCATGCCCTCATCGGGGCACCTTGCTCATTTTCAGCAAAGAGGCAACAGGACAACCCTCGAGAATTCAGGACGCCACCCGACAGCTGCGAGCGACTCGCGCAAGTCGGCCATACTTGTCCGCTGCCTTCTCAGCAGCGCGGGTCAGATTGACGAAAGCAGCAGGCAAGAGGCAGTGATACAGTACCACATCCACGCGGCATGCTTGGCTTAACCAGAACACGGGAACCCGCACCGTTGTGGCGGGGCTTCATCTCGCACGTCCATGGCGCTGCAACTCTGACGCAGATGGTGTGAGCACAGGAGCTTCTACAAACTCGGCTTGCAAAATGCAGGAGCCTGCAAACTGAATGCAGCCCATCAGTTAAGCTATTAAACGAGCCGAAATCGGCAGGCTTGGACAAGCACATCTCTGTAGCACTCGAATGTGCATCTTGAACAACATTGCGATGCCTCCAACCCATGGACCAAAGTGACGTTGTGCCCCCGGCGGGTGTCGGTTCGCACCTAACAGAGCAGAGGTATCTTGATGTGCTTTATATCTATTGAAATCCCGTGGTGAGCCCGTGAATGCTACGAAGGAAGGTCCCTCACTTGGCAATGATTGTATAGTAGCATGTGGTAATACATAGTATGATACAGTATTGTATGATATTGTGTAGTATTGCATAGCATTATGCAGTATTCTGTAGTATTTTTGCAGTATGATATAGTTCTATTTAGTTCTCTACAGTATTCTACAGTATTATGTGGTGTTCTACAGTATGAGTACTACATGTGGCTGCGTGCCTGAACGGAGGGTGGCTTGCCAGGCCGCACGCTCGTCTTGACGCCTCCAGCTGCCCCGCCCTGCCTGAAGCACATAGATTTGCGCATGGCGCTGCAGTACTCGCAACATGCTATATAGTAGTATTTAACACTGTTACGTTTTGCCGTACAAAAACATCCTCCTATATCCGTTGTAAAGCCGAATATAGTACTTTGTAGCATTTTGGGAAGCTGGCGGAGCAGTCACGCGGTGGCACAGCGGAAGCGTCCTGCAGAGGGCGGACCGGTGTCAACAATCTCAACCTAAACTCCAACTGCCTCCCGCATGCTGAAATGTCAAGACCGTTCTCTGGAGCTTCATGGTCACAATATGTCAGAATATTTACTCACAACATGGGTTCCCAGCTGCCGGTTCCTCAGGAGATTGTCGGCCAGGGCATCCAGTGACAGGCTTGAAGGTGGCTCCTTGAACTTGACACATGGGCCAAGTTGTCTCTAAGTCGTGGGAAGGCCTCTCTAAATCAAAGGCCTGCGTTTGGAGTGTTGTTGTTTTGGCGATGCGCGTCATGCAAACCTCCTCGGCCAGTCTTCCACACGCAAGTGGCACGAGTACCCGTCAACTGTGGGCACTTGCAGAACCTGTAGAAGGCTTTCCACAGGCTTCCTTCACTTCTCGCATAACGAATGCACGATTCTCTGGCCGAGGCGGACTCTGGGCATTCCCCTGCCAACACTCGTTTGGTAGAGGCCCATGCGTGTCCTCTGACTGCGTGTGCTGCATGGCAGCCAGCAACAACCCATCTGGGCCAATGCGCTTGCGATTGTTTTTCAACCTGGACATTGCAGATGCTTGCAGACGCTTCATCCGAACCAGCATCCGAAGCAAGAACAGCATGTGCGCACCACAGCTCACGAGCGTCTGCATACGACTTCACTGCTTGCAAACCTCAGCCAGCATGCATACCATGTAGGCCGAGGCAGATCAGTGCAGAAATGATACTGTAAGCAGTGCGAGCACGACTCGTCTCCGCTTCGGACATAAGCTTGGGACACTCCTCACGCGTCCAGCACTCGTCGGAAGGCATCTCTGTCTTCAGCACCTCGTAGTTCAATAGTGACTATGGCTCGGGAAGCTAAGAGCCTCCTTGCAGTCCTAACAACTGCACGGCAATTCTGCGCGGACGAAACTTCCATGTGAAACGAAACATTTCCCGGGCCTCAATTATGGGCTTCATCTTGATCATCTTCCAGACGATTTCAATCTGAGGCAAGAGGCACGACCCAAGACCCGAACCTTTTCCGAATGCCGCACTGCCTGTATAGCTGCAGATGGGCAAGTTGCATCCTTTCCTGGCCAACAGGCAAGCTCTACCAAGCCTCCCTTCCGCAAGAGTCTCGTCTGCCTGCAGCTTCGGCGGGCGCCTCGTCAGCTTCTGCTGTGACCTCTTGCGCATCGCCCATGTTTTTTGCTGGGTTCAATGCCGGTGCAGGCTTTGGTGTCTCGAGCCCCAGCATGCTTTGGCCACGGTTTCCATTCCCGGACGTCGGGATGGTCACGAAAGATCCTTCACCGATCCCGTTGATTCAAGAGACGTCGAATGTCTGCTGAGAGAAACTGACTGCTTTCAGAGACATAGCCCGGTGCCATATGGTTCACTCCATTCTGTTTTGTCCATAGCGTCCTCGTCATCACAGGATCCGACGACTTCTTTAAGGCAATCCACCCCAGCTCCTGGGCGGCTCAACAGGGAGTATGGCAGTACGGCTTGCAAGAGAGGGAGAGAGATAGAGCGAGAGCGAGAGCGAGAGCGGGAGAGAGAGAGAGAGGGAGCGCAGGTGTGTGCGCAGCAACATGTTTGTACGAAAGACACAAACCGAACAAACCGAGGTGACCTTCGGGGCTCAACTGTTTCCATTGGTAGTGCTTGGACGGTCATAGCCGCTGTCTCCCGTCATTCCAAAGTGGAGTGAATCCATGAGCAACTTGTACCGAAGAAAATCTGTAACAGTTTTTGTTCGTTGAATGGCGCTTCAGCAGCGGAATCACTCAGTGATCATACCAGCGTGGACAATGAGACATCGCTCTTATAATGAAGTCCTTTTCCTGATCTCTCTGTTATGAAAACTCCACGCCAGGACATGTGGCATCTCGACTTTCGAATGGAAGTTCATGAAATTGGCTACTAACACCCCTCCAGCACGAGCGGCGGACCGGTTTCTTGCAGCGTCTAGATGTTCGCTCTAAAGCCCTGAGCAAACTTCCGCCACTGTGAGGTACAGGCCTCCAGTGCTAGTGTGCAGAAGCCGCGTGCGAGACTGCTCAGGGCACGTGGCCCTTGGTTGGTCGGATCTGGCGATCTCATGATCTGCAGACTCAGACGTGCCATCAAACACTTTGTCTCTGGAGTCCGGTAGCATTCCACAGGTGTCATGAAGGCCCGATACGGACTCTGAAGATTGATATAGGGCCACCTAACTGGGGTAACCTCCGCCTTACAAGCCCAAGAGGTCATGCGAAAAATGCAAGGTCCCAAGATCTGTCAGAAAAGAACATGAACTGACTTTTGAGCAAAGCCTCAACACTCTTCATGCTCGCTGTGCAGGCGTATGGTGTATGGACAACATCCACAAGTCCTCGGCATGCGCAAGAAATGCACCGAGCTTTTTGAAGGAGCTGACCTGGCAGATGGCAGAGAAGGCGAAACCTGAATTACAAAAGTCAGCGAAGTCATCGATGTTCCGGGAATATGACTTACCCGTTCTTTCGAACTCGGCCTTGACATCTATGCTCGATCCAGCCCTCCTTTGCAGAATGCATTTGAATGCCATGTCACTTAGATGCAAGAGCCTTTGATAGAAAAAAACTCCTGCACGGTCGCATGTGCTGCGTGTAGACAACGTTGCCGGCCATCGGCCTTAACTTTGCTGAGCAACTGGCACGATTCTACCCAACTGCGCATCATAACCCCTTGAGATTTAAGAAAGCAAAGCGTGTTGCTGCACGGCGTTCTTTAGACATCAAGGCAAGTGCAAGTCCCGATCCTTGATGCGAGTCTTGATGGCCTAGCCGCACGCGACCGCAATGAACACCAACTCTCACTGCGGAACTCGGCGAATGCGAATGCACACTCGATCCTAAGCCCTCAACTTTACCCTTGCAGCAAGGCTTAACTTAAGCCATGCAGGGATGTATCGAGCGCGACACAAAGCTGCTGTTGCAGATGGCCTGCAGCAAGGTCTCGTCGAGCGCTTTGTCCATGTCCGCTCCAGTTGTCATCTCAGACCTGGGGATCCACAACTCAGTGGTACTCCAGTTTTCAGGCGATACCATTCGGTTCTCTGCCGGAAGGATTTTCAAGCCCCGAGCTCCTCCTCGGACTTCTCCCTGAGGCCACGGTGATCCCAAATGTGGTTTTAGAGATGCATTGAGGTGTCTTAGAAGTATACACAGGCTTTTTTTGGGGAGCCCATGATGCCCCCCCAATGCACCTGAAGAATCTCGAAGCAAAGAAAAAAGTGACCGGGGCGAGTACGCATCTGCGGCAGAGGGTGGCACTGCCTCGTCCGAGACCTGCTAAATAAGCCAGCACAGAACATGCAAAGGGACATATGTCATGGCCTCAACGTCAATGGACTGGATCTCCGTACCTTCCATGCAGGCTCGTTCATCCAAGGCATAGAAAGGAGCTGCCAGCACCTACAAAACCATCTGGTCGTGGACTTCCCATTGCCTAGCGGATTTGTGTCCGACGCTGCAGCAGATGGGGTTACACATACGCGGACGCCTCCCATAAAGCATCGCCGAAGTAGTGCAGAACTTCGACCGCCTCGCCCCTTGGAACAAAGTCTACCGCCAAGGTACTACTCGGTGCGGCAGAATTCTGTTCTACTGCTCTGCGGTGTGCAAGAATACGTCATCAGTTGGTGCATCTGAGGGTGACATCAACTCACAATCTGGTTAAGCCTGCAGCTTCGTTCCGACACCCACCGCTGTGGGTGGCAGTCGCAGTCGACCCACAGCACAAGCGGCAGGATTTCCTGCAGCACCATGCAATGGAGGGGAGTGGACAGTACCGGTTGCACCTTCCGCACGGACGGCAACCAGGCTGCCTTCTCTAGGAAGGGACTCACCTCAAAGACCAAAAGAATGGACTGCGAAAGTCATGCGAAGTCCTCTCAAAAGCAGTCATGCAATTCCCAGCAAGAATTATCAAGGTGCGCAGTGCCCGTGGTGAAGCCCTCGTCCTTTTCTTTGCCAGAGTACGGCGACTAACTTCCAGTTTCCCTGTCCATTCTCTCTGCGCTGGTAGGCCAGGTAAGAAAGATATGTAGATATGCATATATGTGTATAGGTATAAATAAATGTATACATGTATATTGCCTATACACACCTATCATGGGCAGAAGCATCTGCCACAGTCAGTGCCCCATGAGGGCCAACATCGCTGCCACGTGTGCATCCAAGACCATGGCACCGGCTTCTTACCATTGAGCCACATCCCCGGTCACGTCAGCGTTTGCTGAGTGCCCACGCTCGCTTACTGTTGCAGAAAAGGACCAGCCGCATCTCCGAATGCTAGGCCGAAAAAAAGTGACGGTGGAACGAGGAGAGGCCGTCTTAAGGCTTTAAGACTTCGTTGCTCGTTTGGAGGAAGAGGAAGTCTTGGAAGCGGCTGGTCAGGACGGAAGCTGAAGCGTCCCACTTCTCAGAGGTCTTCCGCGCCGCCCCGCTCAGACCATGGCTGGGCCAATGACGCCAAAGGCGGAGGTTACGCTACAGTGCTACACCAAACAACTTGAAGAAGCAACAGCACGGCAGCTTCCTGTGCCTTGGACTACGCACGCAACTTGCAAACACATCTGACAGCATCTGGCGGCCCGGCATCCCTCCGAAGGCAAGACGCGCAGGATGCCAGGAGCCTCACGCCACATCACTTGATGTTGCCAGGGTTCTACTAGCCATTTACTAGCCCACAGTCTTGAATCTCCACATTTGCCCGAAGCCGGTCCAAGTGCGGAAGTGTCGCCATCACGTTGGCCCCTCCCAAGACAAACTTGGCAACGGGCCTCAATTGCATGCACACGTACGGCGATCCGAACCAGTGGTTAGGCTCGGCCGGTGCCTCTGGATTATGACGGAAGGAAGCCACGATTCAGCTGAAGGAACCTCAAGGTTCAAGTCCCACCTCTCTGACTTCTGTGGGGTGCATGCATGGCAAAACTGAGTCAGCTTTCGCAGCCTTCCACAACGAAACGAGCGTTGGCATCAGCTCTCCCTGTCAAGGCCAAAACCAGAACGTGTCCCCACAGAGGGACGGAATCGCAAGGCAACATCATCAGGGGACCTGTCCAAGATCGGCTTTGCCATCCAGCTGCACCTGGGCTGCTGAGGTCACTGACCTCTTGTGCTGTACAACATCAAGCAACATCAGCCAACCGGCGAAAATGTGTCTTTATCCCTTCGTCAGTCAGCTGACCTGTACCCAGAGGTGCTTCGGAAAGGACATGGACCGATTTCAGCACCGCAGCCGTGTGCGAGCGTGCGAAAACTCGGCCATCCCGGGTGGCGACATCCCAAAGACTGCGCGTCCGCTTTGCGTAAGCGTGGCATTGCATGCTTCGGGAAAGCACGCGCACCTGCATCCGCTTGCGACGAAGGGATTTATGGTTGTTACTGCGACCGGAGGCAGGAACGATAGTGACCTTCCAGCAGGCTCGGCTCCAAATCGTCGCACTGAGCCCTCGTTGGCTTGGTTGATTTGCCTGTAGCCCAGGACAGAAGCTGTCAAAATCGTAGGTGCAGTTGCCTTCCCCGTGCTGCCTTATGATCCAAGGCGACTCGATGGCCGAATTGCCCGGAATTTCAGCACCGAGCAGCCTGAAATCTTAAGAAGGTAAGGGCACTGAGCCATTCGCCTGGTTGGTGTGCCTTTCAGGCTGTGGCGGGGTGACATTGCCGCGTGAGCTCTCGAAGGCTTCGGCTTTTGCACGAGGCTTCCTGCTGCAGGCAGCCGCCATCTTTCATGGTAGATGGAAGACGTGCTGGTACGTGGGTGTCTTTGCTTCTGCGGGGAAACTCGTCCCGAAAACCACCGTTCTCGAAAAATACACAACAAACACTTTTCTTGAAAACAAACATTCTCTCCAAAAGGCACTTCTTCGAGAAGTGACTTTTCTCGAGGCATTGCGACCGCGCGAAACGCAACTCTTGCGAAAAGTGACATTTCTCGCGGCTTAGTGAAATCTGGGCCAGCTTCAAAGGTCCAAGCCAGCACACACTCGTCGCCAGCAAAGATGAACTGGATGGAGAGTCCTCCACCAGCCTGGAGCCCAGGGTCAGCGACACACCAGAGGAACATGTCCGTGCCAACCCGTCCTTCCTCACAACGATGTCGACCTTGCTCGGCAGCACAGCCTAAGAATCGCGTCTTCGCATCAAATCTTCACACGCTTCTGACACGAGCTTCCAAAAGCGGGACAAGAGCCCCAGTTTGCAAGCAAGTCACGTCGGCCACGGCCTCACCGGCAGTGGCTGCCAGTGCCTACCCCAAGCTGTCGATGCACAAGCGCAATCTCACGTGTCCAAGCTGACACGATGACCGATAATAAAAACCTTTTTACCGACGGCCCAGACCTGCCTTGCAGAGAGCCCGTGCCTCCTTGCCACGGATCCTCTGCGCTCGGACTCTGGGCGCAGAGTTCTTTCGCATAAGTGTTCAGCGTACGATTGTAAAACGATTGTCGGGTTCCTCGCTACGGGGTGAGACGTCTCGCGCCTTGCAAGCTTCCCCCCTGCAAATGTTGAGTGGAGCCCCGGTTTCTGCCTATGGCCTCAATATTCCTCAAGGATTATCTCTGAGCTCTGGTGGGCTTCTGGACCTTTCGTATTTCAACTCGCCTGCTTCCATCTTTATCCCCTCACTCGCGTCTAGGCATGTGCCTGCCTTATACCCTTCCTCTTGGGTACCTTTGTCTTGGTTAATCTTCGCCAGATGCAAGGAAGCATAGAGTAGTGCATCGTCGCAGCTGGCACCACCATGGAAGCTTTGTATGAGTTCCACGAGCTGCCCCAAAATGCAACAACCTGCGACCGTCCTCACTTCGCCCTTGAAGGCAACCGCAGAAGACTTCTTGAACATGGCTGGAGCCTGGGACGAATTCACTCAGTAGGTGTCATAAGCCGTGCCGAGCAGCCAACACAGGTAGCACAATAATTCCTTAGCAGCAAGGGCTCGGGCCTTTTCCAGCTGCCTGCCGTTAACGGCTCAGCATGGCAGGCACCACAGTACGGCATTCTGGAGCTACGTGCAGCTATTGTCGAAGCCGAAGCCACTTGCATGCGGACTATTGGGACTTGAGACAGACCGCAAGACACGTTGCGAAGCCCAGTTGCGTCTAAGGCAAGTAAACGCAACGAAACGTAGCCGTACATGCGTCACCTGAGTTCATCTGACGATGTACATCAGGCTGGGGATCGCCCTGTGGGTTCCGCTTTTCACTGCGTTGAGGGGCCTGATCCTGCAAACAGCTGCAGGATGCCAGGAAAACAACATCTTGAAACTCTGCCCACATCGCATGTGCAGTTGTCAGAGGCTGGTTCTGTGAGGCACGTTGGCCGTTCAGCACATGGTTTTCTTGCCACGCAAGCAAAGATCGCGACCTGAATCTGCCCAACACTCCCCTTCCAATCCTGCTTCGGACCTTTTTCTGCTCACTCGCGGTCGATTCCCGAATATCTCTCGCGATTCCTCGGGCCGCTTGGCCAAGGTGGCGGACGCCCTTACACCTCCTCGAAGTCTCTCCGCGTTCTGCCTGAGACCATGCTCTGCCTGAGACGAAACTGTTGCTGCAGGACATCCCACAAGTTTTTGGGCTCCTTTAAGGCAAAGTTTGCATGGTTATCACTGATCAGACTGGTTCAAGATACAACCGCTCCGTGCTAGTCAAGGTATTGCATCGGGCATGGATGCTTCAGAGAATGCAGAACTGTCACTCGCTTGCCTGGTTGCTGACGGCCGATTCGCTGTGGCTGCCACGAGCACGGCATCTGAATCTAAAACATCCTGCGCAATGCAACGCGCAAGACACGATGATGGCGCAACTGTTGAGATCACGGGCGAACAAGCTTGCTCTCTCTCTCTCTTGCTCTCTCTCACTCTCTCGCACTCTCTCGTCCGTTCTCTCAAACCTATCATAATGCAAGATTACTACACCCTTGGGCAAGTCACAGGCAGCCGTAAATGGAGTCTCCACAATGTCGACAAATGCAAGATGGAAAGCCGACACAGGTCCTTTGCCAGAGGTCGGGCTGCAAGAGGGGCCCTTCTCAAGGAGCCTGAACGTGTAATCAGGAGCCAAAAACGATTCGGAACTACCCTAAACCTATCCCTAAACCCGAAACCTATCGAGAACGAGCATCTCTGAGTTCTACAGGGCATCCGCCGTGCTCTGCCTCGGGGCGGCTGCTGGGCGCGCGCATGCAGTGAGCTACCTGGACGCTTGTAGCTGCGCCGCAGGTGCATATGTGCGATATCACAGAAAGCTCCTAGAAATCATGAAGGGTTACTCCCAGTCTTGGCATCCGGCTGCGCTTCTGCAGCGAGGCAGACTTCGACAGCAGAGTTTCTGACGCCAGAGGGGAGTTGCACACGCTGATTTTGGGGGGCCGCTAGACCGCTACATGTCGCTGTAGTATCGAGTTTGCCCAACCATTCCGTTTGGGCAACTGTCTTCGGTGCCCGATGCAGAGTGAGTGATATTGTCTAAGGGCACTGAGAAGGCCCGTGACAACACCCAAGCTCAAGCTTGAAGGCTATCTCCGGCCCCTTAGCATAACATGTGGTCCAGGGTATGGGTCTGTGTCCTTTAAACTGTTCTGTGGCCTGCAGACCAAAGGAATGTCAATGCAGACTTTAGCACTATTCGAGCCTCCTTCTAAAGCGCATGAAGAACCTTGAAGTTGCCTCTAAGCCAGTGGCCATGGATCCCTTGCATCTCTAAGTTCTTTTCAAGCTCCTCCTGCACACTGTCTAGACCCATCTCGTTTCTACTAAGCCCCTTTGTTGAAAGTCTGTTTGCCCCACCCCACCCTGCTCCACCACCTTGTTTGGTTTCAGCTGTCCTGCTTAAGGGCTGGAGTATTCATCAGACACCCCCATCCAGTGTTAACACACACACACACACATATGCATGTACAAAAATATTTGCCCGCATGTTTGCACACATGTGCTGTGCATCCTGGCGATGCGTATGCCATCAGCCAGCCTCTTCCGCCTGAATCGGCAAAGCGTTGCAAACAGATATGGGCAGACCTGTGCCGGCAAAGCGGGCATGGAGTATCAGACAACCATGATGATGAGCAAGGTGCCCTACTGGAGTCTCAGCCAGCCGCAACCAGCAACAAATACGCCGCGAGAAGCAAGAAGTCTTCGGCCTCCACACGTGCGCAGCACTGGAGCCAAGTGTGCATCTCCTGGTCCTTGCTTCTTGGCTCCGGAAGTCTTGGGCCTGTTTAGTGTTACCCCACCTGCGTGGCAGGGGACCGTTTATGGGATACTGAACCTTGAAGCCACAAGCCCTACATCACAAGTCTGCAGCCTCGTTTGCCTGCCTTTTCTGCCTGGAGGATCGCTTCCCCTTGCTTCCCCCTGTTGATACTTGGAAGCGGGTGGGGGGGGTGAGGAGTTGGGACGACTTTTGGGATGCTCCTTTACAGCTACTTGCTGCTCTTTTGGAACAAAAGCAACCCTTGCGGGGCAGCCCCAGAGAACCCCAAATATGTAACCTTGGGGGGCCCTACCCCATCATGGGAGAACCGGTCCCACACCCCTGCCGTAAGATCACGCTTGGTTCGGAAACTCCACTAGCCCTCAGAGGCTCCAAGTCGTGAAGCCATCAGGCCTTGAGTGAAGACAGCATGATGTTGTTGAAAACAATTGCCTCGGCAGAACGGCTTTAGATGCAGCTCACGGTACCAACAAAGTCGAGGCAAAGTCAGGGCAGGCACGCAGGCCGGAATCCACGGCACGCAAGGGACTCGATAGAACACCTTGCCACACCGTGCTTTGAAAGTGACGACACATTTCGATGTCACAGGCTGTCCATGCAGGAATGGGCTTCTGTGATATGCGCATGCCCTTGCCCACCTCTTCGGCTTCACCCTCGCTTCCAGCCTCTGCACAGTTCACAAAATGATGCCCTCCCGCAAAGGAGGCCAGAGGGTGCCGCTCATGAGCGCGCCTCACTGTGCAACTGCCGGGCCAGAACGACCTGTGCAGAAGGTTTCATGGTGAGGCGGCTTTCACGGGGCAGATCCTGAACTTGGGCCACGGCCAGTGCCGTCAAGGCCACAACGAAACACGCAAGTGAGGCTATTCGAGTCCCTGCACGCAACCAGGCCGACCAGCCAACATCATCTCGCAAATAATTATCACGATTTTGCTGTCTTGTGGCCTGCTTGGGCATAGTGCCTCGGCGTTTCAACTCAAGGACTTCTCAGCCAAGGCCTGATTTCCTTCCGAGTGCTCCACAGCAGCACCGCGGTGAGAAAGGAGAACAAGTTGAAGGCAAGCAAAGAAACCTTGCTTCATTGACGCCACACAACAGAGATACACTTGCTACAAACAGCCATCCGGCCTTATTATAGCCTCTGTGCATGACGCCGTGAACTCCCATGACCAAGGCTGCCACGCCTAGCTGGTCCGCATGGCATCCCGCACGCCCCAGCCGCGGCCCTCTTCTTCTCAGCACGATCAGGGAACAGTTCACCAAGTTGAAAGCCACCTCTTGGCAGGACTTACAGGGCTTAGGGCAGGATTTCAAGGGCTTAGGGTTTTGTCGGCCCTAAACCACAACAACGGACTTCTATGTTGCAGACAAGCAGAGGCACGCAGACACCGCCCGAGATGGCATTGGCCAACGTGCTGAAAGGAAGAAGCGCCCCGCACGTAATGAGAAGCAGGCCAGTCCTCTGGAAGTTTCTCAACGAAGCAGAGTAACCGCAAACCTACGTGAAAACCAACTTGCCCATAGCAACGCCAAGCTTAGCTTCATAGTAAGCTGGGCACCAGAGAGTCGCAAACCAGGGCGCGCCATGCTCGTCCAGCTCGCTGAACCTACACGATGGCACCCTTCCCCTGTTCTCGACTATGGCATCCCAGCCGTCCCCAGCCTTCGTGGAAGCAGGTCGTGCTTCGACAGCGCGTAGAACACGCGCGGCTGTGCAAGAAAACACCTGCCAGCATCATTGTTGCAACTTACGTTGCGGAAGCTGCAAGAAGACCCGACGCAGAAGCCCAGTGTCGCACATATACGTGACGACGAAGAGCACAAGCAGCTGTCCGATGCTCACCAGGTGTGACAAGAAGGTCCACCCCCTGAGCGCACGCATGAGCCTATCGGAGATGTTATCTACGTTTATACCAGCATGGCTACTGCATGGCTACTTCGGTAAGCATGACGATTGCAGCAGGATCACGACTTCTTTCATTCTGACAAGCCGGGCCTCTGCCGGAAAGCCACTTCGAAGCCAGAGTTGGCATCAACGTCGGTGTAACTGATCAAGCCTCGCCCCAACTGGAAGTGGCTTTCAGCATATCCTCTGAGGATTGCCGAACTTCCCAACATCAGGCCACATTGCAGAAATGGCAAAACGACAAAACCACTCAATGCTGTACTGTACACCGACAAGCATGTTCCAGCAACGGTTCCACTGCTGGGCTTCTGGCCATTCAGAGCCAGTGATCCCAACACAGGGAGGAGCGTGGCAATGAAGACGGTGCCCAGGACGGCTCGGGGAACCGACTTCTGAGGTTCCAACGCCTCCAACGCGCATGTCTGCACATCAGGCAACTTCTGCGCTCATCCTGCCGTCAAGGCCTCTCCAGCCATACAGCAAACCTCGTCGTAGCCGAGGAATCCGAAGAAGGTGGTTACACATCCAGACATTACGCCTGCATCGCACCCAACACTGGGTCGTACAGGTCTTCACTCGCGAAATGCTAAAGGCGGACTGTCCGAAGCTCACTCTTGCCTGCAGGTCCGAACTCAGGTGGAACGAAAGGATCGAAATTCGCAGCCTGACTCGTGTGGCTTCAGGGAGTGGACGGACACCAATCAGTCCAGACGTGCGCAGCGACCAGGCCTGAAACTGTGTCATTGCAGCCGCAACCTGGAAGTAATCGAAAAAGCACAGAGCAAACTGAGCTCCTTTGCTCTGCGTGGCAAGAAGGCCTAAGACATGACTGAACTGAAGATGCTCCCATGCGTGGACTGTGTAGCTGAATGCAGCTGATGTAGAACGATTTCGAAAGGCTGCCCTTACTGCAAAGAGCTCTGCGGGATCATAGGGGCAGGGGGGGCGGGGCTCCCGAAACTTTCTCGAATCCTGCTCGAGCAATGCAACCTGCACGGAAATTGCCAGCGCCAAGCCCGCTGCCATCAGGAGGATAAGGACGACAGCCAGGGCCGAGGAGCCTTGACACGATGTCACACCAACAGACGATGCAAACTCTCAGGCCATGTGGACCTGTGGCCTCGTGCGAATCGCTTTCCCAGATCTCCACCAACATAGACCAGCGCAGTGACCACCACGAGAACCTGAGGCTCACATCGGGGGCAGGTATCCCTAAACCCGAAACCCGAAACCCGAAACCCGAAACCCGAAACCCCAAACCCTATCTTGGGCAGACGATGGCAGATGTCGAGAGGCCGTCAATGCTGGGACCGACAGCGTCACTGGGCCAATCCTGAGATCCAGGCACCAGGTTCAGGGTTTAGGGTTTCGGGTTTCGGGTTTAGGATTTAGGGTTTAAGGAGGCTCAGAAATTCCTAGAACCACCCAAAGGACATGAACTCAACCAGTATAGTATCGTGGGGCCCTGTGTTCTCCTGGTGTGCCGGACTGTGGACGCAGCCTTTCCAAGCACGAAAACCTCTGCCAAGCTTGAAAGTGAACTTCCGCATGAAAACGAAAAAATCAGAGCTCCTTGAGATCAGAGTCCTCACAAGTTCCAAGCTCAAAGAGGCAAAATGACTTCAACAGTACAAGCTATTCAGCCCATGTCTTTGCAAGGCTGCAGGTGGCCAGATAGCGTGTCTACTTGAAGAAATTCTGGTGACAGGGTGCAGACTTCAATCGGTAAGATCTGCAGAACAAGGATGACACTGCGTCGCGTGAGGGACAGGGCTCGATTCAGTGCGAGACCTCAAAGTCTCCAGCGCGTAGACGCATGGACATGCTTCTTCGGCCAAGTATCTTCGCTGAGAGATGAGAAGCCTCAAGACCAAGTCATCAATGATTCCACCAGTGAACTCTCTAAGGCCTCAAACATGCCATGACTCCGAGTCCTGAAAGTAAGCTTGCTTTGAGGCATGGGCAAAGGATGGTGCTCCCAGCGAGGCCACAAGAGTCCTGGCCAAGAACCCAGCTTGCGAAGCTTGCGAAGCTTGCGAAGCTTGCGAAGCTTGCGAAGCTTGCGAAGCTTGCGAAGCTTGCGAAGCTTGCGAAGCTTGCGAATGCGAAGCTCAGCGTGGGCTTCGAACTTGAAGCACGGAGGCTTCAACATATCTCTGCTGTTTTTCGCACACTGAGGCATTCTGTTGGAGGCCAAGGCTCCTGAACTTGTCTCCCCAATTTGCCGCCACTGCTGATGCCGAGATCCTTCGTCGCTGCTGCGCGCTTCAGCTGACACTTGATGCAACTTCAGATTCAACATGAGCCTCGTGCCAGCATTGTGTGCAAGACTGCTTCTCTGCAATCGCATGATGATTGCAACGCAAGATTGCCCCAAACTGAAGCGATCACAAGAAGGAGCCAACCTCTGCTGCCAGCTCCCTTCAGCTTACCAGTCCACAGGACAAGGTGTGAGACCGTAAGACGCTGAACTGCCGTCGGACCCGAGCGTGTAACTTTGAAGAATGTGCGAGTGATCTGTCGAAACCGCTTCCCATAACCATAAGTGTAGATATTGTTGAGCGAACTCGCAACCAAGCCGCCCATATTCCAGGGTAAGGCAGCCCGCAGCCACCACAGCAAAGACCTGCATCGGCAAGCTTCTACAGAAACCGAAATAACAAAGAAGAAGGCATGAGGCAGAGATCACCAGGGCACCCAAAGGCCTCTCCAAGGGCGTGGTATGCAAATGCATACACCGACCCTGCAACCGGCAGCTGTGCTGAAAGCTCAATGTAGCTCAGCCTTGGTGCACAATGCCCTGGCTTTCCAAAAGAGCTGTCGACAAAGGAGCAAGGAGTGCCAGCAAAATCCAGCAAACAGCACCGAGAGTTGCCCAAGGATGGTTTCAATCAAAAGAACGCACTGTGTGACCTCTCCGAATAAGACAGCCTTTCGGTATTGCCGATGGCCCAGCTTCCATGCCACACTTGAACATGAGAAGCAAGAGCACGTGCAGAGAACAAAAGGGCCAATTTAGGAAGAGCAGATCAGCGGACAGACGCCGGCTCACACGAGCACCCAGCAAAACAAGATGGTCACATGCACTTGCATGTTGCATGACTCAGCCAGTCGGAAAACATCTAAGTCGGTAAGGGAACAGGGCCAGCTTCAACGACATATGTTCCTTCGAGACATTGCATTGGGAACTTCAGTGAAGAGTCTAGAATCTAGAATCTAGAATCTAGAAGCCTTCCACTAAACGTTCATTGTGCGCCTTACCGAGACACCCAACGACCTGACCACGGCAAACCATTTGCTGGAGATCCTTCACCCACCTACTCAACTGACCGACCACGACCGAACCGACTCTATCAATCCATCCCTTCTATTCCTTATTTCGCACGAGGCTCGCGGAAAGCAAGCAGCCAGCGCCCCCAGCGCACCAACACAGCAGGACGGCAGGACCAGCCTCTCCACACAGTGATCTTCTTGCAGTCCTGTTGCCCTGCCTCCCACAAGCCCCTTCGCTGAAGACCCTCACTCGGCTGCGAAGTGTCTTGTACAGGCACCCACGTCACTGTAGGGAAGACCGAAATGGCATTTGGGTGATTCGAGACTCGACAGCTGCCGCTCGCCTGTTGTGCCGCAACTTGGCTGGTGATGGAGAAGACGCCCGTGCCCACCGTGGAGCCCACACCGATAGCCTGAGCAGCGCGACACCAAAGTACGTCATCCAAAAGATCCCTCAGCAATTGAGGGCTGGGCCAACAAGTCCCACGTACTGAGTGAACGAGTGAGAGCCCCATCTCCATGTGCATCAGCCTGATCCCAAGCATCGGATCAACGCGCAGACAAGGCAACATTCCACAGCTACCCCCAGCGCGTCCTGCAGTAGCTCTTGCCGCGTTTTCGTCGCAAGCAGCAGCTGCAACATTGCCGAACATTCCAACGCTTAGGTGCGAACTGCGTGACGATGCTGGAAGATGCTGGAAGCGTCTCTCCGAAAGTGCTGCTATCTCATGATGGCATGTGCACATGCCAATGGTCAGGGCACATTCTGACCTTGGACCTCGATTCTGCTGCAGCAAGACACTAGAAGGCGAACCGTACACAATGATCAGAGTGTGCCAACAGCATGCAGAACTGCCCTCTTCCGCCCCACTGGAAAGCGTCTGGTGAGCATCTGCACGAATTCAGCAAGTCGCACCGCTGGCAGGGCCCAGGCGACTAGGTATCTGTGACTCAATGCCCCTCCCTGATTTGGCTACAAGCTAGCCCCTGACTCACCTACCTGCTGCCTGCGGGCCCGATCAACTATTGGGCATTGACTCAAGCAAGCCATCTTCCTTGAGCTGCTTCTTTGCTTCGCGTAGCCGGTCGTAGACCTGAGCTGAACTGCCATCCGGTATGCCATTGGGCACGCGAGAGATCGGAACGATCAGGGGAATGTGGGCCTGACCTGTTTTGCTGAAGGACGAAGGCGGCCATCGAACTGGTAGCAGGCTGAGATGACCGCCTCACCGCTCTCAGGGCAACTGAAAGCTACACAGCACTAACTTGCAGCTGCTCAGCTGTGTAGATTGTGTAGCGAAAAGGCTTCAAAGACCCCGACCAGAAGCACTGCCGGGATCGAGGGAGGAATCACTGGGGTCCTCATCTTTTTGGCTGCTCTGTATCCGGACGCTCTCACAAGGTCGGGTATGCTCTCTCCGATGCTCCTCCTGTTCACCAACATCGCTCTTGTGAGCTCCGCCAGCGTGTTGATGCCCTCGTACCTGTTGCTGCATGGTGTGGGGGTCAAGCTTTGCCTTGGCCCATTAAGCGCCTAGCCGAGAACAAGCATATGCCAGCGAGGAACGAAACAAGTTTCAGAACAAGTTTGCGAGAAAGAAGAAGAAAAAGAGATTAAAAAAAAAAAAAAGAGCAACATCAACAAAGCACGTAGCATGCGAAACCCAATTTCTACCTGCATCTTGTGGAATGTTCCACGACCAGAACAAGCATTACAGCAACGTCCAAAGCTACAAAAAACAAACAAGGACATACGATTAGTGATGATACAGGCGGTACTTGAAAGCAAAACCGACCAATCATGGACGCGCACCACGCACGCAGCTTCTGCCGTGAAACCAGCCCTTCCAGGCTCTGACCCGTGTATGTATCCAGGGTATTCAGGGATTGGATCAACCACGGCAGCATTTACGCTAGAAGATCATGGCAGCTTTCGTGCCAATAACTGGCGTAGTACTCGTAGGCCATGGTGGTGTCGCACGGGAGTGGTCCGCCGTTGATTTCCGTGAAAATGCAACCCATGGACCAGATGTCCACCTTCAAATGGGTCTTCATGAGCGATTCGCAATCCGAAGCTTCTGTGACACGGCTCGGCCTTCTCAGTGATTTTGGACTTGCTGTCGAAGAGCTGCGCAAGCACATGAACTCATCTTGAGTTTCGCTGTTGGCAGAACAAGGCCGAAGCGTTGTTTTGTCAAATCAAAGCAAAAGCACTCATGCACGAGAGCTTGCAGACTTTGTGCTCTGGCACAGACGCAGCACGTGCAGTCTCTTTGGACCGCAAAGGCAAGTCTTCACCTCAACCTCAGATTGGCCATCACCCATGAACTGCACGAATTCAGGGCCCAGCAAGGGGAGCTTGGGCCGGGCTTCCCGCCTGCACTTAGCAGCTTTTCAGTATGCCTGGAGACTGGACCTGCAAGGCTGAGACGAAGCAACGACTTTGCAAAACCGAGCCGTGCAAGATGTTGTCAGAAGCTAAGACCAGCACTGCTGGAACTGCATAGAAGGCGACCTGACTGCAGTGCAGAGCGCAAGTATACTAATACACCAGGTAGGGTGTCCTGCCTCATCCGAGATTGCTGCAAGCGAGGTATCCAGGCTCAGACCTTCGGGCTCCGACTCTTCATGCGCAAGGACACGCAATGATGCACAATGCTGATGGATGCTAGCACCGGGCAGTCTGGATGCCCGGGGTCAAAAGCCACCTCACGTCTTACCGAAAAAGACAATAAAGACAATGTGGCGCTGGCTCTGCTGTTGAGCTTGCTGCCTGCATCCATCTGGTCTGAAAATCAGCTAGTGTTCCCGTGCGATACAGGATGCCTCAGGCAAGCCACCCAAAGCGGCAGACACGGCTGAATCACCAACCTCCCTTGCCTCGAAAGCCTCTGCTTGTGGCTTCTTGACAACGCCTCGAGTCGAGAGTCTAAGCTTGAAGAGAACATGCTCATGGAAGTAATTGCCGGCACGCCTTCAACTCACATATTAGTCCGAGCCGCTCCAACATCGAGAGGCCGAGATTTGGATCTGCACCAAAAAAGCAGCTGGTGCAACGCAGCAGATGCAGCAAGCCCACCCCGTCCCCTAAGGCCCCTAACCCTCTCTTCGCAGCCCCGTCTGAAGGCCGCACCGATGCGGGCCAAGTGCGGTGACGTGCAGCGCCCCACAGGGCAGCCGGAGGACAGAGAGAGGACGTTCCAGTCGCATGGAGTCTCCTACGCGGACACGGAGTCTCCCATCGAAGCCCCTCGCGGTCCTTACTCGCGCTGACACAGGCGCGAACCTCTTGGATCAGCGACCAAACTTTGTGTCGGAAGTCTTCGGCAAGCGCGACTCCATCCTTCGCCGGATGTCCCCCGGATCACATCAGAGTCTTCATGTGCAAGACTATGTGCACGGATAGCAGAGATTGGTCCTCCAGAACCAATGTGATTGGCTTGGGTGGCACAGCTCTTCGGGCCAAGTTCTGGATGTGGAAGTGACCTTCGATGCACAACAAGAGACGGGAGTCTGCGGCTTTCCCTCTCCATGGCACAAACCTACCCCAGTTACGACACAGCTTCACTTGCTAATATTCATGTCTGCATCCGACCTTGAGGAATACTCTGGAATACTCCTTTATGGCTCTTGCATGCCCTTGCACTAGATCTTCTCCTCGTGCTCCACCCTATGGAGCTCTGTGAGCTTAAAGGAATTACTTCTTGTATGTTGACATGCCACGGGAAGGGATCACATGCCGAAGCTGAAAGGCCCTGTGGCTAACGCTAAGGGCTTGGGACCTACCACACATTGGCATTTGGGGTTTGTAAGAACTGGAAGTATACAGAAAACAGGGTTTTCTCATCCTTCGCTTGTTATGTTCTCTGGTCAGCCGAACCTAGGGAACCCGAAATCTTGGTGCAGTGACCAAAGGTTCTTTCACTGATTGAAGGGGACACTTAGTTCCTTCCCAACCTCCCAGACTGCAATCGCATGCACCAAATGCAGACGTCACGGCTTGCAGCCAAGCTCAGCGCATACACCTTCTCATGTGGCAAAGGCAACTGGCTGATGCAATTGGGCCTCAAGCACGCCTGCTGCTTGAAAGCCGTAAGGTCGAAGTCTGCTGGCAAGGATCCATCCGCGATGGCCGCCTTGCAAATGTCGGACAGGCTTCGAGAAAAAACTGCGGGGCGCGATTTGGCCTGCATATCCAGGTCCATGTTCAGGTCATAGCCTGTCAATCGCTCTCACCCTGGGCCACTGAAATCAGCTCTCAGTGCCCCCCCCCCTTTTTTGAGTCCTGCAACGGGTGCGGCGCGAAGCCCCTGCGAGCTCAGGCCTTCCAGATATCTCGGAAGCAATTGAACACCCCGAGGCAGCTACCGAGTTCCCTCTCATGATCTGCTCCTGTCTTCTCTACTCGGGCCAACAGATTCCAACATCTGCGAGCCGCAGCTGAGCTTTGCACTGGCGAGGGTCTCATGGGCGCTGTCAAGCCTTAAGATCCAACGCAGTGAACGGTTCGCAAGGTAGCACATCAGCCCGGCCATGCTTGGGCAGTGGCACCAAGCCAGGCATTTCCAAGACGTAAATCTGAGACATCGCATCTAGTCGTTAAAACATGTCTGCGCACCTCTGGCGACGCAGGCCTCCACATTCCTGTGAAACCAGGCTAGCGACTTCTGTTCCTGTTCCTTTGTCCAGGATCTCGGTCTTCCTAGCCTGGCTGGGGGACTTCACGTCAAGACAGAGCCGGGTATTGCGACTTTGAGTCACGAGGCACCTCACATCATCGCAAAGACTTGCCTCTGCACCGAAAAGGTGGTTTTGGGAATGTGGCACACGGTACGCCAGGTGAAGCTGTGCGCTGGACGTCACTTAGGGGTGCCGAAGAGTCGTCCAGTGTCCCGCCGAGCCTCGTTGGCCGCAGACATGGATGACACAGGAGAGAAACAAAGAAGAAACACCAACTGTCCAAGGCCGTCACTTCTGAAGCACTCTGTCGTAGGCTGCATGCCAGGTCAGCCCACCTGGGTCGAGATGTCACTATCAAAAAACACGTGACATCCTAATGTCCTTCCTATGAGGATCTGGAGCAGAACGATCGCAGCAGAACGAAAGCGATGAACAAAGGTGTCGACTACGAGAAGTCGTAGGGAGGCAACAACTATTTCAGAGGTTTGAGTTGCTATCCCATTTGTCGGAGTGGTGCCCATTCGGGTCAAATCACTGAGTGCAGCGCAGCTCTCATTCTGCCGCCTCGAGAGGGATCTGGGGCAGGCCTCGCGTTGAACCCATTGCTTCCAGCAAGCGCTGGCCAGCCTGCCAAGAAGGGCAGAAGGAATGCAGCCACCAGCCAAAGTCAAGAAGGACAAAGCTGGGTTTCTTTTCTGAAAGCGGCCATGGTCATAGCAATACTGGTGTGAACACAGGGAGCTGGACGACAACGAGTGCTTGGAAGAATAGACCAAGCAAATGCGAAGAACGATGGCAACTTGGCCAGAACTCAGGAGCCCACGGCGGAGCAAAGTGCTGAGAGCTACAATGAGTCACAAACGTGAATCTCAGTGATTGCCTGTCTGTGGGCTCGCCATTCTCCCGACACCTGGCACATAAAAGCGTCGCGACAGGAGAGGCGCGCGACATGACGCGATGCTCCAACTGAAATCCCAGAAACCGAAGGGCCTCTCGGATCTCTGGGAGCCGATGCCCCACCCCGGCCGGCGAGGCCTTTCGAGAAATGCAGACACTGGCCAATACTTGCATGTTGCACGAAAGCAACTCGAAGAAAAAGCTCTCTCGTTCAGACGACAAGTTGTGAAAGAACTGAAAACACGGCTCAGAGCTGTGCTGCGCAGGCGGATCTCCAGCCTGCACATCATTGCACACACGTGCGGACACACGTGGACATTGCAACTTTCAGGATTTCAAGCTTGTTCATAAAAGAACATCCACAAACAGATCTTCTCAAGTAGGCTTCACATGCTTCACACGCTCAAGAGCCTCCCAGCTGCAAGTATCCTGCCGTGTCATTTCCCATGCTCGACGCTCCATCTGCAAGGCCTCCACAGGAATTATTGGAAAAGCCCGGTGCGTCGCTGAGTGTTTTCTTCGCTGCTTCTGTGTGTAGATGGCAAAGGCACGCTGTGCACGAAGAGCAGTAATCTTTTACATTCAGTGACGTCACCCAACCGAGGCCCTAGTGGGCAGTGGCTTCACAAAAGACAACAAATGCACCGCGCAAAGCCGTGAAGAGCGCACAGCACTCGATGCTCCTATCTTGCATGGCTGTGCCTCCTGCAGGGTTTTGGCCTGCTCCGTCTCAGTGCTCCAGTCCTGACAAGATCATGCAAAAAGGGGCCTCAGCTTCACGCGGGTATCATGCCCAGCCTGCCAATACGCAAACTCTTGCACTGAGTTCTTGGGCGCTGCACCTGCACTCTGGTGCTCGGGCTAATATAGAAGTGCCCTACTGCCAAGCATCCACCCTCTATCAAACTTGAGAGCGGGACTTGCAAATCCGACATCGGACGCGCTCCTTCACATGAGCGGGAACGACACCGTCTCAAAGCAAGCTCACCACAGAGCATTCTGCCAGCCTGCATATCAGGACGAGCGCGTAGGAAAGAAGCAAAGCCGGGACTGCAGCAACAGTGGCGAGAGCCTTGCCACAGGGATTGTCGCGCGTACAAGTCACCTGTGTCGATCATGACTGCCGTGCGCTCGCAGAGAGGCCGACAATCCACGAGAGTCTGGCAGACCGAACTCCTCAGCGCGTGAGCATGTTTGCAGCTTGCATAGGAGAGAAGGCATTCAAGCCGCAACAACAAAACAATCCCAGCAACTCACTACCAAAAAACCTCTCAAGCCACAATGTTAAAACCGGAGAATGAGCGAGGCTGGCGGAGGAGTACTCGATCTCTGAAGGGAAATGCAGCTGACCGTTCCAGGTGCTTGAGGGGCTCGCAAGTCTAGTGTTTAGGGGCTTCGGGTGGTTTTGGTAGTGTTGGCAAGCGGAACCATGTACCCCAAGTACCCCAAACAGCCGGAAGCCCCGAACAGGCTGTAATCAGGGTGTCGAAACCAGGGTTTGAGGTAGGGTTTAGGGAGGGTCAACACCTCGAAACGTAGTAGCACTAGTGGTAGCATTCATCTTTTTCCCACTCCTGGGAATCATACACCACTAGGGCTCTCTTGCAACGATAACAGCATGCGGAGAATGTGAATTGAAGCAGAGTGGGGTCTCATTGGCCTGGCTAGTGGAGGAAGTCTGTCCGTGGACGATAGGAATAAGACAAAGAATGGTATATAAAATACTACTCGCTCCAGGCGGAGGATTTCACATGTGGAGAAGTCTCATGGGGACGGGGTTTGGGCCTGCGGCCTACACTGTCGACGTGTCGTCCCGTGACCGTCTGTGTTTCCGGTAGTAGCTGCTCCTTGAACGACATTCCTCGGGCTTTGTCTGTTTAGATTTCGCTGATGTAGTGAGCGTCATCGAATCTTCAAGTTCGGGTGAAGCACTAGCACCGGCGCAACACTAGCCTAAGCCAGATAGTGTCTGCCTACAAAAGCTCTCCACCTGGACTCTAGGATTGCCGGGGATTGCTGGGCATGCCCACCCTCACACACCGTCACACGTGGGATCATTTTTCGAGAGTCGGTGGTCCATGGCTGGAGGACCCTCCCAGAAAATCTACAGAATCAAGAAGAGCTTCAGAGGAACCATCCCTGGATAAGACGAACAGTCCCCTTGCCAGAAGAGTGCACTGGAACAACCTGGCCTGGCTCAGCACAATCCTGAGCTGAGGGTCATTTACTCGCTTGGCTCATCAGGCTTCTCACGGAGCAAACAGGGGAGCGGACCAGGTTGCGGTACATGGCGGGACAGCATGGCCCGGTTGGCAGCTTGCGAGTTGCTTCGTGTCCAGATGCACGTGTAGGAGTGCACTTCGCTCGATCCTCAATTTGGCCTGATACATAAACAGTACTACATTACATTCTGCCAGACCTCTTGATGCAATGTAGAGTGGGCGCATGTTCCTGCTGAGCCGCCAGACAGAGTCAATCCATCAAATTCCACAGCCAACAATCAACGCTTTGCCCTTTGCTGCTCAGCGCTGTGAAAACTTTGGAGGGGAGCTGGCGCCGCTGCCTCTGGAGCCATGTAGCGAGGAGAGCCGCCGTTGTTCTTCTTGGTGATGTGCGTCCGCTCCTGTGTTCTGAACTCCGTGCAATGCGCTGCGCATGACTGCCTTGTTTGTCCCACTCCATTTCCTACATTAGGGTCCCTTTTTGGGTACCTATTATGAGGCGGCACCCTTTAAAAGAGATCCCAAAAAGGGACCCTAACTTAGAGAACTGCCCAACTGGAAGTTCAACTGCTGGCGCGCCATCGACTCAGTGAGGCCGAAGTCGCAGAGCTTCAGGTTGAGGCTCAGGTCCAAGACCACGTTCAGGCTCTGGCAGACGGGACGTGGGCAACGAAACGGAGACACTTTGATCGGCACACGGCATCCTGATACAGCCGACAGGGAAATATAGGCAAAACAGGATTTCTGAGAAAGTTGGCTATTGCCTTCAGATCGCGGTGCACGACGATGGGATTCTGCGAATGGAGATACACAACTCCTTCTGCCAACTGCAGGCACCTGGGATTCACGAGATGAGAGCATCCCCCGCTGTCACGTGCAAAGGCTCTTACTCTTCGGTCTTCGGTCTTGGATCGGCGCATATTCGTGCAGTGGAGCAGCCTCGGGGATTACAAGTCACATTGCTCTTTCCAATTGCATGAGAACCTTGCAAACCCCCTCCACTGTCGAAGACACTGCTGAGTCCGAGCAACGGCAGCTGCTGTTTGCGAACATGCAGCAGGTGATGCAGGGAACCGCCGGGTGCGTACTGCAGCAATCGCGGATTTGCTCATTCGCACGGCGTTGCAGCCATCGCAGACCCCTGCCTCTGTCACGATGCACCTTGGCCGTTTTGCAGCGTTTGCAACACCGAGGTCTTAGCTAGTCCTACAGCAGTGACGCTGCTAAGGTGAGGACAGGTTGGGTATTTCCAAACATGCGCCAATGAAGTTCACAAGGCGTTTGTGACGCAAGTGCCTCAAAGATAAGCCGGAGAATCACCTTGATCCGTAGTTGGAATCGACCAGCCTGTGCCGTGCTAGCTGCTAGCGGGCCTGAAAGACTCGATTTCGCGAGTGAGGTCCTGGATAATCACCTGGAGCAGAAACACCAATAGGATCTTAACTTACCATGCAATATCTGTCTAACACGTCACTTCTTCGAATGCAGGATAAGCATGCGAGCTGCCGCCTGCGGCAAGACCGTGTTATCCCAGTAGAGCTGCTTGATGGCAACCTGCAGTGACTCGCCATGCAAGCGTTTGAAGCAGCTCCGAACTGGAGCCGATGTTGCGCAGCAAGAGTGTGGCCTCCTGCCCCTTGAAGATGCCGCGGAAAACCTGCCCGAACTCGCCCGAGCCTTCGTGCAGCAAAGCAGCAGATGACTTTGCCTGAAATGATGAAAGCAGCTCAGGTCCCAACCCAGATGCTCAACAAACTGCAGGTCACGGTAGGCTGGCAGATGGGCTCAGTGTTGGGCACACAGAATCAAGCATCTGTGTCAATCGTATATCTGGGTCAAAGCATTAGCATTGGCATGGCTGCTGATCTGCAAGCAACATGACTCATGACGGGGCCTAGCCGTTCGTCTGCCGTAAGCTGACCGCGATTTCTTGGCACGCCCCCCTGTTAAGGGAGAGCCAAAGAAGCCAGCAAACGACTTACTTCGGGCAAGTCACAGATGGTGCAGCCTGTGGCTGGGCGGACTTCTCATCTCGGAAATCCTGAGCTTAGCAAGCCACTCTGGACTCCGGAAGACATATGATGTTCAACACATGCACGAAGTGTGCCACCGCATCATCATCTTCCAAACCAGGCCAGACGGACAACCTTACAGCAAATATCTACAAATCTAGGCTGACTATGCCCATTCCCTGTCTGGAGATCAAGCAGGAAGCACGCGCAGTTCTAAGCTGCTTGCAGTGTTGCATCTGCTGGTGCTGACGAGTGCATGGGCCGCACCTTCAGATGGAATCCAAGCTATGTCAAATCTCGGGAGCGACAGGCATCTGAAGTCGAGAAACACTGGGGATGATCAGCATTCCAGCTTCATCCGTAGCCGGAACCTGTAGCAAACATTCTTCCTCTCCATCTGCAGTCAGAAGATTAGGGCTTCTGAAGATGGCGCTACAACCACAACAGGACCATTTTGGGATGTTCTCTTCAATGCTCATCGATGCAGAACTTGGGCCAGGTTTTCAAGCGGATCCCGCGTACATGAAGTCTTTGCAACAAAGCACTTGCAAAAGGCACGAGGTTCCGACCAGATGCTCTGTTAAGCGGGGCTGTGATCCTGCACTGCCACTGCTGGCTCTTGCGGATACTCTTGCAGATGAGCATCAGTACCGAGGGCTTCGGCGATACCACGGTGGCTCAGAGGCTCGGACCAGATGCAGCAGTATTTGCTCCGGCGGTCGCTGCCTGTCCAGAAAGTACCCCTTCGTCTGCTCTGCACAAACCGAGCATACGGATCATCCGACCTCCCGAGCAGAGAGCAGCTCCGGTCGCAGCACACCTTTCACTTCCATGTGGTGGTCGGCACATTGTCAACTTGCGCGAACCCGGAACATTTCAAGCTTCAGCTGCGCAGGCACATGCGCTTCTCCGATTCGGAGGCGGTAGCGCGGCCTGGACCTGGCAGATATGGTAGAAGAGGCACATTTCGTCGTTGGATCTTGTTGAGATCTTAACGCAAGGACACACAGCTGGTGCGGCCTGCATCGGCCTCCCTGCGTAAGGGCGCGAAGGGCCCGACCCCTTGCAACTTTGACAGGGTCTGCATACTCTTGGGATGTTCGACGGTCTCCAACTTGACCTCAGGGGTTCGGTCCGGCCTCTGGGACGGAATACACCGGAGTGGCCACGCTCCAGGGTGTTGCGATCCTCGTATACGCAACCTGGGATATCTCGTGAGGAGCTGCTTCCGAATCCTTTCCTGACTTCCGACCCTTGCCCACTCTTTCCATTCTTGATACTCTTGGCACTTCACGAAGTCGACAAAATGTGGACTGGCCCACAACAGTCGGCGCAAACCGTGGGTTCGCGGTGCTGGAATCCAAGGCATCGGCAGGCCACGACTTGCCATTGGGGGCATCGGCATGACCTGACGCCATGAGCTCGGTGTCTCGAACAAAAACAACGCATGTTTCTTGATCTGAAATCGCCTAACGCCTATCCTGCCCGAGAACACGGAACCAAACCAAAAGTCGCAAGCCATTTCCGAGCTATGATACAGAAACGTAGGGTGAACCGTGAATTTTTTGAAAGGTCTATTAACCCCAGGCGTCCCTCGCACAAGGCCCAGAAGGATGGCCATCTTCTTTCGGGAGGCCGAAGCGAGTTCTTTATGCCATTTGCCATGATCCGCTGGCTAAGCCAGGCACGCTCCGCGGCAGCTCTGGTCTGTACAGGAGCAAGAAGCCGAAGTGAAGAAACAGCTGGTTCAAACCCAAGCTGGCCTGAGGGGCAGCGTCTTTCCGAGGCCTAGCAAGTTTGCTGAAACTCTGCGATGTGCAGGACCACGTACGGAGAACGATGTGAGAAACATGGAAAGTATCCGAGGGCGTTTCTGGATGACAGAGACCGCTGGAGTGGCAGACGTCGGAGGCGCCTTCATCGGAATCGGCGCCTTGTCTTGCCACTCGCACGCAAACTCCCACAGAGTATCTTCTCAGCACCTTCTTGAAGCAAACAAGAAATGTCCAAGCATGCTTGAGTCTCGCACGTGAGAATAGAATTGTTGCACCTGCCAAACAGTAGACACGAAAAAGTGAGCCAGGGCAAATCAAAGAGAAACGACATCAACTCCCACGGAAACTTTCTAAAAATCTTCGGCCTGCGGGCGCCACATTGGAGATGCTTGGACCGTCTTGGGCAGACAGAACAAAGCGCCCCGACGAGACATAAGAAGACACATTAAGATGCTCCACCACAACCCTAAACCCTAAACCCTAAACCCTAAATCACTCGGCTCAGCCAGGAACGCGAGGGGCCGGACTTGGCATTGGAACTTGTGCCTGGCCACACATACAATCACATTGCACTTGTCGGCTGCATGCCACTATACAGCTCTCCTTGCCTGAGCTATCTGCATCTGTGGCACCGAGTGCTGGTACACCAGCTGAGGACCTTTCTCAAAAATCGCACACCGCTGCACGGTGCTTCCAGCCGCAGCCAGCAAACTTGGCCGCACACCCCTCATCAGCCCAGGCCGCAGCTTCCGAACATAGCCGGACGGACTTGGACAGTCTCGTTGTTGCAAGATGATACACGAGTGGCACGAAACCGGCGACAAGCGTGTTCCCTAAAGCCTTGTCGATCCAAGCGATTGACAACACTCTTGCAGACGACTCGGGCATGTAAACTTCAGCTGCAGTGTATTGCAGCGCATTGCGGTGCAAGGTCAGTGCACTGAGCTACGGCTACATACGTCCGAATCTTGGTATGTCTCTGCTCTTGTCATACATGCTCCACAGAGCTGTGCACAGATTCAAACATGCAGCGCCGAAGACATGTCATCGGCAAAGCTGACATTTGCTGAAATTCCACTCATGTACTGTGTAGACTTCTGCTACGCAAGCATGGCACACAGGTACAGGTAGGATGTGGTGCAAGAGGAGTCTTTTCCTTGACTTGCGCACCCGTTTATGTCGATTTGAACTATCGGTCACCATCGTCTGCTGCACTAATCTCAGAGCTAACTGCAGCAAACCTGCAGCATCGCAGCTTCGACCAGCTTCGACACCTCAGCAGACCCTAGCCATGAGCAGTGAGACACGGGTGAGACATGGTGAGACACGCTCAGATCACAAAAAGGAGCACAAAGAGAGAGACCAGAGCCAGAAGCTTCTGGCTCAGAACGGATCTAGATCAGGCAAGTCAGTGTTCAAGCAGTCTAATGGCTTGTACTTGGCGCCCTCTTCCAGGAGGGCTGTTACCTGCTCAAGACATCAAGATCACCAGATTTGCTGTATTCCTCGGACTCGAGCTCACTTCCATGCCATGGGAGACATGTTTCAAGGGAACCAAAGCAGCAGATCAATTGCTTTCTCGAATAGTCGCCTAAATGCTACACGCCTGAAGGAGAAGGGTAGGAGTGTCCAGCTGCAGTGTAGCTGTACTCGCGTTGACATCCCGAGGTGCGCCAGTTGCCGTAAGCCCTTCACACATACCTTCCACTGCCACCCATTTCACTACCAGCTTCCACCCATCTCTCTCCTTTTCAGGTGCATGCATTTGCCCATTGTTTCTTGTTGGGTTCTTCTCTCTTCCCTACACGGATCTGGACCTCGCTCCAAAGAAACAAAGGATAGCGACTCAAGACCTCTGAGAAGCATGATGCAGAATGCCTCCTCGTGACGCTTCCAGTTCGACTCTGCGCAAGGAACTTTCTTGTAGATTTCCGGAAGGTCCTTGCAGACAGCAGTCCATACAGCCTCAGCATCTCTAAGCCTCGTCTGTCCCCCCTGCCAGAGCAAGCTTGTTTCAGGTCCTGATCGCCCTGCGTGATCCACGGTGGTGGGAGGTCACTGGGCCTTCATGAAATACCAACGTCTAAGACTCCAAGACGCGCAAAGCTTGCAGACAGATTAGTGGCAAACGCCTTCGGGTGACAAGTCGCCCCCTCTGGGCCGCTTGTTTCAAGGTGCAAGCGGTGCCTGTGTTTGCCTTTCTGCGGTCTTGTCAGTGCTGTCCACGCTGTGAGAAGGATTGGGTCGTTCTGGGATGGAACGCGGCTTTGCAGCTGCCAAGCCATGCTTCTACGCATGGAGAGGCATGTCAACTGTCGGATGTGAAGGTGCTGCTTCATTAAGTAGGTCATGTTGCTCCGGCTCAAGGCCGGCGAGGTCCCGGGTAGTGGGCATGACCTCGTGCGTGAGGGTATCGTTGACCGTGTGTTTCCAGACACCACGATGTGTGATATGTGTGGGGCCCAATGTGGGGGTGACACGGGTTTGCTGGTAAAGGTTGGAGATGGCAAGTGGAACGCCGGGAAACTCGGTTAGTGGCTTCTTATACCCCCAGTGGCCCCAGTAGAGCTTGATTCTTGGGGCCGCTTCAGTTATTCTAAGACATCGAAAATATCTCCAGTCGATACATGGACTCTGGATACCTAATGTTAGAAATAAAGGACCACGTGCGATCCTCCCCTCGAGAACTGGCGAATCCCAGGAGCTGTGCCTCCCCAGTGAAGCATGCGCTTCTTGTGTCCACTGAGGCATGCGGCCTGTGTTCCTTCCGGCATGTCGCCACCAAGAATTCCAACAGCACCGTATATCATTGCAGGCCACCGGCAATCCCGCCTTTGGGCCCGGAGGCTAAAAGGGTTTTTTGAAATAACAAGGCCTTCAAATGTTCGAGGCCGCAACACCATCCAAGCCAAACAACACCAGATGCAAAGCACACCATGCACACAAAACCGTGTGTAAGGCTAAAGTTCCCCAAAACTCCAGCACCCTAACATCCCGCGTGCTCGAAAGCTCGAGACGGAGTAGCTTCGTCTTTGTGGTCCAGTCAGCTCCATCAATTTTTTCCACGCTGAGTTCGATTGCCCAAGCTTTCGAAACCTGGAACTGTCGATGGCAGCTCCTTTACTCAGGTTTTTATCCATAGCTGGGGCCACCACGGGCTCAAGTTTCGCGCATATTTGTAGGCCAGGACGTTGCCTCAGGAAGCATCGAGTTGCGTGGCTCAAGTCGCGATGTGCGGGCGTTACTGTAAGGACCGTGCCGACTGGAGGGAAGTAGTTGGCAACGCCTCAGCAGGAACAACATGCACACTTGCGTGGGTTTGTGGTCCTCTGAGGCAACTGACAATACCTGCCATTGGAAGACAATGCCATACCCACCTTTGTGCAGCATGCCAGCATCCGTAGATTCTGCAATGATGTCTGCATTGTTCTACCCCTTCCGTCTGAAAGTGTGAGCCGCTGGCTGAGCACGTGCCCGCCCACATCATCTGGATGAAGTTGACACAGCCCTTCTGTGGTCCAGGACGGTGGAAATCATAGTTCTCCTGCGTGTTTAGAAGCCGCGCCGTGAGGGGTCTCGCTTTTCAATGTGCTACACGCAGATCAAAGGTCCAGCTCGCTGTACCATTGGCTCACCACATGCTCCGCCGCAGCCTGATCCCACTTCAGCTCCTTCCTGAAGTGCAGAATGGAGAACTGCCACTCGTTTTCGGGAGGCACTCTGCATGTCCCAGCTGCCCCCCAGCGGTCCTGGAAGGGCCGAGTGAATTCTGGCCATGCCGGCCACTCAAGCTCTCCACGAAGTTCTTTGCCCTCGCTGCAGCAGGCAGAAAGGCAGAAATCCCCTCTTCCCTGCCCCCCGGCAGAAAAATCACGGAGCATTCCGGGAGAGCTCTGAGGCAAAGGCAGCCGACGGTCTGCGGATTCACAGGCTTGGGCCTGCATCCTCAGATATTCGACTCTCAGAGCGTAACCTATTCTTAGCGCCTCTGTTGCCTCAAACTGAGGCCCCGTGCCGTGCGTGTTCATAACACTCCTGGCTCCAGACCTGCAGGTGCGTTCGTGCCAGGAAGTCTGACAAGGATCAATACTGGTCAGCGTCTCTTCCATCTTACCAGCCGAGAGGCCAAGGGAGGAGTCCAATGTGCGGCTCTTCTTTCATTGTGAAGAAGGAGCACGGCCTGAATCCATGCCTTCAGCACGTGAACGACAAGTCAGAACAACTTGTCCAGTGGTGTCATCTCAGCCCTCCCACTGGGAGAAGAAACACGAGTCGCGAGCAGGGGGAGCCGTCTTGTCATCACCCTCTGGCACAAACTCTGTGACTGCAACCGGGGCCTGCTTGCCTGCAAGACAAGGCAGAAGCAGAAGAGGAAGCACAAGAAGCAAAAGAAGAAGCAACAGGGGAAAGCTTGAATGGGCTTGAGGCCGTCCTGCCGACTTCCGGCCGTTCGGCGACTTCTTTGGCGATCGCCTTCCACCAGGAGACGTTGGTGAGCTCGCACCGCTCTTTGGAGATGTCACGCCTGAACAAGTCACAAGAACGCACTGGGTTTAGGGTTTAGGGTTTAGGCTTCAGGGTTTAGGGTGTTGGGTTTGGGGTTCTGGGTTTCGGGCTAATCCAGGTTTAGTGATAACAAAGAGAACTTCCGCCTGGCATTGAGAAGCGAAGCGCCGCTGCCGAACCACGCGGACTGCGCTGTACATGCGGCAGAGCCGATGTCTTGCGAATGGAAAAGACAAGTCTTCTCAAGTTGTCTAGGAGTATGCTCTGCTCATCCATCTTGTCCCTGCAAGGTTGACGAAATGCTACTGCTGAGTACCGAATGCCTTGAATGGGCCCTTTGCGTGCGGTTGCCCTGTGAGATGTGTGCCGCGCTGGTATCAAAATCAATCGTAAGCTGGTCCAAACACTTGATCAACCCTTCCAAACATGGCTGCAAAGCTCTTCGGCGCGTTTATCAGGCAACGTTTTGCTTGCAGCCGCACTGTTGAAGGTGCATTTGTTTTCCGCAAGGGGCTTGGAGATGGTGGTACATCCACAGGGCGAGCTAGTAGTAGACCTCACTGGCTATGCACAGCACACAAAGAAACCAGCGCTGCATATCTCCAATGGTGCATCACTCTCAATCCTCGATACCCAGCTCGAGCCTGGTTCGGATATCTCGGATAGTTGGCATTGTAGAGCGGGGCTTGCATTGGCGGCTGTTGGTAGTACTGTGGGACCTCGGGCAGGTCTGGCACAGTTGCGCAGTTCAACCCTTAATTCACACGTAGCTGGCAAAAACAAGTCAAACAAACGCCAACAAACAAAAGACTTCTGGAGGGGGGTTGTTTGAAAATAGCTGCCTTCTCAAAGGCTTCAGAAACCTTAGGCAATTCGTCCGAAACGACGTCGGGGCTCAACAAGGACTTCGTTCAAAATCTCTTGCCTATCCCACAACAATAGCTCTGGAAGAAGCGTCTGGAAGGCATCTCCTAATCAAGTCCTCAGTCGCCTAAAACCTAATCAGAGGCCGCCAGGGCCAGGTCAGGAAGTCACAGGACGGCCAATTCCAGTTTGTTCGCTTGCTTTTTCTGTTGTCTGTCGCTGTTCGCTTGTCTTTGTTGGTGTTTGACCAAATGCAGATAGGCACCGGAGGTGCGGCGAGCCAGGGTTGTGGACTCGGCCCTGCTGGCAATGCTGGCGCTGCTCCTCCGCAACACGGGGCATCCAAGGACAACCCCTAGCGCAGGTCATTAGTTGCGCTTCAGGGTGTGGAATCCGCATACGCGTTTTGTTGCGTCGTGCTGTCACGTCGCACACCTTGCCCCATCAGCGGCACGTTGTCAGCTTGCCCGGATTCTGCGTCAGCTTCAACCTCAGATTCGGGAGAACAGATGTGTGGGCTCCGCATGACACACGGCTGCGAAGCACTTGCCCACGCCTTCGCCCCTCGAGGGGTCTTTCCTCTCGCTCGCTTCTCACCTGAAGCAAAATCCAAGCGATGAGACGAGCGCCTCACTTTGGTTCGAGTGCTTTGAGCTAGGGAGCCCTGCCTTTTGACAAATAGTAGACTCCAAGAAGTACACCACCAACCGCAGCCCCTCCTGAATTCAGAGGCGGAGCAAAACAAGTTTAAGCTGCAGCCTGCCCCGATTCATGCGATGACCGGGTGAGCAGCATTCATGGCAACATCTGAAAAAATGCAGCCCCGGACTCCAAGCAGCCATGCCCAGGGAAAGCCAGAACCAGTCGAAGCACCAGCCGAAGCACCAGTCGAAGCATCAGTAATCTGTACGTTGCCGTTCGCTGTCTCACGGGCAGCGATGACAGGTTCAGCAGACTCGGCAGACTCGACCACTACGCCCGGAAAGTCTTTCAAGGGGTTCGGCTCGTTTTTCCCCGCGGTTCCGGGAAGCATGTGCGCGCAGTCTTCCGGCCCACTCACAGCACCTTTCCCGTTCGCTGCGACTTTTGCATTGCCGCTTAAAAGCCAGCAGGCCTGAACAGCAAGTCAGATAAAACTTAGTCGCTGGCCATGAACAGTGCAAGAGTCTTGCGATCTACTGAAACGGCATTCACCTGTGCTGTCTGAATGACTCTGCGAAATGTGCAGGAGCTAGCCTTCGTCTCGGTGTAGTACGTGAAAACTTCACAGTCAGGATTTGTCTCGCAGAACATCTGGCACCTTGCAAGCCAAAGAAAGTGACATGCGAAGCTCTTCCACACGATGCGACCCCCATCTGGCCCTATCTGAGAGCAGAAAGAGCTCGAGGTCTGCACGCCAGCGCATCGTATGGCTTGCCTCCATTGGGCTTCGTAATCTCAGGATCCTGCTTGGAGAGCGACTGCAAGATAGCATACATGGCATACCCTTTGAGAGTTGAAGGTCCTCGTATGCAACTCCCTTTGTAGCGCATGGTGGGATGGCAGACTGGGCAACCTGGACATGTGCCGATCAGCCATGGACGTCATTCGCTCACATTCAAAGCATTTCCACTGAAGTTGAGCGAGTCACCCAGATGCCGGCAAAGATGTGTACAGATGCCAGCGCGAATCTGGAAGCCATGTGGACTACAAGCTCAAGGCTACAACGCGAGGCTGGAGCCGGCGAATCTTGCAAGTGACCCCCTTCTGAGTCACTCAAGGAGCCAGTTGCCAGCACGTTGTCTTTGTAAATCACCACGCAATGGACAGCTCAGACACAGAGACAGCATGAAACAGTCACAAAGACAGCAAGCTCTCTCACTACATACTGCATAACCGTTGACATAAGCGGTTCACAGCGCAATGATGTGCAATGACTCTGCCCAGCAACTGCAAGGATGCACGACTTTATCTTCAAGGAGAAGCCTCACATTCCTCGCTGGTCGTGGCTTCGCTCACTGCTCCTTTTTGCCTTGATTTGCGTCGCTGCTCCTGGTCATGATAGAAATACATAAATATATATATATATGTATGTATATAGATATATAGATATAGATAGATATATATATATATATATATAACCCATGCCACCACTTGTCCTTGCGATGCAACAGCTGGTCCCTCCAAGTCGTCCCGAAACTTCCAGCATGCACCTGCAGGTGCGGAGTATGGGGGAAGTATGCGTCAGACCGAAGCTGCTGTGGCATTGCTACGAAAACGGAGGCCTCTGCCAGCTCAACGCCCAGATCAAGAAGACTGTCGCACATCCTCTCACGGGTTGCATGCTGACCCAGGCAGTCCCTCATGAGGAAGGATGCGACCTCCTTGAGATTTCTAGCGCTGCACCTGGCTGTGCCAACCGCCGCCTCAAGCCATTCCGAGGAGTTTCTGACAAGACTTTGACGTCTGGGCGACTGCTTTTACAATAAGCGTAAGGAAGCTGACGCGTTCTCCGACATCTTCTCGAGGGCAGGTGGATCCTTCCGAGCAGCACAGTCGAAGACCGCGGGGCCCTTCAAGATGCCGGAAGATGCGGGGCCTTCAACCACTCCTCAATCTTGGCCGCCACAAGATCAGGCTCCTGGAATCCAATAGTTTCAGAGACCTCTGAAAAGGCCAGCTCCAGCTCACCTGATCCGAGACGTAGGCACCTGCGCCATTTTCTGTGACCTGGCAAAACAGCACATCAGGGTTCACTGTTCTTGTCACAGTGACAGTGTCTAGCTGGGAGAAGGCAGCAGTGTGACTTCAATGAGCCGGGCCAGCATAGCTGATGTTGCCTTCCTCTTGGCCAGGCACGAAAGCTGTCAGGAGGCATGGAAGGCCTCGGGGTCTCATTGGTCTCAGATCTTCTGCCTTCACCAATGACATGGCATGTTCCACGACGCATCCCACCCGCTTGCCTTTGATCATACTCTCAGCTATTGATCCAGGGCCAGCCTCCGATGCGCTCAGAAGCACGCTGTAACCACTCCAATCGTTCAAAACTGTGGAAAAGGTCTGCGCAGGCCTTCGTCACCAAGCAGTCTGCAGCGGTCATGTACCTTTCGGCGACTTGTGAATGCACCGGGCGAGACATCTGCCGAAGTCGAAAAGGGAGCCACAGAGCAACGCCGCACTGATCCACGTTCGTGACAAAACCCAGTATCAGCGGCTCGAAGAGCCATTCCTGCCAGCGACGCTACAATACCAGTGCGACTGTTAGTTGAAGAGCGGCGTGGGAAAGAACATGCCTTTGAAGAAGTGAAAGATTGGACATTTGCATGACCGAGCCCGCGTGGTCCACAAGAAAAAACTCTGCAGAAAATGATCCCACAGATACGTTGGGAACTGTAGGGCGAGGGCGTTACAACCGTGAGACTGGGAGTTCGTAGAGATTCGTACACCATTGAGTGCACGAACGAAACAAGCAGAATATGTCAACCACATGCCTTTGGTAACATCGGACGTTGTTGCGTTGTTCGAGAGTTCATATGGGAAGCAAGGACTGGCGGAGACAATCTTGAGAGGCTAGCCCTTGTCCAGTGAGACATCGGCCTGGAGTGACATCATGAATCATGAGCATCAAGTCACAACAGGCGAAGTGTGCGCAACCTGCTGAGCTGAGTCTAGCCCACTAAGATTTGCCCGTGACTGATGGTAAGACGCGCCGCCTGACGCGCCGCCTGACTTATGCCCTCGGTGGAAAGTGTGAGGCGAGAGCCGGAGACAGAGAGACAGAGATGGAGGCAGACAGGCACGAGAGCCACAGGCCCACACCCTCCACAAAGCGTCGATCAACAATGAGAGTCATGTTGCTAAAGTCAGCAAATCAGTCCCCGAAGCGTCGAGGCATCCAGCGCCTCCTAAGATCCAAGGCTGCGCAAGGTGAGACTGGCTCCTTTGCACTACGCAGTCCCTTCTCAGGCTCTTGTGCAGCAATGACTCCCCACAGGATGCCAGGCAGCGCATGATAGCTCAAACCATCGCAAATAAATTCAGACACCCAAGGCAACATCCCTCAATTCAGCAGTCTCAGTGGCTCCGACAATGCTTTCCGCACCTGCCGTGATCGGCAAGCAAGGAGGACACAACTGTCACAACTCTGTGCTCAGGCAGCCTCCTCATTTCGGCCACAAACGACCACCAGCTGTCCATAGCCAAGGCCTAGCGACGTTGATGTCGAGTCATGCGTTCCCTGACATCATGAAAATTCCGTGGCAGGAGCCGATCAACGTATCGCCGATGGCACAGGCCACCTTATTCAGAACCAGATCGGCACTTTCCATTTCCTCACTGCAAGTGCCAGACATCAAAATGTTGCGACGCCCCTGCGCCAAGTGGCATCCAGCAGCTTGCCGAAGCCCTCGCCACCACCCATTAGAAGCACAACCTGAGGCTGCTTCTCTCAGATTCTGATTGCTGAGAACACGCGTCGATGCCTCTGGTCGTTCTGTGGGTCGCAATCCCAGCTGCTCCTCTCGTTTGCAAGAAATGGTGTGCGTTGACATGATGGGTGACCTCATGCCCGATCAACGTGCCTGTAAGCGGCGCTTTTGTTCTGGAGTAACAGGATCAGCTGACCAGAATCCTGCAGCAGAAGGAGTTCGCGCTTTCTTTCACTTGATAAGACATGCCCCAAGTGAACCTTCCCGCAGAGGAAGACCACACAAATGGATCTTCCTGCCAGCAAGTCAATGCTAGGGGGCAATCCTGGACAGTAGCTGTGGAAATTTGCACTACCATACCTGCCACAGAGTTGTGCAGACATTGCCTGGTTCATCGCCAGAAGCAACTCCAGTCACTCCAGCCCGAATGCTGCGCATGCCCTGCCCTTTGCTGGACAACGACTAGACCGACCTGAGTACCCAAATCACAACCGACGATGCTCTCTTCAAGGCCTCTTGGGTGCTCCTCTTCTGATCGCAGCTTGGTAAATCTCCTGCGACAATGTTGAACTTGATGATGGCAAGCGCTCACCACTTGTGCAAAACGAGTGACGGAACCTGACTCGGAACAAAGAGCATGTCGCAACGCGGGTCAAACCTGCACAAGCTGTGCTTGCCCTGTGCCGATTCTCAAGCTCAGGTTAGGCAAAGGACCAGGACAGATGCGCGGAGCCCAAGTCTGTGACCTTACGAAAACGGTATTGACAACAGCAGCTCGGCACTGCAAATCACTGAGGCCGATACCACTGTGACAACAGGTAACCGAAGGTCCTGGGTGCATGGCCGCTGTTTCCATCAGTCCGAGCATTGAAAGTGTGAGAACTCCTGCCTCTCGGGTGGCCTCCGCACCTCAACAGCAACAGCGACTGCGTGCAGCCATGTGCCAAAGAGAAAACTCCAAGCAGTGGCAAGATGAGAAGCCAGATCAAGCCACGAACCCCTACAAAAACCGGACGAACGTCAAAAGCTGCACGCTGCCCGAATCGGCCCTGCCCGCCAGATTCCAGTCACGAAAGCGCCCCGACACATGCCTGTGGCGGCCTGTCCCTCCCCCGTCATACCCCTGTCACACCCCCCTCGTCAGGCCAAAACTGAAGAGGTAACACCTGCCTGCCAACATTTCGCTATGGCATGTCGCGCATCAGTTTAAACCACGCAGGGATTCGACAAGAGTAGATTTGAGGAGGCCTTCCAGCCTGGGGATTCCGCACTCTGGCTTCTGTGCACTGCGCAATGGGGCAATGCACAATGGCAGAATGGCAGAACATGCCATTGTGGAGGCAGAATTCTCAGCAGCCTGCCTTGCGAAAGCTCCTCGAGTGCTTCAATGACAACATGGTGAATCCTGCAGCCAGTCTACTTTGCGCAGTGTCTGTTAACAACATGGCGCAAAGCTCGCCATGAAAAAGTCTCGGCCCGATGCAGAGGATGGACAGAGATGATGAGATCCAAATCAAGAGCGGCATCCTGCAAATATGTGAGGACTGACCTCAGGTTGGGACGGCACATCGTGGCAGTTCAGACTATGGCCAATGCCACCCCAGTGAGCTCGCTTTAACTTCTGCGGTCCACACTCTCGACAGTAGCTCCACATCATTTTGTAGCCTCAGTGTCTCGCGTGACGTCGGTTTGTCTAAGTCTTTAGAGGACTTGGCCTGGCTGCTTGGCTTCGCTTGGTCGACAGCAGCGGTCAGAAATATATATATATATATATATATACGTTTAACCTTATTGGCCCTACCATCAACCAGCACCCCATCTGACACGCCGTTCAACGGCTCGTCTTGCCAGCTGCCCGACAGTGGTTGAGTGGCTGCTCTGGTTCGCACCCGATCCAGAACATCACGTCATCAACGTTTTTGTTTGTATTCATACAGCTGAGTGCTGAGCTGAGGGCCATCGCGAACGCTGGAAGGGTGTTTCATGAGGGCAGTGGTCGCGCGGAATTCGGCACTTCATCTGTGATGTGAAGCTTCATTCTAGAAAGCGGGGCGTGGGCATTGCGCACACTCCCTTACTTGGGGGAAATCTCGCATAGGAATGGTACGGAGACGCAGAGACACAAAGGAATGGCCAGCCAGACGCCACTCGCAGTGCTTCTGTGAGGCCGTGCTGTAGGGAAGCGACCCAACCCATGCTCCGCATCAAGTATGCTAGGCCAGCTCAAAAGGGGCATCAAACCTCTCAAGAAAAACTAACCCATTCCTCAACCGTTCCTCTTCGGCACACAGTCTAGCACATTCAACAATTTCACCTGCATGCTTTCTTCTGAGAAATATCAAAGGGTTGGCAGGGGATCCCCTTTTGAAACCAAATCACATGACTGGGTCAGGGAACTTGTGGTGTCCCGCCACGTCTCGCTCTCTTGGTCATAGTCCCAGGCCTGAACACGAGCCGCACTCTTGGACCCGGTACTGAGTTACTCCCATCCTCTCTGAGGCCCAGGCGCGTTTGTAGACAGATGGAAAGTGGCCCAACGTCTGCGCAGGCACAGTACAGCTAAAATGTCTCGACAGAAATGTCTCTGGCGCAAGTGGGATCGCCACAACCTCAACAGGCATGTCATCTCATTTCAAGGCCTGGTAGGTTTCTGGCGCCTGCGACCTGCAGTCGGAATATCAAAGGTCCAAAGAGTCTCAGCTTTTTGAAATCAAGTTGCGGCGACTGCTAGCACTTCAAAAAACCACACCTTGGGCTCGTGCAAAGGCCACGGCATGGCCTGCCGTATGAAGTCGACCAACGTCACCGAGACCTGACCCGACCAAATTTGCTCACACCGTGACCTGCAGGCACTTGCAGTGACTTGCAGTGACTGCAGGGGCAGCAGACGGTTCTGATTCTCCAACCTGGCTTCCGTAAAGCTTCTTCAGTGCCGCCTTCCAGCACGCTTCCAGCAAGCAGGTTTCCAGCAGCACACGGGGGGTGTACAAAGCTTGAGGCAGACGCGCTGACGCAAAATGCTACTTACTACAGGTCGTTTTGCAGCAGCAAGCCTCCAACGACAGAGCGGAGGCACGATGGCCACCTCCTGTGTCCGAGAAGTAGATTTGGATCTGGCGCGGTCGCTGGTGCACTATCTCCTGAGCCCCCAGAAACAGGTGAAGTCGCACCAAGTGACCATATGCTGCATCACCGTGCTCATCACCGTGTTCATCACCACAGCTTTCCTGAGAAGCGTTGCACCTCTCGCCGTGGCGCCGCTCAGGCCCGGGCTTCGGCTCCAGAACTGCGCGTCCTGCTGAGCCTCCTCTTTGGCAACGAGGCCAAGAGCTAAAGCAGCTGAACCAAAGGAGCTCGAAATAAATAGAAGAGCAAGCTGTGGACTGCACAGATGCAGCATGGGCCTCAGTGGCAGCCTGTGCCTGGCGCCAACAGCATGCACGTGATGGTTCTCCGCCAGAAAAAGTGCACGAAAGATGTCGCGCCTTGAGGTTGTCTTGGCCTTTCTGTCAGCCTGAACTGCGATTGCATCCGGCAGGACATGGACGCACTGAAGTGAGGCGCCTTCGACTCATCAGACGAAGAATGGTCCTGGGTTGAAGCACTTGCAAAGCAACCATGGTACTTCATTGTGGTAGCTCCTTCTTAGGTTCCACAAACTGCATCGCACAGGCCTTTTCGTCCAGGCCAACGGCCGGCACCTGCTGAATAGTCCTGCAACCAACAGTCAACTCTGCATTTGGCGACCGAATAGCGGGCGTGACAGGATACTTTCGGCTCCGGCTTCCATTTGGTACCCAAATGGCTGCGCACTGGAGGTCTACGGAGAGGCAACAAAATGAAGGTTGCTGCTCAGGAACTGAAGCCATAAATGCAGATTGACCCTATCACATCAGATATGAGTCACAACGATGGCCGAGCGATCGAAGACAGTACTCACAAGTGCAAGACTCGACGAAGGAACTCCACTGACAGCCAACAGCCATGGGAAGCCAAAAAACGCGACGTGGTGACCTACTGACTCAGAACTTCCCGGGTTGCCCTTGAGGGTTAGGGAATAGTGTTCTTGACATCGACATCGAAGGCCATGCCCAACCCAGAGAAGGCAGTTCTTAGGTCCACCCGGTTTTGCAACCCGTCGTCCTTGAAGGGTTGTCGAAAAACTCAGCCAGGGCACTGGCTGTTTCCTGCTGAGAGCAACTATGCCAGATGGGGCAGATCAAAACAAAGTGAGAGTTGGCTCTGTCATGCTTCGCAGGTTGCGAGCTTCTTGAAGTCGACGTCAGCCTGAAGAGATGGGACCTGACATGACCTGACATGACCTGACATGACCTGACATGTCAGGCCTGGCACGGACCTGACATGGAGCCGAAGCATCTCCCTCGCTCTCTCTCTCTGGGCACCGAGCTGCCTGTGTTGGGCTCGCTGCTGTTTGGCCTTACTACCACCATCACCCTCACTCGAAAAGCGCCCATCCAATGAGCAGTTCTGTAGCTACTCTGCATTCCGCCCACGATAGCCCAATGCACAGCACAAGACATCACATACGCCAGGCGAGCTCAAGTAGAGGTGGCAAGGGCATAACTGACCCTTTGGGGTAGCTGCGCCTGGGGCCAGTGCTCTGTGTGCAGCCTCAAAGCCTCGCACCAAGCACCCCTTCCACCACGCCTCTCAGGGAAATCTGAGGCTCGCATGGCTCACGAGTGACTCGAACGGCTCTACTCCGGCGCCTGAATCAGGAGCGCGGCTCGAAGGCAATGCTTCTCGTTGTCGAGGTGCTCCTCAAAATGTTGCTTGTGTTTAATCCAACTTACTTCTTAGTACTCACAAGAATATGGTGCCAACACACTGGCAGCTTTAAAGCTCCCCCAACATCCCACTCTGCACTGTCAAAGGGCCCACGGGGCTCCTGGATCTGAATCTCCTTCTCGCGGCGGTACAGGTAGGAGACAAAGCCACTGGGGCACAAGGGCGGTGAGCTTTCAGCCTAGTTACCCATCTATTCCCACCTGGACTTTGCAACTTCTTCCCGCAGGCGCCGGATATGATGATTCCGAGCGGCCACAAATGCCTCTTTCAGGGACCCATTTTTCTCAAAGATCGGACACAGAGCACATGTCACATGCTTGACAAGGCAGGGAAGCCTTGGCTTGCATTCGGGCAGTGAGTTGCTCGCAGCATCTGTTGAGGAGGAGTGTGGTGTAGTTGCACGCTACCTCAGTGCAATTGGCTTCACAAGTATTCCAGCCCATCCGCCTGCGGGAACCGAGCTAAATTTGCCACCCGCTGGCGTGCTATTGCACGCCGCCATGCGGCCTCCAGGTAACATGCAAGGCATCCGATCCAGCCGGCGTCTCAGCACACGAAAGCATTTGGTCTACCTGAATTCGTGTGGCGTAGTGATCGTGAAACTGGCGATCGCTCACATCCACAGCCAGCTGCTGCTGGGCAGTGCGCACAAGGCTGAGCAAGGACCTGGGGCCGGTATGGGATTGTCAGGGCCGAGCGCCAAACATCTTTGAGCGTACGGATTGAGGAAGGTACTGCAAGCTGCTGCTTGCCGACGCACTCATCTTCCGCCGTGCCAAATGGCACACGCGGCATGGAAGGGCCACATGAGCGGCACATCGCGATTGAGTGGGGACAGTAAGGATGCCCTTTTAGGGTTTAGGGTTTAGGGTTTAGGGCTTAACGTTTAGGATTTAAAGTTTAGAGTTTAACGGTTTAGGGTTTAGGGTTTAGGGTGCTTTACTAACCACACAGCTTGCTAAGTCTCACGACTGCAGAACTGTCATGTCCATACGAAGGCTCATGGAAGGCGCATTTATGTGAAAAAATGCAATGGGTGGCCGGGTGGCTGCACTGATTGCAAAGATGCGTTGCAGCTGAGCAAGAATGTATAAGAATGCCAAGTGCACAGTGCATGAGACCGCAGTATGCAAGAAGCTGAAAAGGAAACAAAAATTGAGATCGGGATACAGCCAAAAAAGAAATCTTGGCATGCCAACAAAGTATCTCTTCTCCTCTGACTTCACCCCTGCACTAAGCATGAAGCCCCTTGCATGAACCTTTGGTCTGCTGGCACGTGTTCCTTCTGGGGGCAGCGTCTATACGTACTGGTTGCATGCCGTGCGCTTAGCTTTGCTGTCCAATGGACGTATCTTTCCGCGATAATGTATAGGGGATGCTTGGCTTACGCTGCCGAACAAGGCACCTCACGGCGTATATACCAGCGCCAGGCATCCCCTGCACATTCTCACTGAAAGATATGGCCATACTAAGGAGGGCTCCCTTCACGATCTTCTCTGTCCTCTGCCTCTGAGTTGCTAGAAAAGCTCAGCCAAACTTCAAACCCAGCTAATATTACACTCCTCTTCATAAGCATGCAGAAAAATTCAACAATCCCGCTCAAGAAACGCCACAGAGCCATGGCTTGGCATGTTGAGCAGCGCAAGGTCGTACGCTTTCCTTTGTTAGAGCTTGAGCGTCATCTGCGTGAGCAAGCTGGTCTCAGGTTTCGGTAGGAAGTCGCCTTCCGACCCCAGCAGCCGCTCAGCTTCTATGAAGTTCAGCGAACTCAACCACATCAACCACTCTGAGCTTCACACGCACATCAGAATCTTAGGCCGCCCGTCCTCTGGCTTTGCCCAGTCTCGTACAACATGCCAGTTTTATGCCGGTAAGTCAATCCTGATGTTCGTGAGTGGCGGAACATCCCCGTCGTGCTGAACCAGAGGCCGCAGCAAACCTCAGATGACTGATGTTTTGTATAGACGACCTTCACAGGTGACAGGCGTATACTGGGTGATGCTGAGGCAAATGGCCCATGATCTTGTTCCTGCGTGGAACCAACGCGACGTTGTTAATGTCCTCTCAGGCCCAGCGCAGAACACAAAAATCTGGCAAAGCCCGGAAAGCTCACCCGAATAGGAGAGCGCGACAGGTGCGAGTGCCTTCACCGCTTCATAGGCGCCGCTTTGTGCAACCGGTGCCGGTGCTCGCTTGCTCAATGCCAGGAGGAGGTTCAACCTGATCCGGAACAAGCTATCCCAACAATTCCACGTAAACATTGACTATTTTGGGAAAGACTGTAAGGGCCGCTGCCGACAGGTTCTACGTCCTTTGGCCACTCTGGCCCAAGTCCTTCACAGTTATGTCCATGGACGGCCCAGCGCCCCTGCTCCGCCTGAGGTTTCGTCCGTTTTTTTCGCCGATCACGTTTTAAGGCCCCTGCCGCGGCCAGGCAGGTAGGAGATTCGCTGCCCCCCCCCCCCAACCCAAGTGACTGCTTGATAACCTTGTGCGTACGCAGACTATGTCCAGTGGCGGCCAGCGACCACGCATATACAGTACCGGAAAAGGGCAACGGACAATCAGGACTTTGCAGCCATTTGCAGCCACCGTTGGACACGGTTGGACTGTCAAGTGCCGCTGATATTGGTAAACTCAACAGCAACTGTACAGAAGGGTCGTTGTTCGACTACCGCACCTTTCACCGCCATGCAGGGCTTGTCGCTTGTACTGCGGGATTGGGGTCGGCGGAAAGGAAGGAACATGTCCCAATCACTGCTGCTTGTGGTCAGCCTATTCTGGGTATCCTTCCCAGCACCCACGTCTGCGGCCCCAAGCAGAAGCTACGACCCACGCCAATGGGGGGATGGGACACGAAGCCACGCAGGTGGACAAAAGACAAACCTTCTTGAGAGGGCTGGGGGCAACATGTCTTGTTGCTGTCTCACCTCGAACGGACAAGCAACAAAAAGTACCCACAGCACTTTCCTCATTCGCATGCGGCAGCTCTCTGCTCGAAACATCCAGCTGCTCCGACATGATTCAGATGTTCCAAGCAAAACACTTGGGCAGCGACGCTGAGAGCTGATCCATAGGGCTAGCTCCCTGAGATCTGCATTCTGGAGACGAGCACTGCGGATGTGGAGCGCTAAGATCACTACTCCGCTCTCCAGGACTTTGATGCAAGCTTGCACAGCACCTGACAAGACTCTAGGAAGGATATGAATGACGTCGCACTCTTTTGCTTCCCACCCTGCACCTTGTTCCACAATGTCTGGCAGCATAGACTCGGGAGCCAGGCGAACCAACTCCAGCAGAATCTGCAAACAGCAGCCACAAGTCTGTAAGCATTCTTGTACTTTGCCGTGCTGAGCAGCTTGGCCAAGGCCTCCAAGGTTGCAGCATCTTCAGCATCGTTGGCAAGCTCACCTCCATGCGAGCAATCAAGTCATCTGAAGGATCTGGGACCGTTGGACACCCAAAGCCCCAAAGTCGCTCGGGTCTTGACATAAGGTCGTCACAGCGCCTGCCTTCCGAAGACGCGTTGCAGAATGGGACTGCTTTCAACAGCAAGCCCGGCTTCATCAAGCCACTGGATCAACTGTTTTCAGCAGCCTCCACCACAAAGCTGGCTGGACATCGGGTGAAGACGCACCTTAGGCAATGCGGCCCAGCAAGCGACATCAAAAGAAATCCAAGCCTTCAGTATAGCGTGACCCACACCGGGCGCTGCACCCACCAATCATCAGCGTCAGCAGCGTGTCGACGGCCACCGTCCGCAAATCTTCGCTGGCACTTTGCTCAATGCATCTCAGGATGCCTGGCGCCGGCTCTCTCAGTTGCCACTTCCGCTCACTAGTAGGAATGATATACTAGAAAACTACAAGTAATAGTAATTATAGTCATAATAGTCATAATAGTACTTCCTTCTACAAACGCCCGAGACAGAAAGTGCAGAAAGAGAAAGCCGATCTGCCAGCTCTGCCACTTCTTTCTCCTCGCCAAGCTTTCGAAACATGGCCCAATCATCCAACATCCTTTGGGCTGCTGGTGACACATCACAGAAACTGTGAATCGAGTATGCAAGAGACGAAACATCTACGCTGGCCCCCCTGCGCTTGTCTGCGAGAAGCTGCAAAAGACGGTTTGACGGCGACACGCTGCTGCACGATTCTAGGCTTTGCGGTCTGTTCTGGGTCGCATCAGCCAAGTCGTGCCAAGAAGGATCCGTTCTTGGACAAAGGCACTGCGCCTGGCACACAAAAGGTCAAGTTGCAAATTGCAGGAAAGCTTCGCTGAGGCCGCGACATCGTGTCTCGTTCGCTTCTGCTTCTGCAAGGCTTACTTTAAAGAGTGACCGATGTCCAGGAAAGGATTGCGCCTGCCAGAAGAGCATGTGCTAGACTCAGGATTACAGACACCACTGCCAGCGTGCAGAAACGAATGCGGGGCCCTCACACACACACACACACACACGAAGTGTGATTTTTTTGGCAAGTCGACGCTGTCTGGCGACGCTGGGTGAGACGTTCGCTTGCTTAGTGTGGAGGAGAACCAGTACTGCAGGAGAAGGAATTCGATCAACTTACCTGGAGACAGTTTTTTCCGTGTCACAGCTATCGGCAAGTTACACTTGCCGCTACTCACTCCTGCACTACTGATCCTCCATGTGTTCATCTTCTTCTGAATCGTCGTAGCCTTCCTCAGATTCATCCTCATCCTCCTCCTCCCCTTCCTCCTCGTCCTCCTCCTGCTCTTCGTCTTCCCCGTCTGACTCGGAGTCTTCCTCCTCCATGTCTGCAGCCTCTTGCAACGCTTCCACCTGCAAAAAGGCAAAACACAGAAAGGGCGAGTTTGGACACTATCACGTCACATGATCGACAGAGGTCACGGACGTTTCAGAGGGATCAGCCTTGTCCATGCAGGAGAGCAGCTCTAAAACTTCGGCACGAGAGAACTTGCTGTTGTGATCGTGGTCAAACTCGAGGAAGGCAGCTTGGTGCTGCTCTGAAACGTCGGAGTCCTGCTAGGCTGATGTGGCTTCCGACAGCGCCGACAGCATGTCCCCAGGCCTGGCCATCCTCATCAAGGAACCGGTACCAGGCCCAGGACCTTCATGAGACATGATCAACATACCCAGGCACCATGCCTCCACCTGTTGACTGCAAAGTGTGGAGTCCATGGGGAGCTCGAGACGCTGACTCGGTGTGGTTCAGCTCGCCATCCCTGGATGGAACAGCTGCGAGACTCTCACAGCACCTTGATACGATAAGACTGAGCAAAGCACCTGTCTTGATCGAAGTTGGCAAATGTCGCCTCGACAAAGAGCCGCAGCAAAGGGACCAAGGCAACAACTGATAACAACTGCAACAGCCGCAAGAACTCCCAAGACCTGCCTCCAGCTCCCGCTCTCGGTTCACCTCTGCCTCGCGATTTATCGCTGTGGCCCCCGAGATTCACTTGGCATCTACTCTGCTTCAGCTGTTTCCAGGGACATGGAACCCGGAACATGGCAGACCAGATGGAAGCCTGGTTCCTTCCCAGGAGATCCCTCACAAACGTCTCGGTCGAAGAGTCCGCAGCCGCGACGATCCCAAAGGCGAACATCACCTGGACAGCGTCGGCGAGAAAGAAAAAAGAAAGAACCCTAAAGCACTGCAAAGGCTTTTTTGTTTTCGGAGGCCCTTTCTGAGGCCCTTTTCTGGGGCTTGAAGCTGCACAGCGCATCACAGATCATCGCGGCTGGGGCCCAAGCACCGCGCGTCCATCTCATTTCAGGCTCGGAAGCTTCGGGGGGAGGCTTCGGAGAGCTTAGCTTGGCCCAAGGCCCTTGCACGGGGGTCCACGGTAATAGGGGTGCCTTATTGGGGTCCTTTGTAAAAGGGGATCCTACTATTTGGGGGTGTACCTTTGGGGTCCCACATTTTCGTAAACTCCAAGACATAATGAGGCCTGATCCAGTGCCTGCGGAAGCTGCCATGAATTTATCAAAGCACGACCAAGCACCACATCACACCAGTGATCTGGAATGATCTAGAATTGCATGCCTCACCTGCTTGTTGGTAAGCACCACCCTTGCAGCCGTAGGGTGGCATTCCAGCAAGCCAAATGGCAGAGCAGACCTTGCGAAATAGGGCTTTGCCATGGGCTTGCAAACATGAGCAAGCGCCCACCAACTCGAACTAAGGCATTCACGGAAAACCTCTTGGACACATTACCCGACAACTCCGAACTCGGCCTCAGTCTGCAAAAACTCACAATCCCAAAGCAGCCACTCAGACGCAGCGATCTGCGCACGGGGTGCGTACCGAACTTGAGGAAGTGCTCCTTCAGGGAGGCCTGCATCTTTGCAGTGTCGGTCCTGGCAAGCAGGGGCTTACACACGTTCAGGCGTCCCTCTCCCTCACCGACACTCCCGCGTCTCCAGTGTCCTACCAGCCCAATCTCGGAGAGGGCCAACGTAAACCCGCACCTGGAAAGGAGTGCAAGAAAGCTGCCATCATCCTTCGCCCCGGCTGCGCAATTGGCTGTTTGGGGCTCTTGCGAAACGAGGCAGGTCAGTAAACGCTTTGTCGCGTTCTGCCTGCCATAGGCCAGCCAGAAGCTTAAACAAAGTCAAGTGAAACTGCCCACCTGCGAAAGAAAAGTGACCGTGGTTGTTCCCAACCAACTTGCTGTTTCTGATTGAAGGTGGAAATTCACCTGGCGGCGGGAATGCACCCAAAGCACACTGTCGATCATGCAACACGCAGACAATTAGGCTTAACAGAAATGCGATGCCTCTGCACAGGTACCATGTGCAAAAAGAGCTTGAAGCTCCTACCAAGGTTGCCAGGGTAGCTCAGGAAGCCAATCACTCCAACTAAACCGCACAGTCCTTGGCAGATGTCCCTTTCGGAATCTCACTCAAGAAGATGGTCTTTGGAAACGACAAAAGCCTGACGCGATGATGCTCTCAAGCACGCGGTGCGCAGTTTCAGCTGAGGCCGGACGCAATTCTTCCTGGGAGCCGCGCTTCAGTGGCTTGGTGGTGGCAGGATGAATCGAAGCCTGCAAACAAGATCCCCCTCTTTGCATCCTCTTAAGTGGGGGCCTGGGGGGGGGCTCCTAAACGATTGCCTCATACAGTGCGAGCTGCAGAGCCCATTGAGCATCCTTGCAGCAACTGACGCACGAATCAAGAGTGTCAACCAAACGAAGCTGGTGCTACAGTGTACAGTGTGTACAGTTTGAGCATCTCGACCTCAAAAACACGGATGTACCATGGTGCAGAGGCGGTCACAAAGACGTCTGGACTCCGGTCCTGGCGCGGATCATGTGCTCCAGGCCGTACAGGCTGCAGCGTCGGAACCTCAACTCCGCCATCCGAAAAAATTCACAAGAAGAGCGCAAAAATAGAGAACAGAAAGAAAAAAGAAAAAAGAAGCCTCTTGGGCTGAAGCCTTTGGCCTCATGAGCGTAACCAAGCTGTTGAGTTTGTGCCGTCTTCGGCGACTGCCACCTCTTGCAGGGGTGCATCCACTTCAAGGAATGGAGTCTGCATCTGCTGCGAATGCCTTCGACTGCAAAAACGAGGGCGGTATCCACGATTTTTGCATGCCTCATTCATCCATTGAACAGAACCGCGGCACTGCATGTCAGCCTACACATGGGCACCTTACCTTCAACCACCTAGTCCTTTGGTTTAAGAAAGCTTCGTAGGAGTTGCGTGACCAGTCGAATTTTGCATGCTTTCCTGCTTTGCCTGCGGAAAGTTTTCAGTTACAGCTGATGGCTAGCCACAGCTAGCCTTCACATTCAAAACGTTTTTTGACTATTTCTGAGAACGAAGGCCAGCAACGTTTGTCTCATCAGTCCCCAAACTGCCAGGAGAAAAATACCCTCGAATGGATGCGAAGGAACTGCATGGGGCGGGCATTCAGTGTCAGCTTGAGCGCCTTGAGACGCACAAGGCCGTGCTGCTTGGCGAGTGCTGTGTGTTGCTTGTTGCCGGGGATGCACTCCGTACAAGTCCGCATTTCCGAAGCTGTCACTTGGCCTGGAACTCTCTTTTGAAGTTGGTTTTGTTTCAGCATCACTGGCTTTCCCGGCAACTGCAAGGCCGCAAACCCTGGCACCGAACATAGTCATCTTTGCGCGAAGGAGTGAGGCTCAAGCTGAATCTTCAGTGCACGCAGATCCTGCCAAGCAAGTCGCTCAAAGCAACATCCCGCGATAGCTCTGCAGGAAGCAGGCCCACGAATGGCTCGCAGAGCGGCCTTGTGGAGTGAGTGACCTTAGACACCAAGGAAAACCATGACATCTTCCGTACTACCCTACCTTTACCCAGCAGATCAGAGTATCGCCCCTGCGGTACAATGAAAAGACACTTTCTCCCGACTGGGTTTGGGTTGTTTTGTGCCACGGCCGAGGTCGAGGCCCACCAGAATGGTCTCCACAGAGATCAAGTCCAAAACCTGGCCAATCGAACGTGGGCTGCACTTCGAGAAACAATCGTACCTACCGGCCCCTTTCCTGTTGAAAGTGTCTCGTGGTCAGTGACTCTGGTCCAGCACTTTTTGGCCGTGGTGCAGGAGTGGTTCTCAAGCAGAGGTTGTCACCGTCAAGGTGCCGTAAAGGTCTTGGTGCATCTTGCAGCATAGAAAGGAAAAGAGGCGAGCTGCAGTAAGACTTTAGAGTTTAGGCCACTTGCCCTTGAGAGTTTGAAGATCAGTGCTTCGTAAGCTCTGCGAGTCTTGCAAAATCCCTTGGGGAGGTATCTTTGAGGAATCCAAGCATCTAGGTGAAAGCGCCAACTGCCCCGTACAACCCTTACACCGCTGCCTCGCGCTGAACCTGCTCGAAGGGCAGCGCCTCAGTTAGCAACTCTTTGCGCTTCCCGCCCCTTTGCTTGACGGAAAGGAGCTACCGGCCCCGTTCTCTGCGAGGAGGTGGTGGGCCCTTACGCAGCGCATTTTCCGGAGCACATGTTGGAACACACTGCTTTGCGCTGCTCACGCCGCTGCAAAGGATGGCACTCAACTCCAGAGATTCGCGTGCGATAGTCCAGTACCTGCGGGATGGAAGCACAGCTGCTGGACGTCCATATCCGTACGCCCAGATGTGAGCCGCAGACGTCCTCTGCTCGTTTCTGAACGTGCGCCTCGGACTGCTGCTTCTAGAAAGTCGCTGGGTCTCATGGAGTCAACTTATGTCAACTACAGATGTTGGGGACTTTGCAAGAGATGCAAGAAAAATATTCATCACAAAATGCCAGACTTCGAGGTCAGGTGATGCACTACATGGCAGAGGTCTGAGTGCAATGGCCACACTCAGTTGGCTCAAGATTGTTTTTTGGTTGTGTGTGTGTGTGCGCGTCTGTTTGTTTATGTGTTTTTTTCCCCACCTTCGGTGTGGGGCTATTAGATTTTCAACTCGCCCGGTCTACTCCTCGCTCATCCCTGGAGTGCCCAACGTGCCCAACCCCAGACCTGGAGTGCCCAACCCCCCTGGAGTGCCCACCCTAGAGTGCCCAACCGTTCTGTTTCTTCAACGAGGATCAAGGTGGGGATGTTCGCAATAAAATAACCTTTTTTTGGAGGGGGGAGGGGGGGGGGGAGGGGAGGTGGGGGGGCATGCTTGGAGACTTTTCGCTCAAATGATACGTTTTGTTCACCAGACTTCGCGGCAAGAGAGCACTCAGAGAGCATGCTTTTGTGCTTTTGTGCGCAAAGACCTGGCATATTCTAATGCAAAAGGCAGGCTGCTTTAGGACTCAGGGTTTAGGTTTGAGGATTTAGGGTCTAGGGTTCAGGGGTTTAGGGGTTTAGGGGTTTAGGGCTTTAAGGTTCAGGGTTTAGGAATGAAGGCTTAGGGGGTTCAGGGTTTAGGGTTTAGGGTTTACTGTAGGGTTTAGGGTTTAGGGTTTATAGGGTTTATAGGGTTCATGGGGTTTATAGGGTTTATAGGGTTTATAGGGTTCATAGGGTTTATAGGGTTTATAGGGTTTATAGGGTTTATAGGGTTTATAGGGTTTATAGGGTTTATAGGGTTTATAGCGTTTATAGGGTTTATAGGGTTTATAGGGTTTATAGGGTTTATAGGGTTTATAGGGTTTATAGGGTTTATAGGGTTTATAGGGTTTAGGGTTTAGGGTTTAGGGTTTAGGGTTTAGGGTTTAGGGTTTAGTGGACTCAGCGATGGGCAAGCACCGATACTACACGAAACTTTTGGACCCTATACGACGAGTATCGATGACTAGTAGGATTGCCCATCTTTGCACGACAAGTGCAGGATTCAAGCCAATCTTTGGGCTTTGGTCCGCCGAGCTGTAGACGCAGAACATCGAATTGTGTTTGAACCTTTCGGTCACAGAAAAGCTGAGAACCTGTACGAGGAACGAGGTGCCTTGCTTGTCTATGCACGCTCTGCTAGTCGGAGTCTGGCGAGCCATCATCTGCACGATTCTTGCCTCTCTAGGGACTCCTCAGTAGGGCGACTGAGGACCCGGCATCGTAGATGACACCGGAGCAGCTCACCACAGACACTCGCGCGAGCGCATCCTTGTCATCCTCCGGGCGTCACGTGTCAAGGGATTGTCAAGGCATAGTGTCTCACGGGCAGTGAATGCACCTTGGCGTAGACCATCTCGCAGTCGATTCCCAGAACGAACCGGCCCTTGCCACCTCGGAGTCGCTCCGACTCTGTGTCCGATCCTTTTAGTGGATTTTTGCACAGCTCGGGCAGCGGCGGGTTGCCTTAAGCCAACTTCTACCTTGACAAGCGCATGTAGCTTGCGGCAGTTGATCAGTAGCTGTGCATGGCTGCGCATCTATTTGGTGGCAGGCCCTCTGTGCCAAAGCACGAGGTGTACTCAGCAGGAAAATCCGGATGGCGTCGCCTGCAACAACACTTGGCAATCTGTCAACACAACGGTGCAAGCAAATGCTTGGGCGAGGGCGTCCGTGCCAGGAGCTCGTGCCAGCCCGCGACAAGAGCCGAATCATTCACGACCTTGTCACTGAAGTCAGGGGTTCTACTGTTTGTAAAAGGCCGTGGCATGACGTGGCAGCTCCAAAACGGCACGCATCCAGGCTCACCACTCGTGGCTTCTTGTTTGCATTGCCCCGGCTTGGAGTGCTCGGCGTGTGCGGCGTGGTGTGCGCCGCGAGCGCAGTGCTCGGCGGGCCGGGTCGCCTCAGCAGCACACAATACTTCTGAAATCTTAGTCAATACTCTTCTGAACAGAAAGAGTTGGGACGCGCATAACACACTGGGCCAACAACACTTCGGCCACGGGCGTGGGCCTGGCGCAAGATGATCACAAGGCATTGTTGAACCATGTTTGACTCGGCTCTCCTGCTTTGGCTCCCAGCCCCTGCCTCGCAAGCTCACTCTTCATGCCGGCATCGGCCTAGCCCATGAGAAGTGACTGGCTCATCGCACATGCCATGTTATGCTTCAAAGTATCACTTAAGAATGATCAGTTGCAGGCCGGTGGTGTGAAAGGCTTCACCACTTGCGGAGCATCCGGTTTCCGTGTCACCTGTCAGCGCATTGGAGAATGATGCATGGCCTCCACAAATGCAAGCAGGTTGGAGCAAACGAATCAAGCCTGCGATTGCTGTCGGTCGGAAGAAGACTGGAGAGCCGTGGAGGCCACAACGTCTGGAACTGGTTTGGGCTTGGCCTCGGAGTAGGTTTGCTCAACAACATTGACAAAAGCTGCGAGATGTAAAACCTGCCTCCACTGCTTGCATTTGAGTAGGACCTGCTCAAGACCGTTACCATTCCCAATGGCTTGTCGAGCTTCATGCACAGCATATTGGAATGCTAGGGGGCGCTCTGTTGTCCGGACCGGGTATGCTGGCTTCTCTTGAATGCACAACACATCTGCAAAGTCGAACAGGGTCCAAGCCCCGAAGCCATCCCTATTTATGCACACATACACACACCGGGATTAACCAGCCCACAACGAAACCGGCCCTTGCATTCTCTCAAGATTCTCGTTTCGGGTTCCGTCCCGAGTCCCATGTGTTCATTGTTCTCCGCCTGCGAGCATCGTCTCACCAGTTGCTGTATTCACATAGTAGTACACAGACGGATCATGACGACTCTGTCGTCGCTCCCATACTGGACCCTCATTGGGTTGCGGACTTGCCTTTCCCTGCATCACAGTGCGACCTGTTGCCAGATGGGCAAAGTAGAACTGCCCAGGCCGTTGACGGCTCTCGAGCCGCCGCCAACCGGCAAGCTTCAATGCAGAATCCCCGCCCTGCTGCCATAAGCTCTCTGGGGACTTGTCCGACATGTCCGACTTGTCCGACTTGTCCGGCATCTTCTGTGCCGGACAGTATCCAGTCGAGAACGTCGGCACACCAGGCGCAGCAGCTGCTGCCATGCGCTGCCACTGCTCCGTCAAAGAAGAGCGGCCTCCAAAACCGGCGCCCTGAACTGGAGAGCGGGACCTCTTTCTTTTCTTTTGCTTTAGGAGCTGCTGCAGCTTGCTTTGCTGCTGGACACGCTCATGCACAGTCTCATTTAACATTTCTTCCGAGACTTCTGGGTCAGGCTCCTCAGGGCGACGGCTCTTGCACTCACCGTCTCCATTGAATCCATTGAACCCATTGAATCCATTGAATCCCTTGCCCATGGGTTCAGAGGTCGTAGTTTCGTCAAGTAGGTTCAGAAGGTTTTGACGCTCCGCGTCGTCAACGAGAACTCGTAAAGCCTCAGACAGGCGCTGGAAGCAGGTCGAGGCCTCATCGTGTGGATTCTTATCAGGATGCACCAGGAGCGAGAGCCGGCGGTAGCGGAGGCGCATCGCAGCGACATCTGGAGCGCTTGTCACAGGAAGTCCCAGAATCTGGAAAGCATTTTGTGCAGCGGAGATCCACGAGATCGCACTCTCACCAGTCCATTCTTGGAGCTCCTCGTCGGTGAAGAGCCCCTCTGTAAGACCCTCTGCTGCACCCTCTGCCTCACCGCCTGCCTCTCCAGGCCTGCTCCCATCTGCAAGGTCTCCGCCGCAAGGGTCCAGTATTTCACCCCGCAGGTACGCTTGAGTGCGCCTCAATCGCAATTTCTCCTCAGGATCTTCGGCATCCCCCGGATCGAAAGCTCTCTCTCCTGGACCCTCTGGCCATGTAGAGGCCCAAGGGCCAAACATTCACCAAGGGCTACTGAGATGAAATGGAAGAAAGGTCCAAGCAGAACGTGACTGAACTGCTGTGAGCTGGGTGCACTCGATGACATACTGTGCTGTTCTACTGTTCTCTTCGAGCCTCTGTGGATGCGGAGCCAAGACCCAAGATCATCCCAAGGTTTGCATAGTGCAAAGACCCGCCTTGATCAGCCTCCGGCCCGTCAGGCGCCTGCCCAACATGTTAACATGTCCCATGTTGTAAGGCACAGATCACAGCCGAGGTCCAGAAAAAGTTTGGCCTCGGAGTCGGGGGATGCGTCAGAGGAGTCGGCCTGTGCTTCGGAGTCACCTGTTCACTGTTTTACTGTTTCATGCCATACAATGTAGCAGACCTTTCTCTGACTTCACAGACCGGATCTCTCTTCTACGAGAACACCTGGCCTGCTTGTCTTGCGGCCATCTCAAATGCTTGTCGGAGCGAACTGTCTTCATCGTCAGATTCGGCCAGTTCATAGGGATCAACATGAGCCTTGGGATCTGTGTCCCTCAAAACGAAGGCCCGGCGCGGCACAAGCAATGCAACATACTGAAAGTAAGTGCATGACGACTTCATCAACCACTGAGCCGCCTGAAGCTCAGCACGGAAACGGAGCAGCCGAAAATGCGCAAGCAAAAGGTTGGCCTTCGTCACCATCATCTCCTTCGGCTTCAACCTGAGCAAGTCACCAGAGTCAGCATGTCCGACTCAATCAACAACATCAAACATCAACATAGGTTGACAGTGTCCAGACACAACCTGCCTCGGATCCCTCGTCATCCTCCTCGTCCAAGCTGAACTCCAAGTCCTGAATCAAACAGCCCAGGTGGGCGATGCACCGGAAGCATAATGCACAAACTGGTGCCTGTGGCGATGCTGGCTGTGCAGTTTGCGCAGCCTCGTCGATGCAACAGCGTTGTCAATGAATACCCGCAACCCAAGCATTCGGGAAGGGCCTCTGAGTGAGAAGTGCTGTCCTTGCGCACGTCCGGTTCTTGCTGCTGCTGTAGCTTCAATTCCTGCTGTGCCTGCTTCAGTCGCTCTTGCAAGAGCCTGTGTTCTTCACGATGTCTGTGATCTTGTAGGTCCAATGTTGGATCCTCCGCAAAATCATCCTCTTCCTCTTCCTCCTCTTCCTCATCCTCCTCGAGAGTGTCTTCCACCTCCTGCAGACCATCATCCAAATTCTGTGGCACTGATGACGATGGTGGGGCCTCCCCCTCCTGCAAGCACAGGTGATGTTTTGGAATGGCAAGCAACCGAACACCCATGAATGGCACATGACGTCCCGCAACCTGACCCTGGCCGTAGCCATAGCCGTCGTAGCCACGCCGATAGACGGGGCCCGGACCCTCAGCGCCATCCTGCCGAAGCGGACTTCTCACGACAGTCTCACAGGAATCTCTCCTCTGGAAGTCTGGAAGCAGACCGCAAACAGACGCAAAAGCGCGTGACCGGCTTTTTTGCGGCTTCCTGCGCACTCGATATGTAGAACAGCCTACTCTCAGTCCCCAGCGCGTTCTGATGCGATCACGAACTTGGAACATAACATCGAGGCGCCATACTGAGGAAGGCCAAGATCCGCGAGCAGTCACAGCTCCGTCCGTGCAGGCTGCAGGTAGGCGCGGCGGTTCAGTACTGGTACTTTGGCATCACTCTCTGAAACCGTGCTGCCCGCATTCAATCGACTCTGAACAAATTGCGTCATCTTCTCGAACTCCTCGTTGCTGCATTCCTGGTATTCTTGCCCTTAGCTGCAGCTGTACCCCAAAGGCAAGAAGCCACCTGAAATCAAAAAAAATGGAACTTTGCTGAACTAAGAGCCCGTCCATGGTCGCACGGCCTTGCATTGCCCATCTCTTGCACAAGCATGTGTCACAAGGAATGGGAAAGAACTCAAGGAACTTAGGATTCGTGCCAAGGCACAGTGGCCCCTCATCATCTCCTTCGGCTGCGGGCTTTGCCCACAAACGCAGGGGCACCTGTCTCAACTCCTGCCTCGAAAGCCCCTTCTTGGGATCGGCGGCATACCTTTTACTGCAGCATTCAGTCAGCACACAGGCCGTTTGGGGGTTTACGAAAATGAAGTGGCCCCTATTGTAGACCCCCAAATAATAAAGTTCCCTCATCAAAAGGACCCCAATAAGGTACCCCTAATTTCGGAAACCCCCATATGCTGCTACTTGCTGCAACCAAGGCGCGAAGTCAGCTTGCTGTACAGCTCCTTGATCTTCTTCTTGCGGTTGGGCACTGTCCGCAAGATGGCATAGCCGTCAGACACCGAAGCGGAAAAGGTCTTGAGGGTCAGGAAACTCTCGCCCCGCCTCTGCATGTACTCCTCGACCTTCCGCACAAAGTTAAGCGGGTCCTGGTAACCTTGAGGTATGAGGCCCTTGCCAGTGTACATGAACAATGTATCCATGGCTGCTAGGGGAAGATCTTCTTTCAGAGGCGCCTGTTGACAAACATCCTCCTCATAGATCGTCTCGGGCAAGAACATCCATGAAGCAGCAACCTGCATGCCATCATCCAACTTCTGAACTTGATGCAGCATCGCATAGGGAATAAAGATGCAGTCGCCCGGCTCTTGAATGAGTTCATAATAGTCCATGTTTCGGAGCTTGTGCTGAACTATCAAGTCAACTCGGTCTGGATCCAAATAGACCCAGTCAGTCCAGGCATTGTTCAGTGGATCCTTTGCTTTAAACTTGGCTCCCCTCGACCATTGCAAATCCTCATCGTACTTGAACCTTGACAGACGACAAACCGCAAAGAATCACCTGTTCTGGGGTGCTTGCTACCAGTAGATCTGAAAAATGAATTTACGCGTTGACACATGATTTCTCCATCTGAGCAATAGCACACGGAAGGCTTGACTACCTGCTTGCTTTCTGTAGTTGGTATGCAGACCATGGGGCGAGTCCAGGAAAAACCATCGCTTTCTTCCGGACAGCAAGCAGTTGACATTCCACTCTTTGTCATAGTGAAACTGAGACCGTGTGTAGCCAGTTGCAATCCAAAGGTTTGCTTCGAAGATGTGTGTCATCCATTCGAACCCAGCTTCATGTGGATACTCGTGCGCCGTCAACTTGTAAGGAGGCTTTGTCTCTCTCTTTAGCTGCTTCCGTCTCGATCCACATAGCAACACCGATGGGTGTGCTACTTCCCATGCCATGGCCTGTGGTATTATCGAAACGACATACATGTTCTTTCCTTCCTGCAGGGCGCACAGGCTTGCAAGGACAACATCGAATCAGCGAGGCAAGAAACACTAGCGCATCCCACACCCACTGTCACCTACCAACCCCCACAGACAGCATTCCTCCATGCGAAGATATTCTGAGATGTTCAGCCGATGTGATGGTGCGAGACGATCCAAGTCTTGGTAAGCAGTGTCGTTGCCACGAGCTTCCACCTCAACACGCTGGCACTGGCGACCAGCAACTACGAAACGGCACCGAAGCACCACTCGCCTAAGCACTAGCTATACACCAAAGCCCCAGAAGCAACGCCTCAATGGAGTCCCCCCAAAAGCCTACGCTTTGCCCTACGGAAGCCCCAAACCGCCAGGCTGTGCCTTGGGCTCCAGCTTCGCATCGACCCAGCCGAACCTTTCCCTCAAGACCTCTTTGGTCCAGTTCATTGCTGGCCAACCGTGCTGAGCACCTTTGAGGTTTGCCGGCAGGTAGCCATCCATGTGCTTTTGCCAGAAGTCCCGCGGATGGGGATAGGGCTTCGTGTAGACCAAGTGGTCGCTTGGCAAAGGAGCCTTCCAGGCTCCCAGGTGCTGCAAGTGGCCTTTGGGAGGGTCGTTCACTTCCGACAAGTTCATGGTTTTGGCAGGCTTCCGCTGTTGGTGCCAGGAATGGGCCTCATGAATATCCAGGAGGCCGTTCGCGTTCTTGTCAAAGTAGTGAAAGTGGTCCACCGGCAGACCCGCTGCCTTCCAGTCTTCAACTGTGACTCTGCCATCCCGGTTCCCGATAAAGTCCAGCTGGTCATGGGGGCCGTTGTACTCTGGCGATTGTTGCCCGAACCATACGTCTAAAGCATCTATGAGCGCATAGCCACTCAAACCCTGCTTCTTTGCCTTCGCTAGCCTGCCTTCGAAACCATATCTGGCCATAGCATTTCCAGCAAGCAAGAACACAAGTACTCGGCACATTCCTGCCATCTGCGGTCGCATGGGGGCATGCAGAGCAAAGCATGAAAGTACTCGACTTTACAAGTTTGTTTCTCATTGACTACGGTGGAACAGGGCCAAGGTGTACTCATCATCCTCAATCATGAGTATGATTTGAGAGCTTCGTGCTGGTAGTCTTCAGCATAGTGCTTAGCTTTCTGAATCCTGGTAACGCAAATGTGCTGCGACTGCATGGACAAATGGCGAAGAATCCCCCAGCCGCCCACGCCCTTTGACCGCCAGGCACTCTGAACGAACACCCATTAGGAAAGCGTCTGCAAGGTTGTTACGAGCCTCTGCAACCCGGAAGCCAAAATACGATGCAAAAGTTTGATAATTCTGACGAGCCTGCCCCTGGTGACGTTGACTTCGGCTGCCTGGTGAGTTTTGCAGGATGCGCAGACTTCTGCAAACATGTCTGCATACACTTCTGCAAGGATCCAGGACCCACACGAGAAGCGTGCAAGTGCCGTCTCTGGCTTTCCCAGTTGCCGGCCTTCACCCGTCTGGACAAGTTGAACTCAAAATAAACCTATTGTCCGAAACTGAGGTCCCTGCAGCAGACGTCCCATGCCAATCTTTTGTCAGAGTGCCACCATCCTGCAGGTTGCTGGTTGCTTCCTTCTCTGAATCTCTGAGGTTTCTGACAACGTCACAGCGTGCGAAACAAACTCCACACCCAAAGGAGCGCGTCCTCCGTCACGGTGAAAACCGGTGTTTCCTCCGAACACGGTGCCGAACACGGTGCAATGTGGCTTCATTTTTCTGATGCCGTGCAGCGCCACCGAATCCCACTGAACATCGCAGGCCCACCACACCTTCTTGCCACTCTCCCAGGAGGCATCCCAACGCCTGAAAGGCGCTCACGGCGAAACAAGCAGCCTCTAGTGGCACTTCATGTGTTCAAAAACCAAGCTCCTGGAGTGAGATCCGCTGCCACCCCTTGCCATGGCCGAGACCTCGTGCCTCGGGTTCTGGTCTGGGTGAGAAAGCTCAAGCTCGAGACAACGCCGGTGACTGCCTGTTTGAGCCAAGCCAGCTACACTGACCAGGGAGCTTTCCTTCGCCTCGAATGATGTCGCCCCTGCAACAGTTATCAGACGATGCCCAATCTTGCGGAAGCAGTACAAAAGTGTCGATTTCCAAGCCTCCCTATGCCGACCATCAGCTTCCGTAGATCTTCGCGACCTGGAGGGGGATTGCTGTTGCGATACAATATGGAAAGATGCAGCACTCTCGAGAGAGTCTCAGCAGGCCACCGATGGCGACGAGAGGATCCGTGCAGCCGAGAAGACACCTGCCGACAGCACAGGGTTGATCTTATGAACTGTTGTCGCTACTTGCACACTCGGAACATATGACGTATCAAGGGTCGCACACCGTTGGCCATAGAAGCATGACCTACAGAAAGCAAAGGCCAAGTGCTTCTAAAACATGGAGCGTCTCCCGAAAGGTCTTGAGGCCTTGGCTGAAGCTTTGCCGGGGGTGAGGGCCCCCATGGGCCCCGTAGGGATCGGTGCCGCTCGGTGGGTGCCGGTCTGGTCGCTCGACGCGCTCGACGCGCTCGGCACGCTCGGCACGCTCGTGCCGGTGCTCTCGGTCATGCCGCTCGTGCCGCTCGTGCCGCTCGTGCCGCTGATCGAGGCGGGGTTGACCTCGTTGTGTTGACACTTGCTACCGTCGGCTACTCTTCATTAGCTCCCAAGCAGCTGGCGTTTGCCAAAGCCCGGCCGATAAAGAGCTGAGTTCTGTAGCTGCGCACGCAGTTCTGCCTCAGCACGAGACAACAGACAAAATTATGGCAGAAAGCTGTCTTGAACAGACTCTATAGGATTCCAAAGGCCAAAGCCAGTCGATGTGCAAGATGGGTCCCTCCTTCCACAGGCCTTCACACGCAGGAACCAATAACAGTACAGTGTTGCCGTCCACTCTCGCCACTGAGAAGGTTTTTCGCTCCGACACTTTCGAAGTGCCCAGCAAGGGTCCAGGAAGGGTATAAGCATTGCCACCATACGTTTCGGGAAAGGGGATGCAACAATCAAGCCAAAGCAAAAGGCAGCAAAAGGTGTCGATGATGCACACCCTTACTGTACCGACTCCTGGGCGGCCGGGGGATGGCCTGGGAGGGAGTGGGAGGGAGGGTGGGGGAGGGGAGCGACAGTCAGCGACATCGACACTTTGTCGTCCCTAGACCAAGCATCGGCAGCAGCCATGCAACATGGTAAAAGCATCGGCAACAGCTCCCTCGTGCATGCGAGCACATAAAGCGAATGGCACACGAGTTGGGACTTGAAACAGCCTTCTGATGGCTTCTGTTCTGTTGTTTTGAAGGCTGGTTTCAGGCGACTACAGTGACTACAGCGCCTCGTCGTCATAGGCGAGACAGCCCCTTCGCCAAGTGACGGCTCTCCCCGCTGGGAGGATATGGGCATTACCTGCTGAGACGAACAATCATAGCTGATCTTGCAGCTGTCCTCAGGGCCAGACCTACGCACGGCGACAAACTTGCCATGCAGGACACACTGAATGCTGCATTCTAGTAGGAACATGAAGTCCAAGGCAGTGTTGGGAATCTTGCTGTCTGGCGATAGTGGCTTCTACTTTGGCTTGCTGCAAGGGCTTGCTGTCTAGTTTGCAGAATCGGAATCAAGCTATTGGGCCAAAGCGGCTGAGCCCGGCGTGAGCTGTGATGGCACACGCAGAAACTGCAGGCGTGCCAATCCATGTGCCCACGCGGTTGACGGTGCAAACACGTCATCTCTTGGAATGGCGCCCACCTTTCACAATCTCAAGCTGCCCCTTGTTGTAGGCACTGTGCCTCCAAGCTCAGAACTTTTCAGACATAACTTTTGACCTAATGTCGGACAAGGGCTCTGGTTGCACCTGCACTCCGAAACGTGAGCTGGATATGCACCCCAGTGCCTGTCCACCGAGTTTGAATACACATCATGCAAGAGTGTACGCAAAGCTGGAGCTGCATCCACAAATCTGCGGGCTTGCACGTTTTCACCAAGTGCTTGCTCTGTGCCCAACCAGCTTCAGCAGCATACTGCCTTGCAGGGTCTTCCAGCATGCTAACCCACGCTTGAAAACAGCTCCGTCTACCTCCGGATACCTCCGGCCTGTCAGTCAAGCTTCCTTGGCGGTGGGGTCGCTGTACGTGCAGAGGCTCCCTTCACGTGAACAACCTGTTCAGCAAGCAGTTGCTGTCGCACTCTGATGCACATGAACTGACAGTCAGCCTTCGGCTCCGTCAAAGCCGCCTCTTTGCAAGTGGCCTGCAAGATACCGTTGCGAACGGCAAATTGCTGACGAGTCTTGCACACTGTGAACCACACCAGGCAGCAAGCCTTGGATCTTATCTATCGGGAATGTTGCTGCCTAATGTGCTGTCACCCCAAGAGATCTTGGTGAACAAAATTCCTAGTAGGCTCCTAAGGCTCGCTGTCGTGATTTCATTGCAGAGTCGAAGCCTCAACAGCCTTGTGGGCTGCAGCGTCACTTTCAAGCTGGGGCGCGTCTTGCACGACCTGCGCACAGTTGCGCACAACAATTCAGTTGAGAACCAGTGAGCAGAAGGCATAGGACGGAGTTGGGTGCCTGGTAGTCAGCATCCACTTCTGTGCCCACAAGCCGGTCCCAGTACGTCAAGAAAGGGGCGTAGTTGCCCCAAACGACGGCATGGTGCAAGTGATGATGCCTTGCACACAAGCAAGGCCGCATCCCGCCACTCTGAACTTACTAAAGACAAGTGCTCCAAATGCTCCAAAGCGCATGCTGCCCCCAAAGTTCCCCAACGTCAAAACGTTCATCGCATATCCGAGCGGGGTTTGCCGCCAACCAGTGTGGGCCTGAAACTGTTGTTGAATTTCCAGTCATGAAAAGGCTGTGCGATGCTGTGCGGGGCAAGAAAACCTGTCACTTCTCAGCTGCATCATGCTGCATCCTCCGTCCTCAAGGCTCATCAGAGTAAAGGCGGCATACCAAACCTTCCATTGCACAGCTGAAAGTCACATGAAGTCGCGAACAAAGGACTTTCAAGCAGAAGCTCTACATGAAGCCTGACACCGAGCCCTGTACCCAGCACGTCAATGGATGGGCCCCACAACCAGCGGGAGCAAACATTGAAAAGGTGGAAACCGACAGGAACTCCATGAATTGAACATGAGGACCGACCTCACCAAGGCATGCAAGGCAGATCACTGTGCACCAGCTGGCCGAAGAGCCTTCCAACAAAAAATGGACGATTCGTCTGTAGAGTGCTGGTTCGCTCAAAGCCTGGATCACTCACATACTGGAAGGAAAAAGTCAAAACAAGGATCAAGAAGTCCAGAAACTTCTCTCATATCAGTACATTTCGCATGCCGCACCGGAAAATTACTCAAAGACACCCCTGATCTGTCGCCAAGTGGCTGTGACAAAGGTCTCCTTGTACTCGTGATGCACGGAGTGGATGTACTTCCACAGGCTCCGGTGCCGGTGCATCTGCCAGTGGATGTAGCCATAGGCCATGTCCGTGATCACGAGGCAGAACGAGAGGTGCACCTTTTGCAAGGCGAAAGCAAGACACGCCAAGGCCTAGGCGTCTAAAACCTGGTGAGGGTGTACAACACTTTACGGACTTCAATGCAACCACCAAGCTCAAAAATCTGAGTCGGCTGCGACCATTTCGCAGAGGGAAGGCGCTTGTTGTGGAAGTTCTAACCGGCATGCATCGAAGCAGGTCTCCTTTCATTCAACGTGATGCAGGAACACGCTGCAAACTACAGCAACATCATGCCACATCTGTGTCATCTTCGACAGCTGATGCATCAGAGGCACCACCCATGGACTCGTGTACGCAACAGGGCCGCCCCTTCCAAACACCATCCGTGCTTCAAACTTCAACAATCTCTCCATTGCAAAGCTCTCGAAGCAACCGGGCATGCAGCTTTATTATTCTTGTAGCCGCAGTGAAATGAACGCAACCGCTGTATTATTCCTATCCTCGCGGGCTCACTGTAATTCTCTTATTAAATACGCCCGCGGCAAGAAGAAGATAATCTAATCATAAAGTACGAGAAATGAACTACGAACGCAACCTTAATTTGGGGTTCGCTTCGTTCACTCTTCATATCTTATGTCTTTCTACCCATGAAAGAGAACCCGGTTCCAACCTTGTGCCAATTCGATTTGCGGGAGGTCTAGTCCTGACCCGGTGTGGTCGCAAGAACTTGTCCTTGCCTAGCATCTCCCGATCCGGTAAACCGTCTCCATCAGTTCAGTAGACTGACACATAGCCAACTGTGGTTCGCTCAAACCTGTCATTTCTTGGGGAGCCTCAGATCCTCTGACTTGGCTCCACGGCCGCACATGTCGGGAATGCGATAGAGAGCACTGAGCACTGCAGAATGATTGGCTTAAGGTTCTCGGAGACCCCAATCGTAGTTGGACCTCTAAAGAACTCCGCAGTCCACAGGTCATGCTGGGCGAAATGTCGTGACAGCCTTGGGGAACCTTCAGGGCCTGCCCAATGAACCCCGCGTTTGGTGGCTCGGGTGTGCTTTCCTCATTTTGCACGTCTTTGCTTTACTCACTTTACTCTTCCTTTGCCTTTCGGCCGTTGCTGTGCTCCCCAAAGCCAATTCAGCAGTCCATGGCAAGGATGAGTTGCTGAGCCCGCTTCAGGACACTGGAGCACGCTCTTTCCTGACAGAAACAAGCTCCAAAGGCCGGAGTTGGTAACCACATCTGCATTTGGGATTCGTTGAGTGACCGGAAAAGAACTCGGTAAACCCCCCGGCTCGACGGGTTTGTGAGGGCGGAAATCGAGAAAAGGCCCAAGCCCAGCCCCTTCATGCCACGTACCAATATGCCCACTCCCTCGGACAAGTTGGGTCTATGGCAACCCCGCAAGCCTGATAATCATCAGAGCCGCAACGCTACCAGTGAAGGGAAGTACCTCCAAGAAAGCCCAGAGCTGGTCCACCTGGCCTGGCCTGGCCTCCCTGCCCCCAAGACTTCTCCCAAGCTTCTGAGAGTCGCACCGACAGCTGCGTCAATAGCGTGCGGGTCAATCCAAGATCTGGGCCTCCCAGTTCGTATGACAAAATAGTAAAAAAATTAGAATAGTAGCACAACGCGACATACCGAAACATGTGGGGAACCGCCTCCCCAGTCGCCAGCTACCCGGCTCTGCGCCATCATCTTCTGGACCCAGGCAGGTCTGAGCAGGGCTTTTGACATAGCCAGGGCCAGGCCAGTCGGGTTCAAAACCAGCAAGGCCATGCCTCCACCAATCCAACAGCAGGTACACGCAGCAGGTTACAACCTGCTGACAATGCCAGCGACGATGTCAACGTCAACATCTCCGACATGCAAGCAATGGTCTTGCATGATCGTTGACGAAACTTCCCGAGTCACAGACCCAATCAGCTAGACTGCAGCTCAGGAGCGTGTGTCAAGGCGTATGGTACGATGAAAAAAAGTGGATGTGAAGTCCCAGGCAGTCTGCGGACCTTGTTTTGGACTTTTGACACGCGCATAAACCACGGTCTGTATGAACAGCCTCCGACGCACTCCGCATCTTGTTCTGTCAATACTGTAACTACAAAACTGGCTGAGCAGCAAAGTCATATGGTCCCTGAAGCAGGCTGCCAGGACTTCCAGATCTCCAAATAAAGTTCAGGGCCTGACCTGCAGAAAGGTGCATCTGTCGCACGTGCCAAGAGCAGTCGGAGGTCAGAACAAGTTGTGGTTTGTTCTTCCGTGTGTGAATTCATCCAATGCCTGCAAGTAAAATGAAGCAGATGTGCAAGACAATCAGGAAGCCTGCAGCAAGTTCCAGTCGCAAGGAGACAGCTTTGCAACGACCCTTTGCATGCGCAGCAAGCTCCGGACCACAAGTGATCTGTGGGAACTGATCCACAGTCGGCAGGATAATTGGATCGAGCAAGCCCTTCAGCTGCTCGCCTGCACAAACTCCCCGCGGAGGCAAGAAATGTGCCCTGGCAGCCCACCAGCCTGCCCACGTGAGCTTCCGCCGGCTCATTGGCCGCTTTGCTTCCATGTTGAATTCTGCTGGCTTCCTCATGAACCTTCCTTGCTGTGTGCTATGACTGCTATGACATGCTCCAGGGTCATGTCAGAAATTAGTGCTACTAGCTTTTTTTTCCGACTTGTGTTTCGTGGGGAAGCATCAGCCAAAAACTCTCGCGGGCAAGAAGTTGCTTCCATGCTGCTCGTCCAGACTGTACGTAGCAGAGTGGGCCTGTCTGTCTCGTGCAACTCCTGCAAGTCCTCGAGCGCATCCATCAGCTCCTGCATCAACTTGCCAAAGCACTGGGAGGTACGAGCCGGCCGAGAGAAGTCCACCTTCAACACCGAGTGCACTCAAGAGGCAGATAACACCTTTGTGAATGCGTGAGGAATCCAAGACCAGTGAATACGAGAGCCCAAGCCGCAAAAAAGAGCCCCAGCCCGAGTTTGTTGAACAGCCTTTGGTTGCGGCTCTTGTCCTGTAAGTCTGCGTCATCCGAGTGGAGAAGCTCCAGAAGATGACTAAGCCACTGCAAGCCACTGCAAGCTACTGCAGCCTGCAACTTCAGCAGTCACTGCAGCCTATCGAAAATCTGAGGCTTCGCACAAAGCAATGGGCGGGAAGATCGGCTGCCGAGGGAAAGGGGTCGGATCTTCTTTCGGCGGTCGCGGAGGAGCCTCCGCCGAAAATGAAGAACGAAATGGGGGGGCGGGGGGGGTTCCGAAAATAAGGGACCCCTCATGTATCCCCTTATAATCGGGAATCCAGTAACGTACCCCTAATTTCGGAAGCCTTCAAATGCTTCTGGGCTCAGGTATGCCTGGCCTGTCGTGCAGCCAAGCAGGCTCCTGGGCACAGCGATGTTGAGGTCTGACGAAGGCAGACATCTTGAACCTTAGAACTCTTGCCTCTACCAGATCGACGGCTTGCCGGCCTGCTTTGAAATCTTTTGGCATCTCTTCAGGAAACATGGTTAAGTCGCATCTGGCCTGGACCACAACGCAACAGAAGAAGCGAGAACCTCAGCAAAGACAACAAAGAAGGGAGGCCAATGAAATGATGCAATGAACTCGGGCGTGGCCACGATCAAGTGTCTGTATGGTCGTCTTTGCCTTCTTTGGGCGGTTTCAAGGACAACTGGTAAATCTGCCCAGTCTTTGCGCACCTTTGACCGAATGAGTCACATGAAAACGGGTTGCTGGCACGCGAGTTATATACCTTAGGACCGAGCATGAGCGAGAGCAAGAGAGAGAAGAAACAGAGAAAGAAAGATTGACAGAAAAAAATGAAGGAAACAATAAATGGCGAATTTTGCTTGTAAAAGATCGACCAAAGAAAAATTGAAATGAAACATTAACGGAATGGAAGAACCAATGACTGCATTAGGGTTAAAAGAAACGAAAGAATCAAACACACACGCACACACACACACACACAGAGACAGACACAGAGACGCAGCGATCTGAACTTTGGGGCTTGTGTTTTCTGAGGCCAGAGGTCTTTCCTGAGTGGCTTGTCAAACTTCTTCCCCGGTTTTCCGCCACTGTTGCGGCACCTTATGGCACCTTCCACATGATCGGCATGGACTTGCCAAACATACATGCCAGTAGCGAGCTGGTGGCGAAGGCGATCGGGGCAAGGGAATTTGGCTCCATATCCTGCATATTCTTGTCTTTAGAAAAGACTCCACGCCAAGGCTGTACGGAAGAAACTTGCAAGATCGGCTCTTCGGGGCGAAAGAAGAGGGGAAAAGGGGGAAAGAAAGGGTTGAAAGCTTCTCCATCAGAGTATTCTCAAAAAAAACGACAGCGGGTAAGGCCTGGACCGCCACACTACCTCGCTTCCCGAATCCCCCCCTTGACCTGAGAATGCACAACATGAAACCACTGGGCCACAAAAACAGGGCAGAACAGTTGAGACGAAAGAAAGGCACACGCTGGGCCGTCCGAGGCCGCTCGTGTCGCGCGCTTGGCAGCCTGGACTCAGCACATCTCGGCCTGCCGCGAAGCCTACGACGCCTACGACGCACCCCTGGCACCTGCCTGCTCACGGAAACTCCAGGCAATGAGGCTGAGCAGCTCAACATTCCTCGGAGAAGACATGGCAAAGCGTAACAACCAACGTGCCAAACGATGTCAGTGTCCAAACTAAGCACCTGCACTCAAGCTGTCGTCAGCCGCACAGACGTTCTTTGGCGCGGAGTCAGAGGGAGACTAAAACCACCGCTGCTGATTCTGTAAACTTAGCTGACTTGCGACCGCAAGTCGTCCATGCAATTGCAAACTGTCATGCCCCGAAAGCCCATGTTGCACTCGTGCGGTAGGTCGCAGCATTCCTAATCCCATTCGGTGTGACATCATGGCGACTTCAGAGTCAAGGTCCGCAGCTGACGTGGGAAGCAAGTGCACCATGCTAGGTCTGGCACAGTGATGAAGGCAGCGCGAGACTGAAGCCCTCCCCCCCCCCCCCCCCCCCGCGGCTTTTCTGAATCTGACGCCACTGTACCATTAAGTCTGAAAGGCATGGAAGCATTCGTTCTGGGGTGTGATGATGCCGGTGTCTTCCATGCCTCTGGCTCGGCTATTGCACGCTGTCAGTTCCCTCAGTACCCATCGATCGTCCAAATGGGGTAGCAAGAGTAGAAGCAACGGCAGCCAAAGACAAAAAACACAAAACTGATGGAACATTAGGGCATAGTAGAGCATATTGGAACAAACATACTGTAACACTAACAGTAACTGTTTTAAACATGCTCGCTTGCTAAGTCCGGGAACATGAGGCCCTTTCTGGCCACTGGCCAGGGCCTCTCTCCTCCCACTGCACGTGCAGGAGACACGGAAGCTCGGGGTGCCAGATGACGGACAAGGTAACACTGACAGGCAGTGTGGTGCAAAAAGCCACCGAGCTGCCTTCTTCGAAACCACGAGCTGCCCACACGAGCTTGCAAAACTCATGTGGCGCACCAAAGCGGTTCTGATTCCGAAACAATCTCGAAGTCTGCTGTCCAAGCATTCTAAAGCATTGTAGAACGTAGACACACAACAACGAACCCTTTTGTCTGTGCAGAATTCTATACATCTCATGCGCAGCTTGCTCCACTAGGTACTCCACGCATGGCTCCCGTGTGATGTCGCAAGGCCCGCCGACGTCTCTACTACCCCGCGTGCTCCACAGCACTATGGCATCATTAGCCCAAATGGGTCAACCCTGACACGAAGAATGGGGAGCTTCTGAAGTGGAGTTGTCTAGTGGGCAGTGAACTTTTCAGCTCACAGAAGGCCAGGAAAAGCGCTTGTTGATTTCTTGCAGCCCGGCCAAAACGACGAGCAGTGGCTACGCGACGGGGAGCACATCTGGCACCCGTTTTGTGACATATGAACAAAGAAAGCCCGAAGAAGCCAGAAGGCAACAAGTTGTTGCAATCGGCGATCTGGACACCCTGGGCCAGGCTGTCTCGGGCACCCAGTGACCCAGTGTGAAGCACATTGAAGCACGGTTTAAACATGTCAGAGAGGACATATCGTTCTCTCTTTGACAGGTGCTCTACAGCGCTGCTGGAAATCTTCCCAACCATGACACTGCGAAGCTTGAGCTTGGGGGCAGCTTTGCATTCCCTGTGCTGGTGAATGCCAAACATGGCACCAAGCGGTCAGTTTAATTATGCTGAACGCTTCTTGTAGTCAGGCGGAACCTGAGCACAGCACAACCACAGCTGTCCTGCTCGCTACAGGCGCAAAGTGCTCGCAAGACCCAGGGCACAAACTGGCGTGTTGGCCCACTTGCTCCTCTCGTCTGCATTTGCAAGCCTCACGCAGTAGAGTCCGATGTAATATCACACATAGCAGACAAGCACTCTGCACTCAGCCTGATCTTCTCGGCGCTGTCATCAATCTCCAGCTTTTGTGACCCAGAGCACGCCTCGTCCAGCACAGGGGAACAGAAGGATCACTTGCTTTGGCAAGGTCATGTTGCCTCCATGAGCTTCTTGCTTGACACGCTGAATTTGGAAACCTGGCCAGTACAAGCACTGAAGTCTTTTAGGCAAGAATCAAGACCATCTGTCGGTACATTCTAGGCCATTCTAGGCACATTATCGGCACTTGCCCTTCTCGATGAAACTGAGTTGATCTGGTTCATTCAAGTCGAGCATACCAACACACCCAACTGCCTGCCGATATTTTGCAGCGTGACGTGTGAAGTCAAGGCAGGCATTTGGCATTATGTGGTGAAGGTCCGCCAGGATGACCCGAGGAAAAGTACGGATCAAGTTCAAAGAAACCCAGCCATCACGCTCCATGTGCTCCCGCAGAAACAGATCCTGGTGAGCACAGTGTCACAACACAACCCTCACTTGGGGTACACTGTCCTTGCAAAGGTTGTCAGTCGAAAAGTAGTACTCCACCTGGTGCCTGACAGAGACACAACCATAGTCACCCATCACGCAAGAACCAGATTGATACACCTGAGCTGCGCTTTGTGGTCCTCCGTGAGCTCCTCATCCTCCTTGCAGCGCACCATAGCGAAGATGCAGCACATCCGTTCTGAAGAATTCATCAGACACCACTCCTTGTGGTTGACTGCCGCGGCCAAGGGGTCCAAAATGCTTGGAACGATACCTCACTCACCACCAGCTCATGATCACTCCAGCAACCCCGAACAACCAGCCCCCAGACGCACCTTGGCCTTGGACTGAACTCCACTGAACTCCACTGAAATCCACTGAACTCCGAGTGCCGCACCAGATTTAGTGCCCCCTTTGCCTGCAACAGAACAATTCTTCTCACAACATTAAGTTTCGAAGATGTAGAAAATGTGGACAAGGTCTCCTGCGTGTGCTCGTGCTGATGCTTGTGCTTGCAGCTGGGCAACCTGGATGGCCTGTGCAAGTTCCACAAGCTACCGGATGCACTGGAGGCTTCGAATAGCCTACCTGGGCATTCTGTGCGGCGGCGAGCTGGGCGTAGGCATAGACTGCGGGATTGTAACCTGGCAACCAAGCGCACGCTGGAATGACGGTTGAAGCCAGCACTCGACCTCAAAGAAAGAAAAGCAGCCTGCCTGGATACGGCGGATAGCCTCGAGACGGCACGAAACATCAGGAAGCCCAAATCATGGCCCTCAAAGAAACTTGCCATGGTTCAGCTATGCACCTCCATATCCGTAGTAGCCTCAACAGACATGCCAAGCACTCAGCATGCGATCCGCTCAATATGTCAAAAAACCGAGGACGGCTCCAGGGTATGGATATCCTCGCGGTGCCTGCCATTGGCTTTGCTCAAAGCTCACCACTTGCTGTTGCATGATCTTGCTTCACATACACACTCTCTGCCAAGACGAAAGAAACTGAGAGTGTTGCTGCGGTTGGAGTAGAGTCTTTGCTTCCCTGGCCATCATGATCAGCAGTCCAGGTACAGCATTACGACACGCTGCAGGATGATACCTGTCTGCGATCTTTCTGCTTTGCCTGTCCGCAGGCACTTATCGATGATCTGAAAAGTTCTGCCAGGCCCTGAAGCTTAACGTGCTGCTCGATGAGGCCTTTGCCTTTGGTTCGGCTTCTTCCTGGTAGGCATGGGCAACGACCAGAAACTGACATCAACATAGGAGACTGGAAGCTGTACCTTTGCGCCGGCATGTGGGGCTGAAAGAGACGGACATGGCTTTGCCTGAGACCATCAGCCATCACCCGACATCACACAGCTTGAGCAACCTCGAACAGGTGTGCACAGCCTCACCGTCATCTCCAAAGAGCAGCGGAAGCCTCGATGAAAGCTCATTGTGAACTTGTGGGCATGATTTCTCATACGATTTGGCTCAATCTTGGAATCTCTGGGCAACCTTTAAGGCCTTCGAGCGACCAAGCCGAAGATTTCCGACATTGAGAAAACAAACGTGTATTGTTTCCAGTGTTGGTGTTACGAAGGATTTGTTGGGCACTCACGGTTTGCTTTGATTCATGCCACGCTACCATTCTCCAAAAGAACAAGACACAAATTTCAATTCATCCCCCAATTCCGGATTTCTGTATTTGGGGGAGGGCTCCAAAATTAGGGGACAGAATTTCACCGCTGTTTGCCTGTCGCTCAACGATACGAGATACAGAAGTTTCTTCGTACGATGCAAGCATTACAGCCATCTAACTCTCCATCTAAATCTTCTAGGAATACAGATCTAAGACCTCTCTTACTGCACGAGTCGCAAATAGCCTGTTCTCACAAGCAGATGTACAGCTGTGATGAGTACGACACTGGCAAACACACGCTCACAGTGAGCTTCATGTCATTGCTTGAACCTTGCACGGCGCTTTCGCCGCTTTGATTCTCCTTTCCGTCCACCAACCATGCGGCCAGCAGCTCGTGCGTAAACTTGGTTTGGTCACGAATCTTATAGAGGACCTGTCCAATGCCTGTGGAGATGACTCCTGAACGTTGACCCGTTCACGCTTGCGGCTTGCGCATGCTGAGACCAGCGAAGACGCACTGAAAATCTTGACCCCCGAACGCCTTCTGTTCGGCACTGGCACCCTGGTCAGTGCCCATTGCTATTGTGCCCAAACAGGGCGAAGCTGCGCCGCTGTTCTCAACTGTACTGTCGTGTCGAGCCCCATCAGGGCGATGCAGACTCACATTGAGGCATCATGGAGCACCAGCCGAAGTTCACCTTGGGAAGGAAGGATGTGAAAACCTGCTCCTGGCCAAAAAGTCGTTCTGCGCAGGACCGATATTTTGCCAGAAGTCGCACGCAATCGGCTGCGTGTGGTACGAACATTCCGAGAGAAACGCTCTCTCATTTGTCCTTCGTTCCGCGGTAAGGCAGTGAACAACACAAGTGGGCGCAAACATGTTTTTAACTTTTTAACGCTTCCTGCATACTTCTCTTCATGGAACTGTTATTAATTAATGTTGCCACTTTTGCTCACGAATTCTTGCCAAATACAAGCGAATGCGATGGAAATCGTGCGAAAGAGATGCAACATGCACTAAGTTCGCTACACCCCCGAATGTTTCGCGTGAGCGTCTTCAAGGTTGAGCTACGGCCCGAATGCTATTTTGTGCGCGCGTTACTTCCCGAGGAGCACAAACAAAACAAGCGTTTGCCTGATGACGGTTCTGTTTGAAGGTATGACTTTCTGCAGTTCGGGGAGATCCGAGGAAGAAGCCATCTTCTTACCATTTGCAAGATTCTCTCGAAAGCGAGAGCCCCACCTCACATACTACTGCCTGCTGAGTTAGTGGCCATTTCAAACGCAGGGAAGTGAACCTGCTCTGAGTCGAGCTGTTTATGGAAATTGCTTGGATCTCTTATGTCTCCTATTCCTTGTATTCCAAGGTGGTGCAGGATGAGTTCCCCGCCAATTTCCACTCCTTTTAAGTGCATGGATCCTTATTGCAATGTTCATCTGTGGTATATGATCGTGTCTTACATCTACAAACGCTTTCCTAATCTGAGGTCTTCCTTTCTGACATTAACGACCGTTTTCACGAAGTCGCACGCTCAGTCAGGCACGTGCGCCACTAAAAACCGACAAGGGCTACGTTCACAAAATCGGGATTCTTCTGGAGACCTCGGCTGCCCAGATGCTTTCTACGTCTTCGACTGGATAACACACGTGAGATTTGCTCGCCAAAAAAGTGCCGTGCACTGGCACAAAGCCCGACAGCCCTGCATGTCGACTTGGGGGCTCCGGGTTCGTTCCACAGTTTGGTGGCTGAGTCCTGGGTCGGTTCGGAAGCGGGGCTTCGGACTTATGCGAAATTGTGTTCATGATTCATTGCGTACGTTGCGTACTTCAAGATGCTGAGAACCGCCATACCGCCAGCGTTGTCGAAGCCGCACCCGAAGGCTTACATCGAAACAACTTACAAGAGGATTGTGTCCAGCATGTTGACTCGACTCTTTGACTCTTACCCCTTCTTGGAACAGACATTTTCTGAGCCAGGGAGCCAAGGTGATTCGGCTTCCGCCTCCTTTCGCGACTGACAACCTCCAGCTTATGCAACTGCAGCAAGCTCACGCAGAAAAGCAAGGGCTGAACGTTGGATGGTCTTCTCCAAGCTCTCCATGCGAGCAGCGACAACCTCGCAGACCTAAGTCAGAGGGTCCAAGTATGTATCATAAGCACGTGCAACAGTGAGTATACAACAAGAAACAAGCAATTAAGATCACCAAGGTGAGTGCACTGCTCTCTGCACAAGAAAAGGATAGATGACTGAGCATGCGTGCGAGGAATAGCTCGTAGAAGTTTTATTCTGAATATCCGAACATGCGCAATACTTCTGAATTCAACGGATCATCCCGTATGTAATCCTGTCTGTCTGTCCCAATGCATCTCATGTGCTCAAATCAAGTCCCTATCTGTGAGGATCTCTGTTGGTTGCTTCTGAACAGCGATCAGCAAGATTCAGGAACACAAGCTCCTTCAATGTGCCTTGTCATCTTCTGTTCCATCGAAGACATCTTTCATTGGCTTTCCGGCGAAGTCCTGAGCACTGTACAAAAAGCAGAATGCTCTTGGAAGATGGACACGACGCACAAGGAATGAGGGCCTCTTGGAACGTCTTTGCGGTGTCACTCTTGCTGAAATTGATAAAGGCATGGCCACGGTTGCCTGTAAATCAAAAACAGCCGAGATGTATAGGCCCTGTGCAAAGTGCAACAGTATGATATCCCTCTCGCCTTCACTCTTTGTATCGTTGGGCAGGAACAGGAAGTCGAAAGCAGCTCCATATTTGCTGCGGCAGGGTCAGAGGCATTGAAAAAGGCAAAGAGCACATGTCATCCACTGAACATGAGACGTGTCCAGTTTCAAGCCTCTTCAGTTTTTCCACGAGCTGGTCTCGAGCGTACGTTGCCGGCACGCCCCTGCAAAAGCAAAATGTGGCACCGTGCGCCCTGGGTGCGCCCAGGAGCCACTGAGTTTCCGACTTGAGCATGAGCAGGGTTTCAGCAGAGGCACTTGGCAATATGGAAGCCAGCGTTGTGGCTGGAGCCTTAATCAACTCGATCCCTTGACCCTGTGCTGACCAGGCAGCTTGCTTAGGCCGATCACTGGCGGCACCGCAAAAGATGGTGGGAACATGTTCACACTGGGGAAAGACGGCGGAGGCCGCATGTAGCCTCTGCAAAGCAAGGATAAGAAAAGAAGCAAGCTATTTAGTAGATGAGTTCACCTCAAGGAGCGACCTAGCCTGTTGGAGTTGTAGGAGGAATGAAGGTAGGAGCCGCTGCCGGCATCACCTAAGAGGACTGGGCGCAGAAGCATGGAGCGAAGGAAGGCAGCGCTGAGCAGCCGACCGGCTTTTTGCTCCTCTTCTTGTCGCCTCTCACATACTTCGTGCCTACTGATTTACTGCTTTTGTTTCAATGAAATCATAGACTTACAGGTTTGCAGATTCGAAGACTTATAGGTGCAAAGGTATATAGAACCATTTACGGACTTCCAGATTCATGGATGCATAAACTTACCGGTTAACCGGTCTATAGATTCCTATAGATTCTTAAAAGCCAGGCTCATCTATTCTTAGATTTATAGATTTGGAAGGTTATAGTCTTGTCTCAAGTCATGGCTTCGCCTCCAAATGCTTTTGAAAATGGAATCTCCTGCACCACACAATTGCCATCAGTTCTTCAGTTTTCGCAGTAAAATATTGGCACTGGCGTCCTTCCCATGTTCGTCCAGAAACAGTGGCTGCCAATCTGTCCTGCGACATTTCACTGGCCGTTCTACACCTTGCACCACCAGTGTACCGGTCTGACTGGAAGAGCCGCATACTGCCTGTGAGCTCTGTGAGAATCAGACCAAATCCAAACTGCACTGGTCCTGTCGTGGAGCTTCTCCATAAACTTCTCATCACGGAGATTTTCCATATTCTGGTCTCGTCCCTGTACCCTTGCAAAGGAGACCTGCCACTTGGAGACTAAAGGCCCACATGGCGATGCAATGTCACCTGCCTCAGCCACTTTCGAACTGCTGAAGCCCGGCAAACATTGCCTGCAAGCTTGTGTTTGCGATATTCATGCTGTGACACGGTGAGATGTGTTCCTGAGTGCAGCACTTTGTCTTTGTCATGTGGAACTCGTTGTGGAACCTTCTTGCAGACGACATCTTGACAGCTTCGAACGTTCGAAAAGTCTTCCGCTGAGTCGGCCTGTGAGCGGCACTTGGCGTTCTGAAGTTGATGAAGGCATATCCCACGTTGCACTTGCTGCTGAAGTCAATTGGTAGGTAGACGAAGTCGTACAGGTTCTGCACACAGGCGCTTGGCATTGCAATAGGATGCTCTGAAGCACCACTGCTACCGTACGCCTTGTAACCCTTGTCGAGACGAGCAACGAGCATATCACGAGTGTAGCGGTTCGGAATGTTCCTTGGAAGGACCATGGCACCCGGCACAATATACAGTACATTACAGTACACTAGCCCGTCTCAGCTGAGCGTCCGCAGCATCACCGTGGTAAAGCCTGCACCTGTGGTCCGGGGAGAGCCAAGATTGCAACTTCACGCTCGTTGCGAACGGTCCTGCAGCTGCATATGCGTTGTACATCGGCGCCGCAAGAGCAGCTGTCATCATACTCTGAAGATACCTCGCTCCCACAGGAACATTGCGACAGCGTCGCTGGCAAGTAAAGACTTAAAGCACTCTGAAACTCGATATCGATTCGCACATCCAGACACAGCAAGAGGCACGCCATGATCAAGGGATCGGGTGCCGCAGCATTTTCAAGCTCCTCCAAGTTCTCAAACTGCACAGAAGCTCAGAAGCTCAGAAGCTCAGATGCTTCAAACCATTCGTAAGGAAGAAACTCAACATGGGCCAACAAAGTCGACTTCTGCACAAACGGAATGGGCGTGCGCGCTCCTTTGACAAGTCCTTCTCAAGTGACGGTTGCCTGTGACATGTGCATGTTGCTCAAGAGGCACATCAAGATCGGCCTGCGAACATCTACGAACCAAACAGTTGGAGTCCACAAACATGCCAGTCAGCGGCTCATCATGCTCATCTATGGAATCACTGGTTTGGCGTCGGACCTGCGCTGAGACACGAACACACATCGCGATTTGCAAAAGGCAGACTTATTTTTCAAGCCAAAGCCTTGATCTTGTCCCTGGTGTCGCGCTTGCTCGCTTCAGCATCTTCGGGACGATCCTATGCAGCCAAAAGCGTGCAACAAGAAGCAGACTCCGGGAGGAAGCGCTTTTATCATGGCCAGCTCTACTACACGAAAATACTGACGGCCTCCACTCGGTACTTGAGCTCTATGGGAGCCTGGTAGCATTGGAGGACATCAGAGAAACAAAGCAAAATCACATGCACAGTCATCAAAGCCTCCATAGCGTTGGATTCTTGCCTGGTGACAGAGCCATGACACCAGTCATCGCAGTCAATCTTGAGTGCACGGTAAGGCAACAACAAGATTTGCAAAGCTCCGCCGTCGCTTTTGCATGTGCCATATGTCCTCACAAGGGTTAGATTTTGCACGTTCGTCGGCTGCCAGCTTGCAAACTCTTGGCCTGAAACCACAATCCCTCCCCAAGCTGGAGAACCGGCATCTTCCAAGCTGAAACGAGCAATCTCCTTAGCAGCTCATGTCGATCGTACTTTGGTCCTCGGACAAATCTTCAGGAAATGCTGCCTGCATGAAGCAGATGCAGGGCAATCCCTGAATGGTCCTGTGGAGGCCAACGAATGCTCCTCCAAGCGCATTGATATTGTCCCGTGCTCTGAACCGACGGTCGCAACAGAACGCAAGTCGCAAGTGCAAGTGCTCCGAAGCTTCTCACAACTGCAATCTTGGGAAGTCCTCATTTTCTTTTCCTCCCCTTGTCTGCACCTGCCAATGCAACACTGCAACTTGATGTACCCCCTTAAGCACACTTCCAAATCCCTGATCAACATACAGTAAAACTCTAAACCTTATGATAAGCAAGGCCCGATCCGAGCCTCATTTTCAGATCCTTTGGGGACCCACTTTTGCTTCGAAACGGAGGCTCGTCCACTTGATCCCTGAAACACATGCACGCCATTTCATGTCCAATGCTAATGCTGCACATCCAAAACACAGCAAGGTCACCTTTGGCATTGCCGCCGATCTTCCGCCCTTAACACCAGACATTGCGTACTTTAAAAGATCAGTGCAACTAACCAGAGTCACAAGGAGCTTGATGGTTCCCTGACGCCCAAGTCCGTCGCCCACCAGACACGACTGGGAGGGTCAGATCTAGCTAACTGATGGCTTCGTGTCGGCTGCAGCAGCGTCCAGCAATCAGATCTATGCGAAATCCTGAATTCCTTGCATCCTGACGTTGAACATGCATCACTGGATCAAACTGCACTTCAACAGGGCAGACAAACGGTGAAAACCTAGCGAACGAAAATTAAAATCTAACCTGAATGTGGCAGAATCTGCCAACGTCGAAAGACACGACCAGGTACCAGTATCAGCAATAAGGACGACGGCGACAAAGGTGCTTACAACGCTGACCATGAATGAGCTCGAACCTTCGCATACACAAAGAGTCAAGAAAATGCAGGCCACACGGTCCATCTCCATTGAAAGAATCAGCTTGACTTTCTCAGTTGAAGGTAGAGCATATATGAACCCAGAGGATCAACCACACTTTCTACGACCTCGCGAAGGCTACATGAACTCTATGAACTCTACGAACTCTATGGTCTGACAGGGTGCAGTCGAGTTCAGTTCATGCAACACTTCCACAGCAGACTATTCGGTGCGTGAGGCACACTCTTGCCAAGGGAACCGTTGTGTTGGCAAACATGCTGCGGGAAAAGCTAGAGAGTTCAACACACAGTCCAGCTGGTACTTTGCACAAGGTTTCAAGAACTCGACCATGAAACCCTTGCTGACATTCATGCACTGCTGAAACAACTCACGTGCTGATGGCCGAGATTCACTCGCAAGCCCATGGTGAGTTCAGCCACGCGAAACTATGGATCAGCTGCACGCCTCTTTTGATGTCAGCAAGCCCATCTTTCTGGGTGGCCCAAAACAGTCATTCAGGACAGAGAATGCTCTGCATGCATTCCCCGGGCAGTGCCACACGGGCATGGTGCAGAGCGGGCTGGAACTGCTGCAGGTCCGTAAGCTGGAAGGTGCAGCTCATCCAGAATCGACGATCCGAAGGCTTTTCGCCAGTCCGTGTCATACACACCTTGATCGAAACGCCTCCGTGAGCTTCCCCAACTCCATGAGTAGCTGACAAGCTTCGTCTCGCGCTCGGGAATCCAAGCCCTCCCAAGCCCTCCGAATGGCTCTGCTCAGGCCCGCCTTGACTATCAAGAGATGCAAAGTCAAGATGCCTAAAGTATACTGTTGTACCCCTGCGATGATGTTCACGGTATGGTCGGCACAAAGAGTCGCAGAGCAGCTAGCGGAGAGAATGACCAGTACAAAGTGGCAAACAAGGCTCACAGACTAACTAGCACATCAGCACAAAGGCTACGCAGCAGCTGCATGCAGTCAAGCATGGCTTGAAGGGAAAACATGGACGACAAATGCAGCACGCCGGTCAAGATTATCTTGGGGCAGGGTAGTAAGGATGAAACAAAAAAGGGTGACTCAGATGACTGCTCCCCTACACACGGCACGCAAGAACGGACTAGCTTCTGGAGCCGGCCTCGTTCATGGCTTTCCGATTTGCAGGATTGTTCTTGGCCAGAACACGCAAGGCGTGGTAGCAGTTCCTCAGCTTCAGCACTATGCACAGGGAGGAAGAGAGGATGCGTGGCAGCACACATTTTGAGAGGCTGAAGCCAAGGATCGCTCTCATAGGATACATCGCATCAAGGTCCAAGCTGAATCCCTCATGCTCGAAGTCCTCGAGCTCAACTTCCGACATGGCAGCTGCCAAGACGTCCTGAATGGATCTGAAGGGCTCGCGATGCAGACTACGTCTCCAACTTGTGCGCAAGTAACAGTGTGCAGCTGTGCAGTTCACCGCATCTAACGGGTTCGTTGAAGCTTGCCATATGACTTGTTCCAGAACCATAGACGTCAAAAGCATCTCTGGGCAGTATGTTGTGCAAAGAATCCGAACGTAAATGCACGGTTTTCTTGTGGGCGAAACCCCCCGTACCCGAACACAAAAAAGAAACGAAGAAACAGCCCCGCCTCCAGCATCACTTCAGCAGCTCGTTGCTGGATGCTTGCATTGAAAGGGATGGCTCTCGGTGTGGAGCTCGTGTCCAGCATCACAGTTGAGCCGATCACATGCATCGTACTTTCACAAACCAGGCTTACTGCAGCTTTATCCGTGGCCCGGGTACGGAGCACTCCAACCAAAGCCTCAAAAAGGCCCTGGTCGGACAAGCGGCTGCGCAGGAAATCTGATGCGTAGACCATGGCCTTCAGCGCCTGGAGGGACTCTTCAGCAATCTTTGCATCACTGCCATGTTCGGCCATAAGACTCACAGCCAGCGGAATGAAGCCTTGCTGGTAAGCAATGTCTGCATTATTCCAAGTACCTGAGGACATGGCATAAAGAGACTGCTTCACAAGTTCATAGGCCCATTCGCTGTATGGGCCATGGAAGTTGTTGCGGATGTTCTGGATGAACATCTCGATTGCTCCCAACTCTCGGGCGATGAGCCGGTTCTCCATGCAGAAATCAAAGTATGTTCCGATATATCCCATGGAGCTGACAATATCCGGGTTATCAAGGTGGCTGCCGTAGAAGGCCAAACTTGCATTCAGTGCACCGAGCTTGCCCGCCCTGACGCCGTTAACTCGGTTGAAAAGGATCAAACTGGCCATGGCCGAAGTACAGGTTACCTCGAGAGTGTCTTCGTCGGGAAAATCCCTCAAAGCACCGGCCACAAAGTCGACGGCCCCCACCTGCCCAAGGTTCACAAACACAAGTAAGAATAGATGCAAAGGCATGCATATGCATGCACATTCTCCCTTCTAGTCCCATGTTGTGGTGAACGGCAGGCCTCAGCCCAAGCATTTTGGGAGGAGTTCTGACTGCTGTCAACGCACTGTAACAAAAGGTTGCAAGTGGCCAGTGCTTGTCGTCCTGTTGGCCTCTCCGTCGCCGACAGTTCGGCTCGCATGTCGTCCGGTTCGGGGCAAGTTGCAGCGCGGCTGGGCCCAGCGGATAAAGCAATCTGCAGAAAAAGAGGGCCTTCCTCACCTGCACAAGAAGCAGAGACATTGGCCGAAGTCAGGCCCAACGCGAGCGCAAGGAGACGGATCATTTGCTGGATATGGAACTCCCTGAGAGCTTGAAGGGAGCTGCGTGCAACATGTTCAACATGATTGGGTCACTCGCTTGACGGTGTGGCGTGCGGGATGTCAACCCATGTGCACAAACACACTTTATCAAAGCTTTCGAGGGCAGCAACAACCTGACATTTCACACATTGAGGAGAAGATTGGTGGTGTGGCATTTGAACGGCAACGATTTTTGACTCTAAGGCTTGTCACAGCTTTGTGCACATGACAAGATGCGTTCGTGCTGTCATCTGGAAACCGAAAGGCCAAGAAAGCACCCACCCACCAAAACAAGCCTTTCCACATCATGCCTGTGTCACTGTGTCACCAAAAAACACGGAGGCGTTTAGGTTCGCTATCGGTGGCGTTCCTAACGCTGGTTGGCTCTTGACTCTGTGAACTACAGTGTGCCTCGCTGCTGCTCAGAACACGATTCAGAACAGAAACTTTAACTGTTCTCCGGTCGCCATGTTGCAAGTTACTGTATTGTGGCTGTTCACACAATCCAAACAAAAGCATGTCTGGTTTTCACAAACAAGCAAAAGCTGCGAAAGCTGTAAATTCGACAAATACTGGCTGTTCACAAACACAAGATGTTGCAAATTGCTTGGCAATTGCAACACTGTTGGCTGTTGACAGGCTCAAAGGATGTAAAACACAGCATCTCCAAGGTGGGAGATCATGTTCGGTGCAACATGTGGCAATTCAAAATATTGTTCAAGCTTTTTGCAGTTAACAACAAACTCGACATTGTACAAAACAGCTTTTCTGGCTATGCCCTGAAGTATATAGCATTTCCAGGTCGGGAATGCCTTCAAGCAAAAACCCGACTGAATTGACACGCTGCTGACAACCATGCCTGCGCCAGGCTAATATGCTGTTAATTCAGGATTTACACGTGTTGGGTATCCAATATGCCGCCAAAAACAGCCTCAGAGCCAAAACATTAAGAAGGTTTGTGAGTATTAAAGGGGAAAGAGCAACCAAAACACTAAAACAATGCGAAAAATATTTGTCATGGTAATAGTTCGATGCACATTGCGAACATAATATCATGAGGTCAGATGCAACAAAACAGCTCCAAAAAACACGTATCTCAAGAGTACGAACATTGAAAATAATATCGCAAAGCTGACGGGAAAATAGTAACTCATCAGAAAATTGAAACCCAAAAACACAAAAGGCGCATGGCCGAAGTTCCTGTATGCCGGTGGCGGGGACCAAGCGTGTTGTCGGCGTAGACCCCAAACAGTGATTGGCAGGGAGCCGCGTATGGTCAAGCAACTATTGTTTCTGCACCCTGCCGGAACAGCTAGCGATAGTGAATTATGCAGTAGCAGTCATGGCAAAAAGAATTCGTGGTAGCAATAAAAACCACCAGAACATTTATAGTGACCTTTGCGGGCACTTCGCTGCATTGAGCCAAAGGCTTTGGGGTTCCAGGGCGAAGTTTAAGAACTCAACAAAACAAAGCACTGTTACGCCATTCAATCTGTCCAAGAACTTGGTTCCCTCCCATGCTCCAAGAATGTTTCGCTTCAGCAATAAGCATCAGTGTTTTTCACCTTTGTGGCTCTATGGCCGGTTGGAGCAGTGAGAAACAGGCTGCACACACACGTGCAAGAAAGCGCGATACACTTGGCCACCAGGCCACATGGCGTTCGGGCTGGCAAAGGCTGCTTAGACCTCTCCTGGTCGTTTCCGTTCTTCGCAGCATTCCCTGCATTCCCGCCATTACCACCTGAACCTTTGCCCCCTTTCCCTTGCCCCACCAGACGCATACTGGTCGGCGGCCGCGAAGCCATGGTGTCGGACTCGGTGAGTGCCATCCTTAATCTCCAATCCCCACTACTGAACTGCGCACTCTCGCCTCTCTTCTCAGCAGTCTCGAAGGCATGGGGACACCATGACCAACGCTTGCACTTGGCTTCCCAACACCACTCGCTCAGCCAGCGAGGTAACAGAGGTATCGCGGCTCCATCGCCACCACTTCTTGTTCTTGCGACTCAAGCCCCTGCGCCTCGGCAGCATTGTGACTCGCCTCAAGGGCCTTGTTCGCATTCGAAGGTGATGGCCACGTGCCACAGGCGGCCTCAAACCAGCTTCCACCCTCTTGGAAAGCCAGGAGGTGGCTTCCACAGCCGGCATCACCGGTCTCACGAGACCTCGTCGCGGAGGTACAACCAATTTTGCGTTGATAGTCATAGACTTTTGTAGACCCGAGCAGCACAAGCCAAGAAACCTGAAACTTCTCAAAGGCAATGGACATCTTGTTTTTGACATCTTGTACTAGTCATACTTGGCACGGACCTTTGATCACATCTCCAAAGGTAGGAAGATTATCCTTCAAGTTGAAGGTGAACACAGACTTCTTGCCTTGCAGGGTTTAAGTTTTCTTGGCGCGGTTCCCCTCTTGCTGGTGCATCTTCTGCAAGATGGCGAACACAGTTGTCTCACCACCAAAGGGATTGACGGAAGCCACATCAAAGCGCTGGGTGGCCGGGTTGCGTGAAGACTTTGAGCTTCGCAAAGGTGACAGAGACAAAACGCAACAACGCAACGGACATGAAAGAGCAGCGAGAGACGGTGCATATTGCCTTTTCAATTCTTTGAGCAACATAGAACAGACCACCACTTCTGGAACACCCAGCAACCCGCGGGCTTCTGCGATTTAAAATAAAGTTTGCTTCAGAAACGAGGCCAAGCTGCCTGAAGGGTTTTGAGGTTATGAACATTCATCAGGGACGGCGTGCTTGTAGATGCTCTGTGTGTTGCAGCTGCAGCCAAGCTGCTGTGGGCGATCGCATGCCCTCCTACTCCTACACCAGGCGAGACAGGCTTGGGCCGACATCCTATTCCCTTGTCCTCACGGGACTGCTTGCCGTAATGAAGGCGCGCATCGATCCTTGTCTTTCATGCCAAGCAACTGCTAACACTGCTCCAGTATACGAGCCCGCCGAGAAACCTCTCAACCTCACGTTGCATTTCCCTGCCCCTGCTGCAGCGATTGCATTTATCGTCCTGAGGAAGAAGCGCGCAAAATCGAAGTGGAAAAGGGCTGCCGGTTATATTATTTTCTGGCCATGAGCGGGCTGCACTGGTGGAGTTTCAGGTCGGCTTTTATGTCCTGCCTGCAAACGCGCCGTCCGAGCACAGCATTGATAAAGAGCTTGCCTGCTCCAATGTGGACCACTCCCATGAGGGCAGACCTGACCTGTCGCTCAAGCTGCCTGTCAGCCAGACCGCAAATGCGCAGTCAGATTGTTTTTCCGATCATCTCCAGGAGCAAGATTGAACAGGTCGCCAGCATCCACTACCTGACTATATGCATGGCTCCGTCCGAACCCTCGCTGGCACGTGCGCTAAATCTCTGATTCCCCTCAAAAAGGTGCCAAAAGTCAGTGTTTGGTGAAACGCGTCCTCCCCTTCGAAGCCTTCGAAGCCTTCGAAGGTGAAGGGTCGAAGGGGGGGCTTCGAAGCCCCTTCGCGCTGAAGGTCTGAAGCCCCCCTTCGGCTCATGAGAACGAAGGGGCCTTCGAAGGCTTCGAAGGCTTCGAGGGAGGACGAAGCCCCTTCGTCCTCACCTTCGAAGCCTTCGAAGCCCCGCCCCCCCTTCGTCCTCACCTTCGAAGCCTTCGAAGCCCCCTTCGTCCTCACCTTCGAAGCCTTCGAAGCCCCCTTCGTTCTCCCTTCGAAGCCTTTGAAGCCCCCTCTCCCCCATGGAAAAAAACTCAAAAGGGACTTCTTCTAAATTCAACCCCGAATCTTGTTTTGTTTTTGGATTTCATTCTTCGAAACTCAGAGAAGTGAGACTCTAAAGATTATCTTCCCTTTAAGAAAAAATGAGACAGAAGAGACTTATTCTAAATTCCACCCCCCTCGAAATTGTATCTCATTCTTCGAAACCAGAGAAGTGAGACTCTAGAGTCAGGAGCCTTCGAAGCCCCCTGAAAAAAAACAATTGGGGGGGGGTTGGAGGGGGGCGCAGCCTCCCCCCCATTTCTTTTCAAGATGAGAAAGAAGGGACTTATTCTAAATTTCACCTCCCCGAATCTTGTTTTGTTTTTGAAGTCTCATTATTCTTGGATCTCATTTTCGAAAGCCCCCCTTCGTCCTCACCTTTGAAGCCTTCGAAGCCCCCTTCGCCCTTCACCTTCGAAGCCTTCGAAGCTCCTTCGTCCTCACCCTTCGAAGCCTTCAAGCCTTCGTCCTCGCCCTTCGAATTCAAAGCCTTCAGACCTTCAACTCCCCCCCCCCCCGCCCCCCCCCTTCGACCCTTCGCTTCGAAGGCTTCGAAGACTTCGAAGGCTTCGAAGCCCCCTTCGCCAAAGGTTTACGGGATCCAGCCCCTATGGGGATGGTTGTTCTGGACACTGGCATGATTCGTGACGCCAACTGACCCCTCTGAATCTTAGTGCTGCTCATTTTCGGGAGGAAGAACCCCAATGGGCTTTGTGGCTCATGTCCTTCACTTGATATTCTTCCAGACACTTTTGTTTCGTTCAGCTGGAGATGTTTTCACCTTCAATCGACGCCGCCGGGGTGAATCTCCCGGGCAGTTGCAACAGAAGCTCTCTGCCGGTGGACCAGGATGATCCATCAATTCGGCAGGGGCAGTTTTCGTGCGAAGTCTCCAGTTTGGCTCGGCCACCAAGGGAGGAGCTACATCCTTCAATGGCGGTGGCTCCAAAGAAGTTCTCCGTTTGCACATATCCACCACTGTCCTCCAAGATGCAATGCCCACCAAGTGCTTCCACCTTGTCCACTTCGGCCCCAAGTCTTCAACAGCTCCAGTCTTGTCGCGCTTGGTCTTGATGTAGCATGGAGATCCAAAAGGTGC